AGCAGATGAAAACAGTAGGAATGATAAGAAGAAATCCAAGGAAAAGGTTTGTACCGTTGCAACTAGCCATTAGTGTCACCTTTTATTTAGCAGGCAACAGATGATGAAAGCGACAATGAAGATAATAAGAAAAAAACAAAAGGATCTAGCTCGTCAGATGAAAGTAGCGAGACTGAGAAAACGAAGAAATCAAAGAAACCGGTTCGTTTTTTCTTCAACTGGTTGGCTTACTTTTTTTATATCTGATTATGTTTTAGGAGACAACTGATGAAAGTGATGATAACAAAAAGAGGAAAAAGAAAAAAATGGTGAGTAACTATTAAAAAGAAAGCTTTAATACTTAAATTTTTCGTAGGCGAAGCGTTCAACCTCATCAGACGATGAAAGCAGTGATGATGATAAGAAGAAAAAAAATAAGAAGGTAAGCCATTACTTGTGATTCATACAGCTTAATTTTCATTTGCTAGGAGAAACGTTCCAATTCGTCGGATGATGAAAGTGGTAGTGATGATGGCATGAAGAAAAAATCTAAAAAACAGGTTAGATCATTTAATGTCAGTTTATTTTACATCAACTGTTTTCTCCAGTCCACAGATGACGAAAGCGATGAGAGAAAGAGAAAAAAGAAGAAAAAGGTGTGTGCTTAAGAAACATTAACGATGGTATAATTCTTGTTTTTAGGCAAAGCGTTCTAGTTCCTCAGATGATGAAAGCAGCGATGACGATAAGAAAAAGAAACAAAAGGTACGTATTTGTACATATACAGGGAGTCCCAAATCGCGGGATTGCTTGGGTAACTTTGCTATTACTGATCTAAACAAAATCAATTGTTTGCCATCATTAACGCTATGACGAACATAGTGTTGTATTTCGGTTGAGCAAACTGAAAAATGATAGCAAAATAAAATGCAAATTGGTATTCATACCAACTTTTTAAATTAATTGTCCTAGTAGTTTTTTGGACATGTTAAAATTTCATCAAATGTCGACGTTTTAAATCATTTTAGGTAGGTATCCTATACCTATAGGATAAGTTGGAAAATGCCATTTTTATTCTTACGTTTCAAATGATTAAGTTAGCTTTTTGTGTTTACTGACTTTACAATAAATGGTTTATTAGTAATAAGTGTTGGTAATAGACACAAAGAAAAGTAAAAGAAATCATACGAAGAACGTTTTTTGGTTTAAGCTAGGAAGCTGTTCTGTCAAAAATTTGGTACTTGGTTTTTAACTAGTAACCCAAGAGTAACTAATAAATAATTATGAAAATTAACTAAAATCTACTTTTAATATAAAAATCTAATATGGCTCCCATGATCTCATTATGCCAATAATTACTATCATGAATTTCAGTTTAACATCATTTGTTTGTCCTATTGAAATGAGAAACTTTCATGTTTAATTTTTTATCATAACCTTTATAGTTAAGGAAATACTTAGTGCTGTTATGATATTAATCAGCTTTGGAAATCCAAAAACATTGTGAATTATTAGCAATTGTATAAAAAGTATGTAAGATAAATATCGACATGTTTATATTGTTCAAATCCTACGTTTGATGCGATAAAAAAACTTTGCAGTTCCATTTAAAAAAATCAAGTTACCTTTGATTGAAATTGTGAAAATTGACGGAGTGATATCTTTTAACACAAAAGAAGTTTAACTTTAGCCGTTTGGTGTATGTTAGTACATGTCATGATTAGTGCCACTGCACAGTCACGACCTTCTAAGTTTTATGATAACTGCGATATTCAATTTTTACTGGACATCTACTTTTTGAAAAAACGATGAATTGCGGCTAAACTACTCATTTTAGATATCATGTGTAATACACAAAGTCACACTAAAAATGGACCAAGGAATCGAAATATGTACTAATATACAAGCGGTTCCATTTAAAAAAATGTAACTTTGATATAAATCACCCTGTATAACAATTGCAATTTCGTTTGGTTATAGCCTGAAGGGTCTTTCAACATTCCCCCACAATGAATTTTAAGTATGCGTGTTAATACACCCACAATCTTCCACCCATGCACTAATGGCCCACCCTGTATACAAAACAATAGTTACAGGTAAATAAATGCTTGTTGATGCTGCTGTTGCATCGTTCGTTCTGCTGGTTTTACTATTCGTCAGGTAGCACGAAAACTATGCTTAGTGGGGGAAGCCCGTCAAACAAGAATACGCTAAGCACAGTACTTGATTAGATAGCAGACTGGCCCGCCACTTTGGAGCCCACTCATACTCTAAATCTGTGCACAAAAAAAGTGTTTAAGGTGTAAGGTGTTATTTTATGCAAATAAACGCTCACAAAAACCAAGGTAAAAGCTTTACAGCCCGAAAAACCGCGAAATTTTCGGCAAAACATTTCGTAATCATTAAATTTGCTATAATTTGAGGCCAAGCGCAGCGCTGTAGGTCTGATAAAATGTGAGCTGACTTCGAAAAATGGTCATTTTTTCCAAAAAGTGCAAATTTTAACCAAAAAAAATCCTGCAAATTTAACATTTGAAGTAAGTGGCGTTGTTTATTGTGAAAGGGGTTGTTTGGGTTGACTACGAGTAGGTTGTGATAACGTTGTTTCTGAGTAGAAAGAGTTTTGTGTTTTTTAGCTGTGCTAGGACGTGTAACTTTATTGGGTGGATCTGTCCTTGTATTTGTATGGTTACTTGGGTTAAAGGTGGAGCTGGAGATATTACAGTGTGTCGTGTGTCATGTGAGTCAGTGATGCTGTTTAGGGTATTATTATTATTATTAATTAGATTCAGTGATACTATGGTAGAGCTTTGGTAAAAATTGAAAATAAAATTGGATTTAATAATAATAATAACTTTATTGTCTGTGATCACGCATAACCTTGACATAGACATCGTCATACATTCAAACATTTATGGACATTTAAAATTTTAAAAAGTCAATTAGGAACAGTGTAAATGCTAAAGGACATGTTACAATTAAAAATCACTCATTGAATAAAAACAACGTTCGACTAAGTATTTTTTTAGATTCGTTCGATACTTCTTAATGTTTGTGATGTTTTTAATATATAAAGGGAGTGCATTGTACATTTTAACTGCATTGTAATATGGACCCCTTTCATACTTCGCTGTGGAATGGTAGGGTATGGTAAGTATCTCATTGTTGCGTGTATGATAGTCATGCTTAGCATTTAATGGATGAAAAATATGACTATTCATTTTCACGAAGATGCAAAGCTTATATATGTAAATGCTAGGAAATGATAAAATTTTCCTATTGATGAAAACATTCCTAAGAGAAATTGTCGGTTTTACATTAAAAATTAATCGCATTATCCTTTTTTGTAGGATGAAGACTCTGTTTTTGTCGACAGCTGCCCCCCAGGCAACAACGTTGTATGCTAAATGAGGATATGCGAGCGCGTAATACACAGTAACTAATGAATTTATGTCAAGACATGATTTCAAGTTTCGTAACACATAATAAGCCCTGTTAAGTTTTTTACACACATTCTTAATATGTTGGTCCCATGACAAATCGTCATCTATCAAAATCCCTAAAAACTTAGTATTTAGACTAACACTTGAAGTTTCGAGCTCTTGCTTAGCCCTACCAAAGTTCACACACACAGTTTTATTTGCATTTAATACAAGTTTGTTAGCACTACACCAGGAATGAAATTCCTCGTCCACATGTTTAATAGTACTTGTTAAACACTCTAGGGTCTTCGCTGATATAACGATGGTTGTGTCGTCGGCATAGCTGATCACCTTCGCACTTGTCACATGATTTGGCAAATCTGCTACGTACAATAAATATAATAGCGGGCCCAACACTGAACCCTGAGCGACCCCTAAGGTAACATCAAATTTGTCGGATTTAACACCTTCGATGTCCACATATAGTTGCCTATTTGAAAGGAACGATTTTATCCACATCAGCATTGGACCTCTAATCCCTAATTTCTGAAGTTTATAGCAGATATTCTCGCAATTAATCGTATCGAAAGCTCGACTGATATCAAAAAATAGAACAGAGATATACTTTTTCTTGTCGAGTTCTTCATAGATGAAAGTAAGTAGATCGAAGGTAGCGCTTTCTGTAGATTTCCCAGGTCGGAAACCATGCTGGCTGGCCGGTAAGATGCTAAATTTGTTGACGAATGAGGTTATTCGGTTATAAACGATTTTTTCCAACAATTTCGAAAAGACGCTCAACAATGAGATAGGGCGATAGTTTTCTATTTTTGTAGGGTCTCCTGACTTGAATACAGCTATTACGCGCGCAGTCTTTAATGCACTAGGAAAAATCCCATGAGCAAGAGATTCATTATATAGCATAGTTATGATCGGTAGAATAGAAGTCAAGACATGATCCAGTACCTTCACTGTTATTTCGTCTTCACCTGACGAGGACGATTTTGCTAGAGACTCGGACGCTCGGGTAACTTCGTCCTGGGTTACAGGATAGACATACAATGAGCGACAGTTACTGATTTTTGAGCATGTGACTGTGGAAGTAGGTTTGTCACCGAACCGGTGTTTAGTCAGATCTGATGCCGCTGAGGCGAAGTAATTACCGAACATGTGACCTATTTGTTGGGGGTTAGTAATTAGAGTGTTGTCTTCGGAGAGAGCGATATTATGTCTCTTTTTTTGTCGACCTGTCTCTCGGTTTACTATCTTCCATAGCGTTTTCGGTTTATTTTGCGCGTTGCTTATAATATTGTTGTAATAATTCTGTTTGGTCTGCTTAATTTTTCTTCGGTATTCTCTTTTTGCCAAGTTATATAGAGCGACGTTTATCTGAGTGTAAGTTGTAACTTTTAGTAGTGAGAAACGAGATTTTAATTCATTTCTCATTCTTACTAATTCAGAGGTAAACCATGGTGTAGATGTACTGTTTCGTTTTCGACTTCCGGTTGTAGTCGTGATGGGACATGTTTGGTGGAAAAGCCACAGGAATGTTTCGAGAAATGTGTGAAACGCAGAGTCAACATTGGCACAATCCAATGTACTCCAGTCCACTTGATGAAGAGCTGATTTGAAATTATCCAGGTTGGAAGTTGTCATGTGGCGTCGTCTTGTGGTTCTCGCTTCCTCCACGCCCACGTTATCCGCACTTGACAATATACTGCCCGTAACTACTATTAGATTGGCTAAATGATCTGATAGATTGAGATCAATAGTTTCATACTCATAGTATTCCATAGGAATTGTCGTTACCATGTAGTCAATAGCCGATTGAGAGACTATGTTATTTCTATTCATAGCTATCCTTGTAGGTGTGCTATTTTTGTTTGTTAAATTATATGAATCGAACAAATCTATTAGGATCTTTGATTCAATAGAATTTGATAATAAATTTATATTGAGGTCACCACAGAGGACAAGGTAATCACTAGCTGTGACTGCAATATTGAGCAAATACGCTAGATTAGTAAAAAACAGGTTCACGTTTCCATTCGGTGGCCTGTATATGACAATAATGCATATTTTTTTCTCGTTTATTATTGCAGTAGTAGACGCGGATTCGAAGTGCATTTCAACATTGAACCTGCTTAATTGTGAACAATTTTTGAATTTAATCTCGTCTCTGATTAGAATTATGGAGCCTCCATGAATACGTTCAGTGCGATTATAGACCGCCGCAACTGAGTATCCTGTTATTTTCACAGCATCCATTGCTTCCTCGCTGATCCATGTTTCGGTTAAACATAGAAAGTCAGGATTGTGCTCAGAGATATTTGCTTCGAGATAAGCTAATTTGTTTAAGAGCGATTGAATGTTTAGGTGCAATATTTTTACGTTATGGGGTGACTTTTTGGCTGCGTGGTTAAACTCGTTCCTGTTTAGTCGGTTCTCTACGTGGCACACGAAAGGGCCGGATTATAGTGTGCATGGGCCAAGTGTCGGATTTATAGATGTTACTTTTTTCTGAAACAGGTATCGTTATTTTGAAAGCGGCAATATTCGCGGATTGTATCTCTAGTTTTTCGACATCTAAACAATGAATGTTTTGGTTTTTTAGATGATGTTTGATTTGTTCCGTGGAGGTGGAAGGTGCAAGTCGTGATACAAAAACTGAGTGTCGCGCCTCTACGGCCGATATGGCACACTCTTCCACTTTGTTCCCAATTGTAGTTTTATTGCGTAACTGAGATTTGATCGGCTGGGTTTTAGTTTGGGTGTTAATTGACAGTGGTCTATTAACGTTATTATCACTCACATCACTATTGATATGAATAAGTTGCTGCAGTTTCTCACCTTGATTGGGGTTTTTCGTTATTTCGGAATAGGTGGGTTTATTATCTATATGTGACCTTTTGTTTGATATTTGCTGACTTTGCGATAATTTTGTTATTGTTGGTGCGGCATTAGATTTGTGTTTAAACGTTTCCTTCATAGATGTCGCTACGCAGTCCGATTTCGCGAAAGACACTTCATTAACTTTCTGTTGTAACGCTAATTGATCATATAATGATTGAATTAGTTTTTTTTGGTATTCAATTATATCGTCTTTGTGTTTTAGCACAATGTTCATGTAATGTAGTTGGTCTGTGTGTGTACTCGTAAGTTCATTAGTTGGGCTCACCTTAACAGAGGATGCGTCATTATCACCACAGCAATTTATGTGCTTATCGTCAATTTTCGTGATATTACTATAATACTTTACACAGCCAGGATGCATTGCAGATCCACAGTTAATACATTTCACACCATTCGCGGGCACGATCTTGCACTTTTTACACTTTTTCGTAGGAGCACTTACATCTGTCACTTCCTCTTCCGCCGCCATTACATACATTTAGCACACTATCTTGAGGTACATCCTTTTTTATTGTTAAAAGTTTATATAATGTGTGCTGTGTGTCACTTCTTGATGTCTATTAGTAACATAGCTGTTAAACCATTTTTAACGTAAAAAAGGTTACAAACCTTAATTAATTCTAGTTCCTTTAGTTTCAGTTTAAACCTGATGTTATACAATTGTTTTTCCGATTTGACCGTTGTAATCGTGAGAAAAATGCTTCATGTTTCCTAATTTAACCAACTTGTAGCTGCAATAATAATAAAGTTAATAGTGTTCAAGGACTATAACATTCTCGAAAAAAAACGAAACGTTAACGTTTGTGTGATTATATTATGTCTGAACATTCGTCTAGAGTCCTTACCTAATCTCTTTCTTCAGTGAACAAAAGTAATCTATGCACTTCCAATTGATCGAGGACACCCTGTATAATTATGCAATTTTCTAAGCCACGTGAACAACTGAACAGAAAACTGATTCTAAATTTAAAAATCGCATATTTTTTTATAGAGCAGACATTCTTCTGACAACGAAAGTGAGAGCGATAGTAAGAAGAAAAAGAAGTCTGAAAAAAAGGTTTGTTTAATATCGTAACAGTTTTTTTTTGTAAATAATGCAATAATAATCAGTACTAATAAAGTAATTATAAGAAATGCTGTGCTCGTTGTATGGTTGCTGCTTGTTTACTGCTTCAAACACTGTGGATGTAAAATGAGGCGTCTGTGTGAATTATGTGATTAATGAACTGCCAGGAAATGCTGCTGTAAAAGATCGTGACCAGTTTTGCAAAATCGGTACTATATTTTTGGTTTCACATGCAATTGTGAATGAATAAATGTTAAAAATGCTGTGCTGACAAATATTGTGAGGTTTTACATACAGCGCTACTGTAATAATATGATATGTGGCAATAAAGTTTAATTACAGTAAATTGCTGGTATCAAACTCATAAGGTTTTTTAAGTCATGTTCGATGCACATAATCCTTGCAGTCGCCTCTTAACCAATAAGGTTTCTGGGCTGGAACAGACTCACAAACATCTAATACCTACATTAATATATCTTCTGCAAATACAATGTACAAAGGTGCTTTCAAAATTCCTAGAATAAGTAATTGGGTCAAAGCACTAGAACTTTTGAGTTACTTGTTGTGGCGTCGCCAGTTTTAAGAAAATGGTGTTCTTGTGTTAACAATTTCTACTTTAAAGGTAGGGTTTTTTTTATTTAATACAGCTTCACTATTTTTTTCCGAAATGCAGAATTTAATTCAGTGTTACTAATTATTTTCTTCTTTAAAGTTCTTGCCAGTTCCTTCCATGTGCATGTATGTGTGACTCACATTTTGCTGTTATATGTATACTGATGAATTATGAAGTTAATTTTTGTGTCGATTTTTAAGGGAAAAACTTCCACTTCATCAGATGATGGAGATAGTGACCGCACAAAAAAGAAAAAATCTAAAGATAAGGTTCGATTAGCTTTTGATTATTGTTTTTACCCCTAAATACATTGGAACTGCACCAAAAAATGTAAATTATTTTTTTTTTGCGTTTAGGAAAAAGCGAAGTGGCGTAAAGATAAGCTTCTTACTTCGAAATTATCTGAAACTGACTCCGAGGAGGAATTGGAAAAACATAAGAAAAGACGCGAAAAAAAGAAATCGGAGGCACATCATAAGTAAGTTACTTTCGTTTACGATTTGTAAATGTTAGTCTTAATGATTCTCGTTTTATTAACGTAGTTGGGCAGATGAGGATCATCAGAAAAGTAGTACAAAAGTTAAGAGGTAATTTATTGTGTTAGTTGTCTTGTTATACCCATCGCTTTTACTAAAAAGACTATCCCGCGGTGAAAGCTCTTTCTGTCAAGACCAATTATATGAAAATCGGTTAATCTAAATCGAATTTACATTCAATTCCTTTAAGAGACGTTCCCCTTTCCCCACCCGTCATAGTTTATGAGCTAGCGCTTCATCACATGATGCAAAATCATGCAAGATTGCGATGTATGCATTTTTTATGCATGTTTGTTGGGTATATTTTGGGAAATAAATCATTTTTCTACGTATCTTAAAGTCACTAAATATAGAAAGTACCGCAATCCATTGGGCTCGTGTGTTAGAGAGAGAACGCATGATTTTTGCCCAAAAATGGCGGAAGTTACCAGATTTTAGTAACTTTAATGTTAGGGATTGTTCCACCTGTTTGGCGATATCTGTATATATTTTTATAAAACATGACAGTACTATGAAGTTAGGTTATAAAAAATGACAGCTATTCAGATTTTATTTGTCAATTTTTTTAAGTTGGCAGGAAATTTGCCCAAAAATGGCGGATGATTGCGGTACTTTCTATATCTAGTGACTTTAATTTTCCCTAAAGTCACTAGATATAGAAAGTACCGCAATCATCCGCCATTTTTGGGCAAATTTGCTGCCAACTTAAAAAAATTGACAAATAAAATCTGAATAGCTGTCATTTTTTATAACCTAACTTCATAGTACTGTCATGTTTTATAAAAATATATACAGATATCTCCAAACAGGTGGAACAATCCCTAACATTAAAGTTACTAGAATCTGGTAACTTCCGCCATTTTTGGGCAAAAATCATGCGTTCTCTCTCTAACACACGAGCCCAATGGATTGCGGTACTTTCTATATTTAGTGACTTTAATTTGTATGGTATTTTGGCGGACCCTGGTGGGTGTACTGTGAACTAAAGCATCAAAATCAGAGTAGCGCCATCTGGTGACCAGCTTCTAAAGTCATGAAGTAATTTCCCAAATTCGATATAAATCATAAATATCGATAAAGAATACACAGTTGTTAAATTAAAGTGTATTTAGATACAATCACATTACATTATTTAACACATCAGAGAACTTAAATTACATGTTTACAAATTACATATAAAACTCAGAAGTGAGTGGAACTTACGGTTTGTAGATGTTAACACTTTGCAGAAGATCCTTACATAACGATTTGTCGTACGAAATGTTTGGTTTTAATTGCTGTTTGGACTACATATTTTTGTTAAAAAATATCTATACTGTATTCATTTTAAGAAGGTAGCGGTAGAAAGCATAGGGAAACTTTGACTTTCAGTGTGATTGGTTAAAACACGAGTCAGTATTACACTGAAACATAAAACGAGTAGCAAATTTTGCAAGCTGGTAGTTTCTGTTGCGAACTAAACTGTTGAAATGTCATTAGCTGTTAATGTCAAAGATTTATTTCTTTTTGCGGTGCTAGATATTTCTACTTTACAATAATTTGGAGCCGTTTTATATTTTTCCTGTGTGTGTTTATCTTCAAACACAGCGCCATCTACTACCTTCTTATAATGAATGAAGTATAGAACTAAATTTTTTATTCCAAGAGGTAATAAAACCGTTTCAGCAAATTGTCACACAAGTTTTTGACAACAAATGCCAACTTGATTCTGGTGCTTACTTGTTACTTGAGAAGCGAGGGTGGAAGTTGTTGAATTATCTAAAAGGTATAGAAAGTCTGCAAAACGACGCGATACATTCCGCGCCATAATTAATTATTAATTATTCCATTTTGACAGTTGACGCTTCACGTTATTTTAGTTTACACTTTGCTTTTTGTATTTGCTTTATTTTACGTTTTCCGTCTGTAGTTTTATACCAACTCATCTTTTTCAAGACGCTTGGATCTACGATCTAATAAGGTATGTAATTCCCTTAAAGTGTTTTTAAATTTTGCACCAGAATGTACGGTCTACATTTCTAGCGCCCTTGGACACGCCCTGTCAGGGACTTTCTGAGCGTGGTGCCACTGTATGTTTGACTTGTAGGATTTCAAATTCTGCGACCTAAGTTGGTACCATGTTATGTTGGTACTGCTAATTAGTAGCATCTTGCAAAAACTAAAATTCAACTGAAAATAGAAATTAACTCCCTCGTTTTTCTGTATAACTATGTATACCACGTGTTTAGTCTATTAACACTTACCAAAAAAACTTTTAATATAAAAGGCGTGATTGCGGTGAAATAACATCGACATTTCTAAAAAAACTCACTGAAATCTGGATAAACTTTCCGATCGAATTGACAGCACACAAATTAATTTTTTGACGGATAGGTATATGCCGATCCATGGTACAATGGTACAATAAGACAAGGTATGCCTATGCGTGACGTCATTGGGATAACTTGGCTCTACCGTTCAATAAAGTAATGGGGTTTGTGTAGTCCACCAGTTAATAAAAGTGTATCCCCTTTACGGATGTGATAAGATTTGTTCAATCCATGTCAACTGCGTCAAGTTTCTCACATTAAACTTACAAAGCATCAATTATTGCATGTTATCAATACAAATATTTAAAGTTACAATAAAATATGTAAGTAAAAAAAGTAAAAATTATATTAGCGTTTTCAAATAAGGACGAGACCTCTAGCGGCAATAAAAAAAACTTAAAAGGCTGATTAAATTTCTGAAATAAGTATATTAAGTGGTACGTTTAGCTTTTCTGTTGCCTTATATTTATATCTAAATGCATTCCGAGATGCATTCAGTATGATTACTCAACCAAATTAATTGAGTAATTGCAATGGCACTTCTAATTCAAGTATGAAGCGTATAGCATTTTCAAACTTGGCGGTGATTCTTGCGACGTCATTGGGATAAAAAGGTCATCTGCGTATAGTTATAGGCATACCTTGTCTTATTGTACTATGTGCCGATCGATGTAGCTGTTAAAACAATTGCTGCCGCACCGTCAAACGCGCGATGTTTAAATAGTCGTTAAGGTTTCTCAAATTTTCCAATTTTCTGCGCGATTTTCTTAGTTTTTCTTGCCGTAAGAACCTTCTACACAGTATTAGAAAACTAAAAAAAAAAAGATGAATGAAATCGGTAAAGTCGTTCTAAAGTTATTGCGTGACCAGAAGAAACAGGGGTTCATTTTTATATATTTCTCAAATTTTCCAATTTTCTGCGCGATTTTCTTAGTTTTTCTTGCCGTAAGAACCTTCTACACAGTATTAGAAAACTAAAAAAAAAAAGATGAATGAAATCGGTAAAGTCGTTCTAAAGTTATTGCGTGACCAGAAGAAACAGGGGTTCATTTTTATATATAGAGATAAAACTCAAGTCTACACCCTTCTGCAGGTATAGGCAGTATAGGTAAACTGTTGGTAATTTATAAATTCCATACCTTGCATAGATAGGGGAGAAATAACAGCACATTTCAACCCTCTTCGCGTTTCAAGCACAAAACAATCTGTTTCAAAATATGGGAAACGATGCCTTTTTGATATTTTATCGTTACAATCCGCCACACAACCCTTTTTACGGTCACGTAACTTGTTCTTAGTTTAAATCTTTCAAAAGTCAAAATTGGCATGTGTAAAACCATGTGTACGTACAAAATCGACGGTAAAAATATTTCCTGTAACGAGCAAAATTACAGGTTTTGCAAAAAAATATTTGAGTCTGCGATAAATAGTTCTCCGTACAACCACGGGAAACGCTGTAATCAGTGACAATTTAGCGCCATTTATGTTTCTGTTCTGTGAAGGTCTTGCACATCTGCCAAAATGACTAGTTGTCGGCATACAAATTTGCTTGGAGTTGGCGGGTCCGTTCAACACTATTTCTGTAAAATTACGTTTCGCGTATATCAGCCGAAAACGGGTTATTTTGGCAGGTCGAAGAACCACATCTACTTATCTTTCCAACACAGATAACCATAAATCCAATCCAATCGGGTTCTCAAGCATCAAGCATAGCAAACAATTCGGTCACCGTGAGTTCGGTATACAATGGCCCGATTTTGAGCGGTCAAGTTTCCGTGCTAACGAGTACCGTAATCGGTTCGAACAACGTCGTCACGCAAACTATCCCCGTCGGATCGGGGAGTGTCAATCAAGTTTCCGTGAATGATTCCATTGTTAATCACAATGGAAGCAGTCACGTTAATATCAGCGGTCCCAGTACTGTCACAACGAGGCGAGCGAATAATACAAGCGTGACAATCGTAAACGCGAACCAAGGGGCGGCCTCTCAAAGAATGAGCGTTTTCGAACCGTACCCGATGAGAGACACCGTGCAGCACTTCTGCGAAAAGCACTTGGATAAAATTAAGATCTACATGGATAAAGTGTCCTCGAAAATTCCCCCACCCGCCAAATGCACTATCGAAGAAAGGCGGCACAAAAAATCGGCGAAACTGCACTTCGCCTGTCAAGCTCGCGGCCAGCATTGTCTGTATTCGAAGACCTTCTTCACGATGCGAACGAGGAATCCGCGCATCTGGATACACCTGATGTTTATCGCGCTACAAGTTGGTTCGAGGGGTTGTTAACGTCAGTAATGCAAACTTTGTTTTAAGGCTCGATCGCCCCACGCCCTAAGCTCGAGGGACGCGAGCGTCACAAGCCTGAAGCACTGCTGGGACATGCTCAAGTGCGAAAATAAGACATTCTTGACTCTTGTAACGAGCGCGTTTCCGTGCTCCAAGGACCAAGAGATGCTGCTCAACGAGCTGAGGCATTCGGGATTCTTCGACGTTTTCCAATTGTGCCCCGGAAACATCGGGGGTTCGTCCAGTCACATCGAGAACGGCATTAAATTTCAGTGGGGCTGTTTTCTGTGCGCCCATCCGGAGAGGGCGGTGGGATTTTTAAGAGGTGATTGACTGCCAGCGATTATCATTGGAGCACGATAATCGTGAAATGTTTCAGGTGATACTCAACCTGTGATAGAGGGGCAGCTTAAAGAGAAGAAGGGGAAGTGGAAGCTCTTTCGGAGGTGGAGGACGAGGTATTTTACGTTGTCGGGCGCCCATTTATCATGTAAAGGATCTGTAAGTATTTTTTACAACCGTTACGCTTCTGAATTGGACAACTAAATTTTAATATTGACGCTATACAGGGCGTAACAATTAAGTATGTCAAAATCCGGGTTCTAACGTGGATGGGTTGGGTTGGTAGAGCAGCCTTGGCTGAAACCCCGCCCACATAAATAAATACCAAAATACTAAACACTGAACCTAACCCTTTGTACGAATAGAAAGAGACACACTAACACAAACACCAAGTAATCTTGATTCTCGATCTTTTTGGTGATGGATAAATCTATGTTAACGGGCATTTTGAAAACCATGTAGGGCGGCTTCACGTGTGATAAACACTCATCTAAATACATACGCATAAATTCTACAGTAGCGGTTACAGCGCCACCAAGGGATGCAACCCTGCCCTTAGTCGGGATAGGCGGTAGGAACGGTTTCGAAGTTTTGCAACAAAACTGTTTGTACCCCCACGAACCGGGATAGTCGAGGTGTAGATTGCGTCCCCAAGGACCTGGTATTTTTCTCTCGTGACGCTATAGGTTCCTGCGTGGGTCCCACCTTCTCTATGTCCTATCCCTTCTACCCATCCAAAACGCAGCGATAACAAACTTCTTATCGCATGACCGGATTTAAAATGAGATAAACTCGCAAGTATTTCCAAATGTCCTTAATTTTTTAAACGTAATTTTACTGAACAATAAAGCAAACAAAATACAAGACGATTGTTGAAACAAAATTAAACATCTAATAACTCTTGATACAAAATTCAAATACTATGATCGAATTTGTGTTCAATCGAAATTAGCGACCACATTTAATCTTAAAAAAAAATTGAAATTCACATTATACAGGATGACCCATCGATATTATAAGTGTTGATATCAATAAAAACGTCAGCATAATGTCATTTACACAACAATAAACGAAAAGGGGTGGTAGTGAGGAGCACAATTTTTTTCAATTAAACAATGTCGAACATGAATCGTTTGGGATTCGCCAATAATTCCATAAATTGTGTTTCTTCTTGAATTTTTTCGTAAGAACGATCCATTTTAGATCCTGTACAATGTACATTCAATGGAATATTTTAAAAACAAACTTTTGTCCGCGTTTTTTAGAAGCGTGTATCGTTAAAAACCCATTTTTTATGTAGTTTATATGCAGCAAGTCAAAAATGGATCTAACTTTGTTTTAGAGCGGGGGTGAAAGCATCGACGTAAATCAAATAAGATCCGTAAAGGTATCCCGTGGCGCCCGAAACATACCGAAGGCCTTCGAAATCTTTACGGGCAACCAGTCGTTGATCCTAAAACCGAAGGACGGTAAAAACGCCGAAGAATGGGTACAATGTCTAAGTATCGTCGTCGCCCACTCGCACGCCAAGGAATTGCCGGCCAAAAGTAATTCTCTTCCAGCTAGGGGCACTAGTCGTACAGCGATGTAATACTTTTTTTTTAACGAAGAGATTGTGATCAAATTTTACTTAATCTACATTTATTTATTCAATCTGTCTCGTATTTCTTTCATTCGTCAGCATTACTTATAATTAATTAGCAATCCATCCCCAAGTTTACATTCCATATTGCAATTGATTTATTTACCGTTTCTTATTTTGGGCTGGACACCAACAGTCTGGTAATATTATCTGCTAAATGACTTTCTGTGTGCTTTGTTTTCATGAAAAGTAACGGTCAAATAAAGTAACATGAAAAACTGACCTTTAATTTTCATGCAAACAAATATATTCCCATCAAATAAGTTTTACTGACTAAAGAAAAACCGGACCTAAATCTACTTATTTTGTAGCACACTGTTTGATTTATAGAGGCTATACCTTTGGACCAAAAGATTTTCCTTTTCTCGTTACCTGGATGTGATATAAAATGATTATTCCGCTACTCGAACAAGTATAAATGTGACACAATCCCAGTTTAAACATCACATTTAATTTATCGTTTTTTTTTATGATGAAAGACAACTACAATGTTATAATGTACTTATATACTTAAATAGCGTATTGATCAAAATTTTTTATTTTTGAAATCTTTTAAAGGACATATGTATTTTTATGAATATTTATATTATCTGTTTATTCTAAAACATTCCAATGCTTGTATGTGCATATTTTATTATTGTTACGAAATAAATATTGGTTTGTATAGCTGGTTTATGTTTTGCAGGTTTAACGTATGAAAAAAAAGCAATGGCGCCACAAATATCCTTTTCCTTTAATGTGCGTTACCTTTGATTGGCGTTCAGTAGAATGCCACCAAAATCCTCTCCCTTACCGATATGTGCCTTATACCAGTTGATAAGTTATATCAATGTGTAACATTCTTTTCTTAACAATTTAAAATTCCATAATACCTTGCTGTGTGCAATGGCCCGATCAAAGTGAACCATAAACTCTCTACTCCCAGAACAACTCCGAATCCCGGCACAACAACAAATTTTACTTCAAATTCCAGATTCTAAAGCAGCCGATGGCGAAGATCAAATTCCAAAGCGATCATAAACACACCTGAGGTAAACTGTGGGTATGAATCAACAAAATTTATTATAATTAAGCATGAGACGGTAAAGGGTTTGAATAAACACACGATTTGCATGATTTCACACAAACAAAATTACAGTTTTCGGTTACAAATCCCAATTAAAAAAAATCCCGGCACCCAGAAACACTAATTTCGAAAGAAGATAACGTAACGCACTAACTTGTTCTTAAATTTTCTTTCAAATATGTTGCAGAAACGTTGGTTTTTTCAAATTTGAATTAACTGACTAAACATATATACGATCGATGAATCGAATGGCTATCCCGTTTACACAAGAGGACAACTTCAATGAAAGCTGCTACCCCAAACTATTACGTAGGTACTGAATTCTATTTGACAAACAACAAGGCCATACTTTAACGCAGAAACGCGCGTCTTCTAAACTTCAAAGGACTGCAACTCGGTTTCGAAATAGGCAAAAGGTCCCCTTTCAATGCTAATTCTTAAAACCTGTCTTCTTGTGTACTGTCCCTGATGTAGTTTCTGAGATCACCATGATAGACACCCGGCTTATCTTGGATACAGTGTACAAAAACAATTTATGGTTCCGGTAGATTTAGAACCATAGTAATTTCTTTAGATCGCATTTATACTGTGATAATCCACCCTGATGGGCTTACATCTGAAACAAAAATATAATGTGCTCTGTATATAACCAATCGACCGTTTTGCGCAGATGCTAGGGGATTTTCGTAACGAAGCTAAGCTAGAGGAATGAAGAAGATGGCGACGAGTTCGATGGAAGGCACACGCTTTCCCGGTTTTTTTTTATTCTTGATTATTTTTGGTGGTGGTGTTTTGAAGGTGTATTTACAGGTAGGTAGTAACCATTTTATTCTTTCTTGTACTAGCTATTTAATCATTGAATTTCTTGCCGCAATTTGATATTATTTACATTTTGCTGATTTTGCATAAACTACGATATCTGAATCATGGCGTACTCCATGCCTTTCTTTAAGTACCGTTAAATGAATCATGTTTGTTTATTAATTGTTATACTGTACAGCCATTGTTTTGTTTAATTAAGTATTTATTTCTGTATTCATGAGGACTTGATTATCAGTGCGATGTTGCTCTGTGTCCGATTGATCCGTACCTATTCCGTGAGGCTGTACGATGTTTCCATGTTGTGTGTGCGAGTGGGTCATTCTGTCTCCGTGTGTAGGTACCTAATACAGTTCCTCGAATTAACATTTCCTCTATTTAAAATATGATCTGCTTGAGCGATAATCGATTTTCACATGAATACTTGCTATTGGCATTCTCACATGTAGGTACCTACTTTTCGTGTTAAATTAAATTATGTTAACGTTTCCTGTGTACATGCAATCTATTATTGTACGAGTTGTGTTATCTCAATTGATCGTACAGGTATTTTGATGTGTTTTTGTACTGAATTGAGTTATCATGTTTTCCACTGCCTTTGTCAGGGTTTTAGTCCCGTAGAAGGTTTCCCTGGCATGGTCTTGTGTGTGCGTAATATATTTATTTGTTCTGGTCATTTCTTACGCACAAAAGTTCTGTCTTTTGTTTAATTCCCTTCCCGATTATGTCTCACGTCTTAACACATAAAAGAACCGATTACACAACGTAGGAGTCCATTCGTGCCACCCATATCGAGCCGACTGCTATCCAAATTTAAAAGTGCCGCGAAACGTCCATTGTTTCGACCAGAAAGGTAGGTGGCTCTGCCAGAGTTGCCCACGTTAAGTATAGGGTAAGTCAACGTTTTTAGTGTTGGCTTGATAGACCCCTAGGAACATTACAATACCTAAGCAAAAAACCGATTTCAATCCTGACAATTCAAGTCGTTTTGCATCCACAATAACTTCAAGTCTGGCTGCCATAATAATTAATTTGAATATATTTGCTTTACCTTCCACATATTTTCGGTCGTGTGTGTGATGTATTGAACTGCAGAGAAGGTTGATATTGTCAGTTGGTATAGTACCTACCGGTAACAGTTTCAGTACCTAGCGTATGAAGCCAAAGGAACAATATTTAAATTAATTAATATGATCTTGATTTATTTTAAAAAGTTGGATTGGATGCATAAAATTAGGCGCTCTTCAGACGAGATTTTGTCATTTAAAAGTAGACATAAGCAAAAACAATACACGTAAATCCGTATGACCACTTATTCTTACTAATAAGTAGCATTGTAGGTATATTTAGACATGTGCATCTGTTCTTATCTATATATTGTAGTTATGCAATGTAATATTATTCCTAAACGCAAATCATTTGCGAATGAGTCGTCAGTGAATGCGGTTGTAGGTACCTACGTGCTCCGTTTGTATGAAACGTGTTTTTTACGTGGAAAGGGTGAGTTTTGTATATCTTTATTTCATTAACGCAATTAGATATACTACAGGGTGGCAAGTTGAGAGGTTTTCACCCCTTAACTTCCAAATAACTAAATCCATAAACCCTCGGACACGTAAACGTTAGTTTTTGGTGGGAGTGAGGCGTACTTTTATGAATTTTGAAAGGAAATTAAACTGACTTACTTATTCCTATTGAAATACTTTATCAAAAATTAGATATAAATGAATTTCAAATTTGTGCTCAGATTTCCACATTGACGGCGTTCAATTCTCTCCTTGAACCAAAATTGTGACTGGACCTTGCTTGTAATTTTCATAATTTTGGCAAAACAATTTTTGTTGCTATTATATTTAATTTTTTTTTGTTTTACACTACACTTATTGTTACAGTATCTGGCAATTTTAAATTTGAACAGTTCCCGCTTATATGCATTTCATTTATGGAAAAAACGGAAGTTACGCCAATGAAATTGTTCACCGCGCTTTTTTTAACGATTCAAATTGCACAAGGACGTCTTAAGTGACTGCTTTCATATTATTTAGATATATAATTGCGCGTCGTGCTTTTCGAGCTGGCGATTTATTAGTCGACGCGGCATGATTATTTGTAGTTGTAGCTGGTTCAGAGTGCGTGCCTTTATTCAAGACACTTAGGTAAAGTTTACTTTTACTTCTCTTTGTAAATTTATCGTGAAATACTTAAGTAGGATGCAGGGCATTTGTTTTATATAATTTGCTGCAGTACGTACTTGATTGATTTTCCAAGGCCTGCGCAATGTTTAATGTTTTCGGGTGGGTTAACAATTAACTAAAGGCCTTTGCTAGGGGTAACTTGATTTAGCTGAGATACACGACCCATAAAATGCTTTCTCATGTTGTACACTGGGTATATGTTGCTTGAGGATTGAGGTCCATTTATGTTAGGGTATTTCTTAGATTTCAATGAGGGGTGGCCCACAAGCGTAAGATTACAGTACCTATACGGGGTGTTGATATAATTTGGAGTAGGTAGTAGATGTCGAGTGGAACTTTTTCTATGTTGTAGCATTTTACATTTAACTTACCGAAATGCGATATTTAATCCAATTACGATTCGGTTTTTGATTTGTGCGACGTATCGGTGATTTCGGTTTGTTCTATATAATTGGGGGAAGGGGGGTTACTTAGTTATTAGATTTAGGCCGGTTCTTTCTTTCTTGTAAATCTCTAAATTGTGGCCCTGAAAAGGGCCATTTATTTGTGTTCGAGAGACGAGAGACGTCTCCTCGTTGCGAAATTATATGTTGATAATGTATTGTAATGATGCAGGAAAAACACAGAGGCTCCTATAATTAATATAAACTCGCACGGAACGCCGTCGTCGTCTTATTTTTTTTTTTTCTCTTGTCCCTCTCTTCTATTTTTCGCTTTCATTATCTACAATTTCTTCTTCACTTCCTTCTTGAGCTCTAATTTATTGTAGTGTAACTTCCCCTCAACAATTTCTTCTTTCACTCTTGCATTTGTTCAACTTGTTTCAGCATTTGCCTTTGTAATATAGTATCTTATTCTTATTCACGTTTAATAATAATAGTAATAATAATCATTTATTGATCAACAAAATATTTTCCAATAACAGGACAATGTACTTGTGTACTAAATAAATCCAGTGTACATATATGAAATTAAAAGTGTACTGTAAATACTCAAAAAGGGAACTTAAAATTAAACACAATAGAGAATCACAAAGAATAAGTTAAACAGATATAAAAAATCAAACAAATGCATTTCATGCACATAAAACAATTAAATTATATTCGGTGCCCATAGTCGGTATGTAGCCATTTACCCTCCCATACTAATGATGTCGGTGGTCGCTATCCATACACAACAAAACTGAGCCAGGATTCCAACCGAAATATTCTTCGAATTGAATAACTATGCAGCAACCCACTTTCAGCAAAAATCCAAAATTCATTCAGGTAGGATTACTGAACACGGCCTATATGTTTATTAATTTGGTAGGATTACAGATATGAGCACTTATCTTCAATATCAAATTCGGAAGTGTCGTCCAACTGACCAGCCGAGCAATCATGAATATAATATACCTACCTACTATGTCCAAATATGGATGAACTGGTGAGTTATCATGGTTCCTATTACATCACTTTAAATAAAAGCAAAACTAACATCAGGTTTAAAATTTGGTTTTGCACATGCTCCATACCCAGGAGCTCGTTTTCTATATTTGTTTAGTTTATTACTCTATGATCTATTACCTCTCCATCCGCATGGTCTTTTTTAACGTTATTTCTGTTCACAGGTAACGGCCATATTTGGAGATTATCCGGCGTGAAGAGAATTCAAATGAAGTGGTTGCCGTCCATCCAGAATTGCTGATGACTGACACAGTGCTGATCACCATATAGAATTTGGTACCATTTTACGAAGGATGTTCCAAGTTTTCTGGTGAGTGAGTCGTAATTTGAATTGTTCATCAAGCTTTAAATATGTAGCTTGATTCTGTCGTGTTAAAACTTACATAAAACTACATATGACTAAACTTGAAAAGTTAGTACACATAATTGAATATTTAAATATTTTTTATCGTCTAAACGGTGGACTCCAGTCATGTAGGGGACAAATAAGACCTTTGCCCTACTAAAGGTGGGGTAGTAGTAATTTTTTAACATGCTCTTGAGGTCGAGTCGCCATCTTGGACGAAAATCAGTTTTTTCAAAATAACTCCGCAAAGGTACAAAAAAAAGTTCTAATAAAATGTGAAGAATTATGAAGAAATATGTGTAAAAATAATAAAAAAAACCTTTCCTTTTTACCAAAAATCGACTACAACATCTTTTATTTAATAATTTATTTGTATATTTATTTATTGATTATCCCTCGGGCTGTACCTTTTGTAACTCTCCAAACTATCCGGTTTTATGGTTCAGTGGTAAAGCGTTGGACTATAAATTCGGAGGTAGGGTGTTCGAACACCTGGGTTGAGGTGAATTTTTCATCTGTGACAAAGATGGGAATTGTTTGAAATTATGGATTCTACAGGCCATATTCTATAAGGAAAGGTTTTTTTCCGGTCGATTTGAGACAATTTTTTTTTCGGGCCTCAAAAAAGGTCATCTCTTTGGTAATCCCTATACTTTTCCAAATTAATTTCTTATAATAGTTGAACCAGTTCCAATGAGATGTCGCCACGTACGTAACTACCTTCTCAAGAACATTTTAATTTATGCACTTAATAGCCACGTCCGACTCAATTTTCCTTAAAAGGCAGTTGAAAATGTGCACTTTCATGTAGGATTTGTAGAGCAATTGTCCTTCAATGATCCAGTATCTGGAGTTGTCTTTTGTGTATGCAATTGGTACATTTGCGCCATCTATTTGGTAATCCCTACACTTTTACAATTTAAATTCTTGTAATAGTTGAACCACTTCCAATGAGATGTCGCAACGTACGTAACTACTTTCATAAGTACCTTTTAATTTACGCACTTAATAGCCACGCCCGACTCAATTTTCCTTAAAGGGCAGTTGAAAATGTGCACTTTCATGTAGGATTTGTAGAGCAATTGTACTTCAATGATCCAGTATCTGGAGTTGTCTTTTGTGTATGCAATTGGTACATTTGCGCCATCTCTTTTTTAATCCCTACACTTTTACAATTTAAATTCTTGTAATAGTTGAACCACTTCCAATGAGATGTCGCAACGTACGTAACTACATTCATAAGTACATTTTAATTTACGCACTTAATAGCCACGCCCGACTCAATTTTCCTTAAAGGGCAGTTGAAAATGTGCACTTTCATGTAGGATTTGTAGAGCAATTGTACTTCAATGATCCAGTATCTGGAGTTGTCTTTTGTGTATGCAATTGGTTCATTTGCGCCATCTCTTTGGTAATCCCTATACTTTTCCAAATTAATTTCTTGTAATAGTTGAACCACTTCCAATGAGATGTCGCAACATACGTAACTACATTCATAAGTACATTTTAATTTACGCACTTAATAGCCACGCCCGACTCAATTTTCCTTAAAGGGCAGTTGAAAATGTGCACTTTCATGTAGGATTTGTAGAGCAATTGTACTTCAATGATCCAGTATCTGGAGTTGTCTTTTGTGTATGCAATTGGTTCATTTGCGCCATCTCTTTGGTAATCCCTATACTTTTCCAAATTAATTTCTTGTAATAGTTGAACCAGTTCCAATGCGATGTCGCCATGTACGTAATTACCTACAAAACATTTTAATTTACGCACTTAATAGCCACGCCCGACTCAATTTTCCTTAAAGGGCAGTTGAAAATGTGCACTTTCATGTAGGATTTGTAGAGCAATTGTACTTCAATGATCCAGTATCTGGAGTTGTCTTTTGTGTATGCAATTGGTTCATTTGCGCCATCTCTTTGGTAATCCCTATACTTTTCCAAATTAATTTCTTGTAATAGTTGAACCACTTCCAATGAGATGTCGCAACATACGTAACTACATTCATAAGTACATTTTAATTTACGCACTTAATAGCCACGCCCGACTCAATTTTCCTTAAAGGGCAGTTGAAAATGTGCACTTTCATGTAGGATTTGTAGAGCAATTGTACTTCAATGATCCAGTATCTGGAGTTGTCTTTTGTGTATGCAATTGGTACATTTGCGCCATCTATTTGGTAATCCCTACACTTTTTCAAATTAAATTCTTGTAATAGTTGAACCACTTCCAATGAGATGTCGCAACGTACGTAACTACATTCATAAGTACATTTTAATTTACGCACTTAATAGCCACGCCCGACTCAATTTTCCTTAAAGGGCAGTTGAAAATGTGCACTTTCATGTAGGATTTGTAGAGCAATTGTACTTCAATGATCCAGTATCTGGAGTTGTCTTTTGTGTATGCAATTGGTACATTTGCGCCATCTATTTGGTAATCCCTACACTTTTTCAAATTAAATTCTTGTAATAGTTGAACCACTTCCAATGAGATGTCGCAACGTACGTAACTACATTCATAAGTACATTTTAATTTATGCACTTAATAGCCACGTCCGACTCAATTTTCCTTAAAGGGCAGTTGAAAATGTGCAATTTCATGTAGGATTTGTAGAGCAATTGTACTTCAATGATCCAGTATCTGGAATTGTCTTTTGTGTATGCAATTGGTACATTTGCGCCATCTCTTTGGTAATCGCTATACTTTTCCTTATTATTTTCTTGTAATAGTGGAACCAGTTACAATGAGATGTCGCCACGTACGAAAATACCTTCACAAGAACATTTTCATTTATGCACTTAATAGCCACGTCCGACTCAATTTTCCTTAAAGGGCAGTTGAAAATGTGCAATTACATGTAGGATTTGTAGAGCAATTGTACTTCAATGATCCAGTATCTGGAATTGTCTTTTGTGTATGCAATTGGTACATTTGCGCCATCTCTTTGGTTATCCCTATACTTTTCCAAATTTAATTCTTGTAATAGTTGAACGAGTTCCCATGAGATGTAGCCACGTACGTAACTACATTTAAAAGAACATTTTAATTTATGCACTTAATAGCCACGTACGACTCAATTTTCCTTAAAGGGCAGTTGAAAATGTACAATTTCATGTAGGATTTGTAGAGCAATTGTACTTCAATGATCCAGTATCTGGAATTGTCTTTTTTGAACGAGTTCCCATGAGATGTAGCCACGTACGTAACTACATTTAAAAGAACATTTTAATTTATGCACTTAATAGCCACGTACGACTCAATTTTCCTTAAAGGGCAGTTGAAAATGTACAATTTCATGTAGGATTTGTAGAGCAATTGTACTTCAATGATCCAGTATCTGGAATTGTCTTTTTTGAACGAGTTCCCATGAGATGTAGCCACGTACGTAACTACATTTAAAAGAACATTTTAATTTATGCACTTAATAGCCACGTACGACTCAATTTTCCTTAAAGGGCAGTTGAAAATGTACAATTTCATGTAGGATTTGTAGAGCAATTGTACTTCAATGATCCAGTATCTGGAATTGTCTTTTGTGTATGCAATTGGTACATTTGCGCCATCTCTTTGGTTATCCCTATACTTTTCCAAATTTAATTCTTGTAATAGTTGAACGAGTTCCCATGAGATGTAGCCACGTACGTAACTACATTTAAAAGAACATTTTAATTTATGCACTTAATAGCCACGTACGACTCAATTTTCCTTAAAGGGCAGTTGAAAATGTGCAATTTCATGTAGGATTTGTAGAGCAATTGTACTTCAATGATCCAGTATCTGGAATTTTCTTTTGTGTATGCAATTGGTACATTTGCGCCATCTCTTTGGTAATCCCTATACTTTTCCAAATTAATTTCTTGTAATAGTTGAACCAGTTCCATGAGATGTAGCCACGTACGTAACTACATTTAAAAGAACATTTTAATTTATGCACTTAATAGCCACGTACGACTGAATTTTCCCTAAAGGGCAGTTGAAAATGTTCAATTTTATGTAGGATTTGTAGAGCAATTGTACTTCAATGATCCATTATCGGAATTTTCTTTTGTGTATGCAATTGGTACATTTGCGCCATCTCTTTGGTAATCCCTTATCTGTTCCCAATTCATCTTGTAATTAGTTGAACGAGCTTACCATGAGAATGCTAGCCCCGTATGTAACTACATTAAAAAGAACATTTTAATTTATGCCACTTAATAGCCCACTTGTAACGACTCAATTTTCCAACCAATTTCGAAAAAAAATTCAAAGCGCTGTAACTTTTGAACTAGCAGCCCAATCTTGGAACTGTTTGAAATTATGGATTCTACAGGCCACATTCTATAAGAAAAACATTTTTCCAGGTCGATCTGAGCCCACTGACAGTTCAAATCTGTGCACAGAAAAACTGTTTACTGTGCAATGTACCTTTATGCATTAATAAACGTTTAAAAATCAAGAGTTTTTCTTTAACTGAGACAATACATGCAGGACATTTTGCAAGAACTTGATTATCTTTGTTTTGCCACAAAGCTGAAACTTATGCCTTATTGCAATACCTAACAAGAAACCCGATTAAATTAAAATAATAGATAAGACAGAGCATTAAAAAATGTATATTATCATATCGCACAATTAAAGTGAATGCTGAAAAGGGAAGGCAAATTACGACTTAATAATTTAAAAAACCGAATTAAGTTTCCTTAAATTACAACATTATTGGTGATTAACAAAAAAAATCAATTATAATAATTCAAATTTCAGTACAACAAACTGTATTACAATATACGTTCATAAAACAATAAGTAAGCCTGAACTCCTAGGACCTTACTCTCTGGCACCTCGATCACATAGGAATCGCTAATGTAATACCACTTTCCCGTCGGATAATCGGGATTCGCCTCGGCGCCTCTGCAGTGGTAGCTTTGGGAAGCCATCTGATTCTTGGGCAGGTACTGCCACCGGTAGCTCTGGTTCTGAAGCTTAGGTCTCACTTTGACGTACGCCACGTAGTGACCTCCGTGCAAGGAACCGCTATGCTCGACGACGCCGTACAAAGAGTACAACACCTTGTTCTGACCGTGCTCGAAAGTCGGAAGCTTCTGACAGCGCTTTGAGCAGAACGGCGCCAAGTCGAGAAGCGTGGGAAACTTAACGAACCTATTTACTTTCATTGAACGAAACCTAAGAACCTAAATGTTGGGTTTTAAGGTTAGAAAATCACGTAGGTACACGGACGCCTACCTGAAAGCGCTTTAAATGCAAGATGAGGACGGCCGGCGGATTGCAAATTAGTAACTGCTTCGTTGCGTTGGTGTACACATTTTTCCCATTCCCGACGTTCTTCGTGCACACATCACAGAGTACCTTATTATTTCCGGTTAAAAGCTCGCACGCTGTAAATTGATTTAAACAAGATTGGACGGAACATTCGCCCTCGACGCACTGATAGCGACTCGTAATGGTATTCGTCCACATGTCCGCGTCATACTCCTCGCTCATCTATTAACAAATTACGTTATGTCTGAATAAAGTGGGGCAGATTACCTCTTCGTCCTGAGGGGCGTTGTATTGTCTGTACAAACTGCTCATTTTCTTCGATTCAGTTTCGTTTAGTAAAGTTAGTTTTTCTAAGTCGGCTTTTAAATCTATGTTTTTATTATTTACAAATGACAATCGGGATTCGGGCCTCTCGTAGTCTTCATTCGTGCTGAAATGGTACTTGGTATCATTAACGGACCTGACCGACGTCTGTCGACCACTAAGCGGTAGACAGACTGCGACCCTTACTCTTCCAGCGGACTGTTGTGTCCACAAAGGGGACTGCCCATGTCGATGTTAGTTTCGCTTGAAGTCCGACTATTCTCGAGACTATCGGGAGCGAGCGGAGACGCGCTCAGCATTCCCATTGTCGACGTTTGCGCGTCTTCGATCCGCATCTCCGTCGTGTACTCCTCCTTCGAAGTGGGCGTGCCATTTTCAATTTTATCGGAATTGTAACCCGACTCGGTTCCCTTCAGTTCCTCTCTCGTTTGAAATCCCTCCGTTTTATTCGTCATACCGTCCTAAAGCTGCGAGTGAGCGCATGCGTTTACGGTACGTCACTTACCTCCACGTTGTCTTCAACGTCCGCGTCGGACTCCGTTTCGGACTTATTGTCGCCGCCTTGATGCGTGCCGAAATCGTTTTCGCCCATGCTATTATCGTTGAACGCCTTTAATTTCTTATTCTTTTTCGCCGCGCGTTTTTCCTTCTTGGTTTGGTACTTCGAAGGTTTATTGTCGTCGGATTCTTCCGCTTTGCGTCTTAGAACTGGAGGTATTTGTGTCTCGCTTATTGGTAAACTAAAAGGAATTAAATTTTAAATTTAACTGGGCTGCCAATTTTCAAGTTGTGGTGACATTTGGGACCCCCAAAAAGCAAATTTGGTAATTTTGGTAATTACAAATTGAAACTTAGTGGCAACCACAAATAATACCAAACTGATAAACCGCTATGGGCACTAACTGTAAATACAAGGGTACTGGAAATCCCATGGTTGTTGGTGTAGTGGGAGGAATAGGTATCTGCTCACACTCCGCCCACTAGAAAATTAACCCACATAACACAAAAATGCTGCAGAAATATTTTTTATATATTACACTGCAACATTCGACATATTGCAGTAACCTTTCAAAATATTACAGCAATATTACAAACACAGATATATAAAAATGTCCGCCCTTTGAAATATATCTTTGTAATATTTTTGCAATATAATGCCAACATGTTCCTGAAATATTTCATGCATAATATTGCATCTGGAGGTGCGAACACGCTATAGTCTCGAAATTTGTGCCGACAAAAGTGAGCGAAGTTATAGCAAACATCTACAGACAATTAAAAATCAAAATAACTCCCAAAGGGTATATTTTCCCGACAAACTTTATACAGCACAAACCGGCACAAGCGTAATTTGTGTAATATGTATCGATATTCCTTTATCGACTGAAGAAGGAGAATCCGACAAATTCAAAGAAGCCGACGTTGATCCCGAAATACGGAGAAACGTATTGGGCATTGAAAACAGTGACATTAACGAACCGCCAGGCCTGCGTAAATACAGAATCTAATGTTACTTAAAATTAATTGAGCATAGATTAATTGATTAATCAATTTGTTAATTATTTAATTATTTGGATAAAATATAGACCACCGTTTATTAAAAATTTGTGATTTTCTGAGTTAAATTTAGCGAAACTACATTTTTTGTAGGTAATTTTCTTCTCTTTACTTTTGTTCACCACATATTCTCTCGAAAAATGCATAGTTTTGGAGATATTGGCGGAAAACCGCATTTGGCGGCCATCTTGGCAAGATGGCGGCCCCGGCGGCAAGTTTCGAATTGTGCATTTTACGAATTTTAGTTCTACGCACTCAAGCATACAAAATTTCAGCACTTCCCGAGTTATTTCCAGGTAAAATCCCTCAATGACTGGCCTATTAGCAGAACCCCTAAAAATCGAAATAATTTCAAAACGGTATGTTTTGCTGGAAAACTTTTTACGGCACAAACGTAGCACTAACCAGTCCGCCTAGTCTCGACATTTCTGCCGTCAATGTTCTGCTAACTTAACGGACACGCATTTGGAGCCACCATGCCGCCGCATCAGATACTACGGGAAATATTCGAGAGAACAAGGCGCGACCGATCCCACCGAACGTTTCATCGCCGAAAATGGAGCTCTTTTCGCCCGAATCGAGGATGAAATACGCGAAACGGTGCAGCTACACATGGGAAACCACTCCCCACCATCGTGTCAATGCGCTTCTTGGACCGCACAATCTCAACGGCCCTACCAGAAGCCATCATGCAAAGAGGATCCGAGAAGATTTGAGTTCGCGCCAGAACCGCCCCCGCAGTTCCTCACTCATACGATCTGCGCCCACTCACATGCCTCCAAATCCGCCCTCAAGTGATACTAGATTCGGATTCAGTAAAGTCACTAAATATAGAAAGTACCGCAATCCATTGGGCTCGCGTGTTAGAGAGAGAACGCATGATTTTTGCCCAAAAATGGCGGAAGTTACCAGATTATAGTAACTTTAATGTTAGGGATTATTCCACCTGTTTGGAGATATCTGTATATATATTTTTATAAAACATGACAGTACTATGAAGTTAGGTTATAAGTTATAAAAAATTACAGCTATTCAGATTTTATTTGTCAATTTTTTAAGTTGGCAGCAAATTTGCCCAAAAATGGCGAATGATTGCGGTACTTTCTATATGTAGTGACTTTAGGATTCAGATCAGCGAGACCTCTGGCGGCAGCACATTGTAGCTACTATTGGTGGGATAAGACATTGTGTTTATTTACAATGGCCAAAAGTAATCACTATTCTAGTTTTTATGGCTGTAAAGTAAATACACTTACAAAAATTTCGTTTGCAAGCAATCTAATTACACCTTTAAGAGCAAAAATAGTTTAAAACGTCATATTTTATTCCGTTACTTTCAACAATTTTAAATGTGATCAGAGCAATTATGAACCAACAAGAAGGATAAATTAAGAAATCGTCGTCTAAACGCGTAACACTTCCAAAGTCTTTAATTGTGCACAGTGCAATTAAACAACAAGTACAAATTGTGCACAACCCTTGTGCAGGTAAAGCACATCTTTTTTAAACACCCCTACAGAATTTCTTCCATAAATAAGAAAGTTGCCACTGCACATCCTACACAAAATCAAATTTGGAAAATGGCGCTACATTTGCTTTTATTCCAAGTGGCTATGTATCAAATTTTATTTAAATGCCCAATGGTTATATTTCATCCAAAGGTCCCAATCGCCCTTTGTAGGTACTTTCCTGTGACAATTCACTCTTAATATATAAGGAATTATAAAAGATCACGACAAGGGATCGAGGAGGAAGACTATGGTTAGTATAAATTAATTCATTTCGTTGAGACCTTTCATCAGAGTACCATAAAGGACAAAACTAGTTCCAGCCCCCCCCCCGGCCCCGTACTTTGATTAGAGGATAGAGAGGGCAGTAATTTAGACAGCGAAATTTGATGGCCGTCTGGCACACCTTCAAGGTATAGGCTACCTCCCTACCTTCCCTGCACCAGGGAATAATGAATATATTTCATCCCCAAAGTTACACCTTACCTCCTCAAATTAACAAAGAAATAAATAAAATATATGTATTCTTAATAAGGAGACTAAACTGTGCGGTTACACATTTACCACCAAAACCACCCCCAACATTCTTAGAAAATTCAGTAAAAACACGTTGTAGAATGTTTTTCACGATTTTCTGGTGGCAGTGTGGCTCTCAACCTTATTGTGACACAGTAAAAAAAAAGAAATTCGAAACTAATACAAAAGCAGATAGTCTTGTTACACAATCTCAGTTTTAAAAGGTAATGCACAGACTTTATGTTAAAAATATCAGAAAATACAGGGTGGATCGACCGCCCGTGTACCCCTTTTATAACTCAGGAATTAAAAAAATCTTAACCAATATATGTATATATGTATGTATCAATTGATCCAGTGGGTGGGTGGGGGGGGGGGGGGCTGTAATTCCAAACCCACACTATTCGACATCTCGATTCAATAATGATTCTTTATGCGAAACATTTTTTTGTCATGGTGCAAAACTTGTGATTGCAGCGCCACCTGTTACCACAATAAAAACTGTTTCCTCATAGGCCCAACATGCGTTGGTTTTTTGTGAGGATCGATCTACGATTGATTTTATGGCCCAACCTTCAACTTACGTTCTACAAAGCTTACAAGTGTAGAGTAGATCAAACGATCCCACAGTTTGGCACCTCTGCTTTAAAGTAAACTACTTGTACGAGCCTTAGTGAATCCATTACAAAAACATAATCATTACTCAAAGGGGACCTTTTGATTCCAACTTTTCAGGAATTTGTCCATAATTTTAATTTCTATGCAAAAATGTACAAAACTTTTATTTCTTCTTCTAATTCAATCCCATCATCCCTTACCTACTTACCTGAAATTTAATTTAACACCTGTAATTTTGTGTGGTAGGTTGCGATACACTTTTTTTCACTATTAAACATTAACAAAAAGAGAAAGAAACAAAAAGAAAAAAAACTCCATTTACACCTTACCCCAAAGGGTGGTTTTTGTCATTACAAACCTCAAATCCAAGAAAAATTCATCCCGCTGAGACGTATGCTGGCACTCCTGACATTGCAACGTGCTCCCCAATACACCCCGGAAGACCTGCTCGGTTGGCAACAAAAATTCCGAAGCCTGCTGACCATAAAACTTAATAATCTTCTTCTTTTCACCCTCAACCGACGTCGGATTCGTCTTCCTACTCAAATCTGCATGCAAGCGCGTTTATAATACTGACACGGGACGACGCACCAACTTACCCATTTTTTCGAGTATCACCGCCTGATACCGTCTCAGATCTTCCTCGCGTACCGCCTCCAAAAGATGCCTGAGCAATTCGTGGGAGTCGTGCTGGTGCCCGCCGGCGAACTGGGGCATTCTATTCGTCAACTTGGAGAAGAGCATGACGGGATCGATCACTTCGGGACGTCCGTTTTGAAGCTCCTGCAAGGTTTGCGCGAGGAATCGCGTTAAAATGCCCCACTCGCCCAGGTAACCTACGAGGAAAATTTTTGACTAGCGCCGAGTTAAGGTCGACCTACCATCCAAAGGATCGAGTATTATCGAGGTCGAGTCGGATAAACTCAACTTTCCGCCGGGCAAATTGAAGTACTGCCCCGCTTTGCACGTCTCCTCGAGAAGACTTAGGATGTAAGGCGTCTGTCCTAAGCACTGCATGACCGAATTGAAAAAGCACGTGTTGCCCAAGTTCCGCAGTCCGCGGGCACGATGTAAGGTGAAACCGGTCTCCTTCATCTCCATGTTGTTCAGCTCGATGACGTCGGACATCTAAAAATTTGCTAAATCAGCTCAACTATGCCAAACACGGCAGGGATTCTACCTCATTTGACATAATCAACGTGTGCGGTTGTGCATTTTTACTCCTGGATAATTCGGCATTTTTCTTCAAATACTCGATGGCATCTAATAAAATCTTCTTAGTGTTAATATTAATCTCGTTATCGCAAATGTAACACCACACAATCCAGGTCATCGTGTTCACACAGAGCGCGTGACAATCAGACCGAGGTGTATTGAAGTGTTCCAAAGCGTGTTGATTCTTCGCGCGTCCACAACTCTGATTGCCGCACTTCAAGCACATCCACAGCGAGAGATCGCACTCGTAATCGCCGTCCATTTCCAGATCGTTAGAGACGGTCATAGTCTTACACTTCTCGCATTCTGAATGGAAGCTTGTTCTGATCAAAGTCTTTCGTAATTTCGGTAAATCGACGGCTTTATGTATGTGAGAGCATTCGTTCATGTTTTGATTCTCATCGCATGACTCGCTCGAGTTGTCGGAATTTTTGTTAGGCTCACCTTGTCGTTTTTTCTTTGCCATTTATATAATTGGTGTAATTTAAATGAAAATGATGGTCAACACGTTTTCAATTTTTTCAACGTCGCCAAATTCATTTAAGCTCGTTGTTTATTTGTGAGGAAATTGTATTTTATGAAAATTACGATAAGTACTGCTGGCTGAAATTAAGAGAAATTAAAAAACGGTTGAACTTCTCCTAACAAAAAATCATTTTACGAGAAATGTTTTTGACAGTTAACAAATGTCAAAAACACATGTTCCATTCGCAACTTGCAGAAACTAAATTCCCCAATCTGCAAGAATTGTGTACAAGGCAATTCCAAATTAGCAGTCACTTTTTCCAAAGTGCATTTTCTCCTCTTTTTCCGCCAACAATATCCTAAATATGCATATTGCGACAGCTCTAATTTTTTATAAAATTCTGGGCCCTCAACAATATTTGATGTACGTTCTTGGCCCTCTCAGTATCTAGCGCCATCTTTGAAAAAAAGTACAAGGTGTGCAAATACAAACAAAATTTATTTATAAAAATCACATAAAACAGTTTAAGAAGGAATCATTCCCTTATTCCGTTTCCACGTCGCGCCTTGTCTCCTATTATGTTTCGGTTTTGTACTTTTACTGGGAGGTTTCTCGTGGCTCTGATTTCCATTTTTACTCGGTCTAAACGTCCTACTACTTTGATGGTGTTGGTATTGTTGGGCCCTTTTCTCTCTGAGCAAGGCGGGATCGACACAGAAATCTTTTGAAGTATTTCGCTTTTCTTCTTCGGATTGTGACTCTTCAGACTCATCCTCTTCTTTGCCTAAATGTCGCATAATTCTCGATTCGTTGTCCGAATCGTTTAGCGAGCGTCCTACCTCGACTCGATCGTCATACTCGTCGTCGAGATCAAAAGTATACCTGCAATATGACCATGAATTTCGGACCGTTTAAGCATGATACATACTGCGCCTTAAGGATAAACTCCTTAATCTTCTCCTTTTCTTTTTTGTCATCTAGCATGCTGTTCACGTTTAAATCATTCCATTTCTTTCCAATCGGACGCTGCGCTGCAAACTCGCTCGTACTAGGTTGACTAAACAAAGAAACATCGGCCAGATCGCTAGGTAAGTCGCCGTTTAAAACGTGGGCGATCACCTCATTCGGATTACTGTTGTACCTTTCCAAGCATTTCTCGACGAAAGCGCCACTTAAGTGGGGTAGCACGTCAAGAACCGCCCGCACGTTATGCTCATCCGACGCATTGCCGCCCCCTTCACCGTCGGTAACGCCCAAATGCTTAACCAGATCGTAGTACTGCTCCAACACCAACGAAATCGATCGCGGAAGATTCGCGTTCTTTTTGTTTTGGGATCGCTCCAAAAATTGCGATAGCGTGGCGCACATTTGTCGACACTCCTCCACGTAATTTCGCCCGTTATCGTGCGAAGCGCATGGCGTAGTGGGCGGCGCGACCTCTTCCGTCGCGGAATTAAATTCCTTTATAATAGAATCGAGGCTTGCGAGGAGATAGTTCGTCTGCTGCGAGTCACTGATCGCGTTAAGGTATAATTTGGGTCAAACGTTCGGTAAAAGGATACAAGTTGGCTACGGAATCCACGAGTATTTGGAACTGATCGCGTACTGGGTATGTTTCGTTGTAGGATATTACGAATAGTTCGTTGTCTAAAGCGTTTGATATTAAACTGATGTACAGCTCGACAGCGTTGTCTTGTTTAGCACTGTTGGTTCTAAAAATAATCCATTCTGTAATGTATATTTACATACCTAGCAGCAGCTAGTTACTAATTCGTTTTTCAAGCGGTCAACATCCAGTTGCAACCGAAACGAATTTCATCAGTGATAAAGGTTCTATTGTTTGGGAATGTGACAACCGATAATCGCAGATTTCGTATGTATATTGTTTATTTAGAATTATTAACTATACAGTTTATTTAGATAAGATTTAATTATTGATTTGCAGGAATATTTTCTTGCAGTTAAGAGTAGTTTTGGTTGTTCGTTTTAGAGAGGTTGTAAGGATTTGTTCTTTCTCATTGTTTAAGCGTAATAAATGTAATGGGGGCTTCCCGGCTTCATTTTTTATTTCTGATCTATAAAGTTCATTAAAAATAAAAACACCCGTGTATCCTCAATTTTTATTTGCGAGTAAAATAAACCCAAAATAAATTATGGAAAAGCTGTGTTTTTAGTCCGAATTTGAAACGCTTCAGTCTAAATACGTCACAAGCCTATAACCAATCACGTAAAAGTGAGCTGGCAACCTTGTGCGAAGGTCTGACGTTTGTCAAAAGTCGTGATGTCATCTGAATGGTTCTAGCACCTGATTGGTCAGGCTTATTACGTCACAGAGCCCGCCACAATCATCTCGTTTTGAATAAACCCTTAACACCACACATGTTCATTATTTTTTTTCTAATCAATTTTAAATAAACTTTTACTGCCCAAAAAATTGTTGTATGGTTTCAGGTATACGCTTATTAAATTAGAACTACGAAATTCAACTATATACTGTAAACCCCTATTCAGTTTTAATTACAGAGGAAGTAAAAAGGTTTTTAGATTTCAAACAGAGGCCTACACGGACGTAGCAGAAAGAAAGTCGAACCAATTAAGCAAGATCAGAACGCATTTCAGAATAAAGCTTACCTGTAGCTAACTATTGCGTCAATGCAATGAGTCGTAAAAATGTGTACAGTATTTACAAATTCAAACTTTCCATAAGCGACCCATTGTTTCAACAAATCGGGCTGCTTTACCCAGTCTTTCTTCATTTCCAAAACGTCCTCAATTTCCGAATACACCTTCTGATAAACACACATTATACCGAACGGCAAATCCATACCAAACGCAACAACAATGGCGTCATCGCAAGCCGACAAAAATTCGTTTAATCCAGATGCCATTTCGTATAGAAAGAACGCGGTGTCCTCCATCACTTTAGGGCCTAGTCTTGATGCATGTAGAAAATGTTCGAGCTCCTTAAACACAAAGGGTGGTGAAGTGGGGGAGATGGAGGGCTACGTACCATTCCCACTTTCGAGAGAAGCCCGTCAATGTGTTTAACAAAACTGCGGTTTTTTGAAGAACGGCAAAAATCGATAATTTGTTTCATAAGATCAGGCTCGGAGAAGTTGTAAAGGTAACACAGCGTGAACACGGTTCCAATATCGAACAACTCTGTTTTTTGGAAAATGTCACGAACAGTGTCCTCTTCCAAATACTCAACCTGAAATAATCACAGCATTTGTGAGGGTACAATTTACATCTAGTGTTAGCTACTTAATAAATCAAGTTAAATACTCAATACTTTCTGAGGCTCGGTTGTACAATATCAGTTAAAACTTCAGATTAGTTTAACTGAAAGATTTCAGAAACATGATTGGTCAGCCTATGAAATATTAGCCAATCAAATCCTTTAACTCACATTTTAACTATAAACTGAAGTTTAAACTGAATTGTACAACTGGGCCTGAGAGGTCAATTGTACTCAGGGGTTGCCCAAGATTAATGTGAAAAATTCATCATAAAAAAAAGCATGAACTTTAAATGTTAACTCGAAACATTTAAGATCCTTGGTTTATTTTGAAGAAATTATTTGATTTGGTCCCCTCTTCCACACAATTTTCTTGCATCTTACCTGCTACACTCTGTATACTTTTTTTTTTAATTTTTGTTTACAAATTCACATGGCTCTTGATTTCCTGTGATAAATTCTGCTCAGGATCTAACAACCTTGAAGTGTATATACATTAAGTAAAAATCACACGCAAATCTATAAATGCGGTACCATGTGAAGTTGGCACCCCCTCATTTTTTTACTATGATTTTTATAGTGAAACCTCTAGAACTATTATCTGTTCACCCAACAGATGCAGTTAAGCTCCTCCCAAAAAATTCCCGCCAAATTTAAATGAACATTTTTAATTGGCAGAATTTTCAAAACCTGTAATACACGCAACTATTTGCTTCCAATTATAATTGCCACATCTAAATTGACATCTTGCCTCGATTTGCCGTTAATTTCATTTATACAAACTAATCTTTTTGAACTTAATAAACAATTTGAAACTATGTACTGCTGTGTGTTTAAAGGTCAATATTCAAAACATAACACTTTATAACTCAGTCATACAATGTGACATACGATTTTAAATTTACCGGTTTTTATAATTTTGTGACTGTGAAACGGGTCTGTTATTACATTGGCCAAAATTTATTGGGAGTGGCTTAACTGCATTTGTTGGGTGAACAGATTATGAGAAATTTCTCGATTTTTGCTCACCTCCGACACATTAAAATCCAGAAGTCTACGGAAAATGGCCATAACGCAACAGTGTATTTGATTGTACAGGTCGAAGTGGTTCTTATTTAAGTGAGTAATGATACGCAAGGGAACCGAGTTTTGCAAAAAATCCTTTATCATTGATATAACATTCGGATCGTAGACAACGTAGCACCAAAACTGACGATAGCTGCAATCTACTAAAAACTGCAGCTGCCGTAGGAATGACTCATTGCGCTGAAAGTTCCTGTTGCCACTCTCGTTCGAGTGCAGCAAATACGGTACAAACTTCTGATAGCTCTTCTTCTCGATCCAACACTCATCCTGCAAAGTGCACGTAACGGCTGCTGGCATTTGTTATAACACTTACAAGAGCCGGTTTCCTAAGAACTTCATCTTTGTAACGTTCCTGGAAGGTAGGGATTGCTGGCGATTGGGTAAGCTAAAATATTGCGGTTAATACTTGTAACACCCTGCTCGTTTAGATACCATTTCAATAAGATTTTCTAAAGTCTCCCCCTTTTTCGATATCCTGGTCTTATCCCTAAATTCTAAGTAAACCCCATTTAAGGGTTCTTTGTTTGGATTCTAAAAAAAAATGTTACACGAAATCAATGTCGACGTTTATTTTATTTACCTTAAAAGCTACTCTGGAGCAGATCGTATCCATTATGCACAAATTCACAAAAACCTTTCATCAGTTTCACTTTCAAAATTTTAAGGTTAAAATCACAGGTTAAAATTAACCTCAAACTGTCAACGTCAGATTTGCAGTGTATGTTACAGGGTGTTTCATCTGAAATTGCACAGTACGAACAAACAGTAGGCCACTTGTCAAAGTGAACGCGTTAATTAAGTACATTCACCGGTACTTGATTTGAGGCGAGGAGGTAAGGGTAGGGTTGTAAAAAACACGTCTTCATGAAGGTGCTAAGATCTGAAAAATAAGTGTAAAGGAGATGTCAATTACTGCTTTCCATTTGAGTGAAAGAGCTCCAAGCTGTACCGTGCACGATGCCCTGTGTTCCTTTTAAGAAAGCTTCGAGCGCTGACGCGCCCAACATTGGATTTCCCTTGTCCCCTCAAGCACCACCTATTAGGTTCAAAAAAAAGAAAAATGTAAAGGAGAACGCAAATGTCGTGAGGGAGATGTAAAGCCAGTGCAGGGAGGAGAGTGGTCATCTAAAGGACAAGTGAGGAAGCTTGTGGACCGAGATGAAAGCTGAAAATAATACAAGTCATTGTACAAAAATTAATTGCATTTATTAAAATTTGATTCAACACATAATTAAAAAAATAATAAATATTTTAATTATTGTAGAGCTAAAGTGAAAATTAAATTAAGAAAACGTTAACACGTTCATCATACACATACCAGATACAAAAAGTGTAAGCGAGTTGCGACAAATGAACGAGCACAAAATTCCAAAGATGTACAATTAATAGCAAATGGTCATAAATCAAAAGGAAAAACTTCATTCAGACGGCACACACGCACACACACGGCAGTCTTATGGAATTGGAGTTCTAATGCACAATTCATGTTTTCCCATCGACATTTGACGAGAACGCGAGCAAATTAACCGTACACCTTTCGAATATTCTATCCATGGAGAGCTCTCTCGAACGATCTTAACCGTTACTTAATTGGAACTGGCGTTTCTGGAAGAGCCGAACTGGTTATCGTCATCGGAAGATCGCCGCCCTCTGTCCCATTCTGCGCCGAAGGGTTCGAATTCAGCAAATTCTAAAATGATTTATAAATCAATTATCTAGGAGAACGAAATTCTAGTACAATTTTCACTTAGTGGAAGACAACCATCTAAGATTCAATTAATTCGATGAACAGTCACAGTTTACTACCCTAAGCAATAGGATTTCTAGAAGGCTAAGATTATAAGTGAGAAAGTTTGGAAGCGTCACCGCGCCAGATGGCGCCTCTGACAACGTAATTCTAAAGTCACTAAATATAGAAAGTACCGCAATCCATTAGGCTCGTGTGTTAGAGAGAGAACGCATGATTTTTGCCCAAAAATGGCGGAAATTACCAGATTCTAGTAACTTTAATGTTAGGGATTGTTCCACCTGTTTGGAGATATCTGTATATATTTTTATAAAACATGACAGTACTATGAAGTTAGGTTATAAAAAATTACAGCTATTCAGATTTTATTTGTCAATTTTTTTAAAGCAAATTTATGGCATTGCGGTACTTTCTATATCTAGTGACTTTGCCCAAAAATGGCGGAATGAGGTAATGTTAGGAATTGTTCCACCTGTTTTGGAGATATCTGTATATATCTTTATAAAACATGACAGTACTAGGAAGTTAGGTTATAAAAGAACTACAGCTATTCAGATTTTATTTGTCAATTTTTTTAAGTTGGCAGCAAATTTGCCCAAAAAATGGCGGATGATTGTGGTACTTTCTATATCTAGTGACTTTACGTAATTCCAAATTTTTCCACATATAACCTTTGCTAGACATGAACTGTATTTGTCTATAAGCACTTCAGTAAAAGTTTACCAAAGCCACGACACTATTAAGCACCATGCATCGTTATGGTTAATTACACAGGTAAGTGGATTTATACTAATTTCAGCGTAAAAACAATATTTATTGTAAAAGTGTTTGAGCTTTCGATTAGGCTCAAACAAAAATAGGAGTTTGAGAATTTTCCAAGATGTAAAAGGAAGGGGAGGGGTGAATAACGCCTATACACATTCTCCAAGGAATTTTACTATAGATTTTCTTGAAAATCTTAAGCTCAATTTACATTATACTTTTTTCGTCTAGAAACTTTGACTAGAACTTGTACTAGTACAACTTGTTAAAATTTTGACAATGTAAATCAGAAAATTCAGTCCAAGTTTCTAATCTAGAAACTAGATCTGAAACTAGGTCCAGACCCATTTTCCATCCAACTTTCATACTTGTGACTTGCGCACTAGCACCAAATTAGAACAAATTCCGTGCTACCAACAACTTTATTTTTATACTCTTGAACATAACCTCAAATATAAGTCTCTTGAATTAGGTACATGTACATAGCAAAAATGAGTTTCTTTTGCTTGTTATTCATGTTTGTTTCCTAGCAATTTAAATTAACCTCAAAATGTACAATATTGTGATTTTTTTTCCGAAATTGGCAGCACTGCCATTGAAACACAAAAGTCAATGCATCAAAAAGCGGTAAATTTAAATTTCTAGTATAGTGTCGAATCTAGCACAAGTTCTAGTCAAAGTTTCTAGACGAAAAAAGTATAATGTAAATTGAGCTTTAGAAATAAGAAACCGCCTTTGAAATCATAAACCTTATTGGTGATATGGTGACCTGAAAAGGTGATCCAAGAGCCTTGGAAGACATATTTCTACAAATCCTTTTAAGGATTACATGGAATCTATGAAAGAATCACATTGGAAACATTCTTAGGAATCTTCTTAAAGATCTGTTTGGAATTTTAAAAACCTTCATGGTAATGTTCCTACGGAAAACTTCTTCTGAATTTTAGAAAACTCCTTCCAGATGTGAATTTAGATCGAGATCAAATTGTCTAAACTTTCCGAATTTTCCTCCTAGGCCCTGAAGAATTACCCAAATTGACTTTTACGAATCTCAAAAATTATTGTTGATTAAAAAAATACACGTTTTGAGGGGGAGGTTCAAATGGTTGCCAAACGCCCCCTGTAAATACGCCCCTATTTGAAAGTACATCCAAACGACTAACACCGATAATATTCTTACTTCTATATCAGCAAACATCAACCAACACTATACCAGATTTGACATTAATTTCGTGCAAAACGCTATTGGTTAAGATGCTACTCTGTCTCACTAAAAACAGCTTACTGAGGTAGAATATTACTAAATCAGCGTCATCTAGATTGTTACATTAATGGTAATCGTTATAAACACATGTTAATTAATGAATTATGAACACATGACTTACTGCGACATCGTGAACAAACACTTTGTAGGGTGGTTAAAATGAAATTTCTCGTCTTGAATTATATGATAATAGAAAAATATTAGTGTTTATAGATGGACTATTTAGATACTGTGTTAAAAGACTTCACTACAACATACGACAGTTAATAACATCTACTACCTTGTCGATGACGTTAGGCGGCGCCACCTTCAAGTGCATTTTCTGCTGGCACAACATCTGCAATACTTGGATACCTACAATTTGTCAATGGTAAAATGTTTATTCCACCCGAAAGTATTACCTTTCTGCCTTCGTCCCTCATACTTGCACTCCCAAGCATCAAACAAGCGATTGTAGTAGCGCACCTCCAAAAAATCGAGGTACCTGTGCGTTTGCGATGTCGGGAAGATTCTCTCGAAATTGCCGACAACCGTGAGTTCATCCTCCGCCTTGGTCAGATGGCGCACGTCATCGCCGGTCAAATTCTCTAGAATCGCCTCGGCATACTGTAACAAGACAATTTAGCGAGTCGCAGGGATAAACAAAACGCACCTCTTGTCTAGAGATCGACTGGCAAAAGTACTCCTGCTTGTTGGCTTCCTTTTTCGTTAGCGAGGTCGAGTACAATCGCGGATCGTAGCATAGGGGCGTCCCCTGATTTAAACGTCCCAATTTCTTCGGCAGGTGGAACTGTACCAAGTTGAACATCGACTGTATCATCGGTCCTTTAACGTACTCATCTAAAGGCGATTGGCTATGTAAACTTGGCGATATGTTAACCTGTAAATGGACAGAGCGTTTACGTTATGTGCGAGTGCCCCTATCGATATCTGAGGATATGTATAGTATAGGGATCAGTCTGTTTTTTAAGTTTTCAGCGCATTTTCACAAAATAAAAAATGCGCTATTGTGGCCACTTTGTCCGTCTCTACTACGGCTGTGTCGCTACTAGAGGTTTATCTTAAGAGCTATTGTTCTACTTCTTTCGCTTTTTGTTAACAAATTTATTATTTATTTAACGATGTGTAATTTTGTTTAAATAATCGCCTTTTAATTTGTATATGTTATTGTTAGATTTGCGTGTAATGTTTTTAAAAGTTTATCTCCGGTCATTACGATAAGAAGCTATCAAAGAGCCAATCTTACATCTGTAATTACAACGAACCCAGTGTCTTCTAAATGTAAGTGCAATAAAAAAAATGGGAAGTTCCGAAGTACCATCATTTGTTTGTGCGTCATTTAATGAAAACCACAGTTATGACCGGATATTTTGAATTACCAACACTTTCAGTTTCATTTTACTTAAATTTTTATAATTATTAATAAATATTTTTAATAGTGACAAAGGTATTTTCAATATTTATTTCATTGCGGAAAGGGGTAGTAAACATGGCCACGAATTCTAAACATTGGTAAATGTTCATTCCATCATAAAAAAATCAGGTATTGAATAATACCTTTTTTTTTGTTTATACTTGCTGTTGTACACACCTCTAATAGCCAAGTCTTAAGCTGTTCGTCTAACAACACATCCACCCCAAACAATTCGTAACAGCTATATCGACTATTCATATTTTCCCTACACAACGGAACGATTGTAGATTCGGCGGTGATGATAGTTTTAATGACAAGTTCCTGCAAATTTTTCCACAATCGTTTCGTATTTACGCCCTTCTTTTCCATGTACTCCCACAACGTCGACAAGGTCCTAGTGAATAGACAGTTAACAAACAGTCGGTTAATATGAATATTACCATTTGTGACCCTTGCACGCGTTCGCGTCCTCGTTGGCGGTATATTGGCTGGATAGTTTGTTAATACTATAATTCGTTAAATGCATGTACCTATCCTTCAAATCCTTCGAATCGACACTGTACGGCACTGCAATAAAAACAAACGTTCACACGGAAAAATGCCGGCGCGGAACACCTACCACTAGCAAACCTCACCAAGCCGTCGGGGTATAAGTAGATGCGTAAGGGATCGAAGCTCGTCACCAAGACGTACAGTCGCAAGTCGAATTTGCTGCGATTTATTAGGTAGGGATTTGCGATGTACTCTTGTACGACCAAAGACATCCTCTTGGGAAGCTGAGTCCAACGGTTGATGACTTTAATGCCTGTGCCCCTCGCTGAGGCGGGCTGAAGAGAAAATTCAACTAAATTATTATTATTATTATTTTATTTGCTTTTTTTTGTTTGGTTAAAATCATTATCATTATTATTAAAATTAATTAAAATTCAGAATTTGATAGCATCAATTGCAAATTACGGTAGTAATTGAATTTCTAAAATGGAGAAAACTATTTTAGACCCAGTCTGTCAATTAATTAAATTACCATTAAATCTATTTGATAAGTCAAACTACCAAGGAAAGAAATGTATGCACGTAGGAGCTTATCTAGAAGATAAGTGTGATGAAACATTAAAGGCTGGGCCTTCATGAACATATATAAATTATTTTCTTTTTTTTGTTTTTTTTATTTATCTTTATTTTTTGTCCTTTTTTATTAATTAACTTCCTCTCTTCTTCATCTATAAATTATTATTGTCATTATTGCAAATGGCACGCCACTAATAGTAATAGTAATGAATTCTGTTTAATAGTATGTAGTGTTATCCTTCAATAAATGACCATTATTATTATTATTTAATCAAAATTGAATTATAATTGTTACTTTCCGAAACCACATTACTGAAAAAAGTGTAGTGTGTAATGTACTTACAGGTTTTATAATGTACTTTTCATCACCTTCTCCATTCTTGTGCTGCCACTGCTGCCTTAGTAACTTTAAATCTTGCGGTAATACGTACGTCCGCGGTATAAATCCGAATCTGCGCAAAACGTTACAGAAACCGAACGCACCGTCGGACACTCCCCAAACTTACTCCTTATAACCGTACATGTGAATGCACTTCTGGAAGTTGCGCCAGAGCCTATCCTTTCGACCGAGCTGAAACGTTCCGGGAAAGTGATTTAGCTTTTGGGTCTCCTTCAGCGTCTTAAACATCGGCGATTTCATGTGCTTGCCCCACGTGCCCATCCAGTCGTTCGATTCTAGTATTCAGAACGGTTAGTGGGGGGTGCGCAAAGTAATGGAAAAGATTGTGGAAGGACAGGGTGAAATAATTGGGCATGCAGACCTGTAAAGCACTCACTTCGCACCATTCGAAATCCAGAGTTGGTCAGTGTTTTTCGTATAAGGATCGGCGTTATTGTGCTTAATTTCCATTTTAGGTGACGAGACGCCGATGGCAATTGTTTCGCGCTTTTCGCGTGAGAGGTGAACGTTATGTAAGGTGGTACGAAAGGAAATAGACTCTCTCTAATCGGCCAATTGACAAAGTCACCTCCCCCTGAAAACATTAAATCAAGCATTCAATTTAACATCTTATCTACGCTGTGTTCAATTAAAACATACGCAGGTGCATCTGTAGCAATTAATCACTTTTTTTTAGCAAAAGGTCAAGTTTCTCCATTTATCAACATTTAACTATTATCAAGAGGCTCTTTGGTTTGGATATGAACATTTTATAATTTCGTGAGTAACAGAAACCTCCTCCAATAAAAATAACATTGCAATTTCTGTCACTGTTTTAAAGTCTCTGCATCGATTCCGAGGACCTGGGAATCGGGACATAAATTATACAGGGGGGCCCATTAGTGGTGTGGGTGGAAGATTTTGGGTTTCTTAACGCACATATTTAAAATTCTATATAAAGGCATGTTGGAGGACTCTTACGGTTACAACCTAGAATCCATAATTTCAAACAGTTCCAAGATTGGGCTACTAGTTCAAAAGTTACAGCCCTTTGAATTTTTTTTCGAAATTGGTTTCTAGTCCATAACTTTTGAATGAGAAGTCTGATCGAAAAAGTACGAATTGTTTTGGATTCTACGCACCAAAATTAATAAGAAAAAGTGTTTTCCCGAGAAATTTTGGTGTAGTCGATTTTTGGTAAAAAAGAAAGGTTATACACTGCCTTTTTTTGAGCCCCGAAAAAAAAATTGTCTCAGATCGACCCGGAAAAAAATTTTCTTATAGAATGTGGCCTGTAGAATCCATAATTTCAAACAGTTCCAAATTGGGCTACTAGTTCAAAAGTTACAGCCCTTTGAATTTTTTTTCGAAATTGGTTTCCATAACTTTTTATTGAGAAGTCGATCGAAAAAGTACGAATTGTTTTGGATTCTACGCACCAAAATTAATAAGAAAAAGTGTTTTCCCGAGAAATTTTGGTGCAGTCGATTTTTGGTAAAAAAGGAAGGTTATACACTGCCTTTTTTTGAGCCCCGAAAAAAAAATTGTCTCAGATCGACCCGGAAAAAAATTTTCTTATAGATGTGGCCTGTAGAATCCATCATTTCAAACAATTCCAAATTGGCTACTAGTTCAAAAGTTACAGCCCTTTGAATTTTCTTTCGAAATTGGTCCATAACTTTTGATTGAGAAGTCCGATCGAAAAAGTACGAATTGTTTTGGATTCTACGCACCAAAATTAATAAGAAAAAGTGTTTTCCCGATAAATTTTGGTGCAGTCGATTTTTGGTAAAAAAGGAAGGTTATACACTGCCTTTTTTTGAGCCCCGAAAAAAAAATTGTCTCAAGATCGACGAGGATTTCTTTCATACAGAACTATGGGGTTGCTAGTGACCCTTTTGAACATAATCGGTCATTGTCACAGAAATATTTGAGGCAAATATTTTCAACGAAATTGCAATTGTTATACAGGGTGAGTTATATCAAAGTTTCATTTCAAATATAACCCCTGTATATTACTGCATATTTAGATTCCTTGGTCAATTTTAGTGTGACTTTATGATATCTTAGTCGCAATTCGTCATTTTTTCAGTAAAAATTGAATAGCAGTTGTAAAACTTAGAAGGCTGTTCCGCTGCAGTATTTTTTGTGTTAAAAGTAATCGGTAAACTTTCAAAATTTCAATCACAGGTAACTTGATTTTTTTTAAATGAACTACCAAGGTAAGTTTATTGAATCAAATGTAGGATTTTATTACCTTTTACATAGTTCTTTTATAATTCAACAATCTCTAATAATTCACTGTATAAACTCTTTCATAGCTCACTTTAATGGTAATGAATTTTACATTTAACGTCAGCCACATTGGCGAACTTGGTTTTTTCTCTCTTCGCCATTTAAAGTCGAAAAATTCCACTGGATCTTTTATAACCATAAGTACAAATTGACTGAACATAAGGGATTTTATTTTTAGTAATTTTGATATTCCTAAAGGAATCGACCCATGAATATTATTTGCAAGAAACTGATCTAATATTTTACATCCAGGTAAAGAAAAATGGAAATTAGAGTTCAATCAAATCAGAACATTTCGAATTTCAGGTTTTAACGAGAAAATAAAGGGCCAAGGTAAGGGATATAAAAACAATTTTATTACTGAACTAGTCGTGGGTAAAATAAAATTTGTCATAAAATTTTTTTGCCAGTGCCGTCGAGGTTCAATTTTATTTTATGCAAGTGAGGTGTGCACATTTTAGAAGAAATATGGTTTCAGCACGATGGTGCCCCACCTCATTTTGCCGTAAACGAAATGAACGAAATCGAAATGTGCAATAATATACCGGGGGTTCTATTTTAAAAATGCAACCTTGATATAAATCGCCCAGTGGAACAATTGCAAGTTCGTTCCTTCAATATGCCCAAACAATAAATTTTAAATATGTGCGACCCGCAATCTTCCACCCATATGTACACTAATGGGCCACCCTGTATAGTTTGCCAAGTGCGCGAGGTGAGGCGAAAACGAGCGTATATTCTTTAGTAGAATTTTCAATACGCCGTTTCTATACATTTCAAAAAGTTCTGTTTGATAGTAATGTCACCGGTATGTATACTTCGAAATGTACTTACAATTACCAATACCTACCTTTATGAATATTCGAATTATACGCAGATGACGAAGACTGATCGAGCACGTCCTCGTTATCTTCCAAAGTCTCCAAATCGCTATCTTCGGAATCGCTAATATTACTTAAAACGATAAGATCGATTAAAAGAAAACATTTAGCAAGTTTATTACCTAATGGACATGTCGGTGGATGAGGAAAACCCTTTGCTTTTTTTCTTCGGTTTCGCGCCCAAATTTTTCACCTTGGTCTTAATTGACACCTTAACACTACTCTTGGAATCTTTTCTAATCGTTTCGCTATTATTAAAATGAACATCTTTGCTATCCTGAAATGAAATTAAGAATTTAATGACAATGTAAACTACAAAGACGTAAAAGAGACATAAGTTATTTGCTCTTTGCTACTTTTAACTGACAATTAGGCTTATATTCTACATTTAACTTTAACTTTAACTCACTTATAAAAACAAATAACTTATAGCCCTTCATAGTAAACGGAGAAACATACTGTAGGCGAATCACTGGTGGTATTTTTTAGTTCCTTCAGCTTCTCCTTGAGCAATTCGACTTCGAGAGCGTAACATTGCTTTAAACGCCCCACGTCGATTTTTCGATCGAAGGCTGTGTACGTATCATAACATCTAGCTTCGTCAAGTCTACTGTCGGCACTTACGTTTGAACACATCGGCTGGAATTTCGCCGCCGCCGCGTCGTAACACCTCGACCTTTCGCAATTGTAAACGGCGTACTGTTTATTTCTAATCTCGGCGTTGGCTAATTCGTTATTCTTCGGACTAAAGCTACTGTAATGATGGTGGTGGTTTATGGCAGTGTCTCGCTTGACGTCCTTTGGTATGGCGCTGGTAAAGTGAGGCTTTAACGATTCTAATTTCGGGTTCAGTTTGACGACGATCGAGTTGATATTTTTCGTGGTCTCTTCGATTTTCGGGAAGAGCTTCGTTAGGCGATCGGATTTGTCGTTCATGCTACCGTAATTTGGAAAGTGGCCGCCGCAATCATTCGACTTGAACGTGTTCTCTAGACATTTCAGGCCTTTCTCCGTGATATCGACGAAATCGGCATTTGACAATTTGATCGTTTGACAATTGTTCGTGATGTACGTGGTGGGAAGCTCGCATAGATTGGACCTAACGTTATACATACATAATTAGGTTGTTTTCGTAGAAAAATTGTATATAAAAATTAATCACAGCATAAGCATATACTCTACAAATCAAGGATTTTAGGTGACAGTTTAAGACCATCTGTCAGAGTGTTTAATTTTAAAACCGTAAATGATGACAAGTGCCTTCAAAAACTGTGGGCACTTTACTTCCCATTATAGTCCAGATTTCTGTCAATACTGTTTTGACAAAATCCACATTTTTTTTGTGGAATTGCGTAACATACCCGGTAAAATAATAGTCTAAGTGGCATGTAACCTGTATATAAATTGTAAAATCTGAAATTTTTCCCAGTGAGTCTCACACCTACCAACCATGAGTCACGCGAGGGGGCCCTAGAGCTACTCAAAATATACAATTAAAAATATAAATGGCAGACGATTATTGTGGTTCCACATCTCTTTTTTCCGTTATTTATAGTAGTATTGTATTCCGTCTAACCTATTTTTTTCTTATGGTTGTCATTATCTTAGTTAGGCCGAGTGCTGCACTATTGTCAAGGACAACATAACTTCCCCTTCAGGTATAAACTCTCAAGTATTCTAATAAAGATAATGACAAACACAAGAAAAAAAGTAGTTTAGAAGGAATGCAATAGTACTATATCGAAGGGAAAAACAAGATGCCGCCTATACAGGGTGTTTATTTTATTTTGTCCACTATTGCTATCTCAAAAGATACGAGGTCGGATAAATTAGCAAACAATTTCTATTTTACAAAAATATTTTTAATGAGCACGAAATAATTTTTTTTCAACCAGTGGTTCACAAACTGTGAATACCAATTTTGTTATTTTAAATAGAACTATATTTTTCTTATTTCGTTATTCGATAGAGAATTTTATTCTGAATTCAGTGATATATAATATTTATATACCCTTAGATAACAATTTCTATGAGAAGCCTTTTGCATTCGCAGAAAGCGATCTGAGAGGATTTTTTATTTCAGTCCCAGACTTAGTACCTTAAACCTTATACCTTGCGATTCTGATGCAGGTATAATATTAAAAAAAAACGTTTTTGGCAGTCTTACATCCTTTATGCCTAATGTACAGGGTGGCTAAATAAGAATGCGAGGTACTGTATCTGGGAACCTGTCCATCGTAGAGGCTTGCGGTAAAAAAATTTATTAGATACTAAAACGGCCACGAGAAAAACCTGGAAAATATTTTTAAGTTTCTGAAATGGCCGCTAGGGGGCGTAACTGCAATCTGGAATCTAAAAAAGTGATTTTTCTGTGAATTCCGCCATATTAACCTAACAATGTCCGGTCTTTGATGTTGACGATAATCTGAACCTTTTTTGTTTGACAATTTTTCCTGTATCTCTAAAAATGAAGTGGTGGGGGGTATTCAAAGGTTTCCGTAAAGAACACCCTGTATCTTCGAAACGACTGAGCCGATTTTAACAAACTCGGGTTAATTGAAAAGAGTTATTCTTCAGCTACAAATATTATAATATTTGAAGTTTTGTTAGTTTCACATATCGCCGCTTGAGGGCTTTTTTCGACATTCCGACAGAAATGGTTAATTTTCTCAAAAAAATTAAATGCGTTGGTTTGATTTTTTTTTCATGAAAAAGTAGCTAAATGGTGCCTAAACAAGCTCGCGAAAATCCCATCTCGATATCTTGTTCCTAACCTAAAATTTAGGCCAAAGAAAATTTTATACCCTCAAAATTTTATTTTTTTTTAAGCTAATTTTTCTGGAATTATTTTTATTATATAATTTGTGGCCCTAAGGTGGATCGATTTAAAAAAGGAAGCTTTTAATGCCGCCGTAAATGCTCGAAATGCTGGCCATCACGATATAAAAAAATATATATATATATCTCAAGATATCGAGATGCTGTTTTCGCGAACTTGTTTAGGCATCATTTAGCTACTTTTTCATGAAAAAAAAATCGAACCAATGCATTTAATTTTTTTGAGAAAATTAACCATTTCTGTCGGAATGTCGAAAAAAGCCCTCAAGCGGTGATATGTGAAACTAACAAAACTTCAAATAGTATAATAGTTGTAGCTGAAGAATAGCTCTTTTGAACTAACCCGAGTTTGGTTAAATCGGATGAGCCGTTTCGAAGATACAGGGTGTTCTTTACGGACACCTTTGAATACCCCCCACCACTTCATTTTTAGAGATAGGTACAGGAAAAATTGTCAAACAAAAATTGTTCAGATTATCGTCAACTTCAAAGACCGGACATTTTTTTGTTATGTTAATATAGCGGAATTCATAGAAACATCACTTTTTTAGATTCCAGATTGCAGTTACACCCCCTAGCGCCCATTTCAGAAACTTAAAAATATTTTCCAGGTTTTGCTCGTGGTCGTTTTAGTAATAAATTTTTTTACCGCAAGCCTCTACGATGGATAGATTCTCAGATACAGTACCTCGCATTCTTAGTTGGCCACCCTGTACAACTACCCAAATTTTAACGAAATCAAAATAGCCATCTTACAAAAAAAAATTTTAGTTGTTTTTTTCCCCGTTTATTTCTGTAATAAAACCTGGTATAATTTGTAGATTGTACACAGAAAAAGAAAATCTTTTGAATAATTTAATAAAAATTTTGCGTTGCTGTTTTATTTTTGGACTACCGTTTGCGAGATTTGACCCAAAGTTGGCATTTTTCAAATGCAACACCCTGTATATCTTTACATCTAGTTTTCTTATATACTTTTTCCTGATTGCATTGATGTATCACAATATTTTTTTAAATTTTACCCATGAACCATAAATTAAAACCTTATTTTTTACGGTTTTTAAATAGTAGGTCATGGATTCATGGAGATTTTGTTTTTTTTTATTGTATTCATGGCAGCCGACACCAATCAATAAAAATGACGGACGGTAGAAACATGCCGTTTCAAAATTTTGAAAAATATGAATGATACATAAAACTACATACAGGGTGTAAAAACGGTTTACGCTCCATATGGATTTCAATGGTAATTTCTTTATATTGCAATATTTTCTCCCCAAATTATTTTACAGCAAGTTGTAAATAAATTTTTTGTAGATTGTAAAATTCTGCGTGTAGTCATGTGCCTATTTGTAATTTTTTGTTGTGGGAAATCGAAGAAATTAAGAATTATAAATTATAATTATACCTATAAATCTAATTTTTGTTTCAATCATTTCGCGAGTGATTTTAGCAAAAATTACTCTTGCTGTATTGAAACAAAAATTCGATTTTTTCATAATACGCAATCCTAATTTATTTATTTTATCTGGTTTCCTGAATTGAAAAATAATAAATGAGAATATGAGCAGACACAGACTTTTTCAAGCTACAAGAAACCTATTTGCAACTTTGCTCTAAATGAATTAGATTTCCACATAAAGAAATTAGCATTGAAATCCCTATAGTGCGTAAATCGTTTCTACACCCTGTGTACAAAAAAATATAGGTTGTCATACATCAATGTAATCGGGAAAATGAATACAAATAACTGATGTGCAGATACATAGGGTCCATTCGCATGCCTTATGAACATTGTTAGCCTGGCAACATAATTAACAATGCTTTATAATACTGGCCGTAAAAGTTTCACAAAAAAAGTGGCACAAGGTCACAAAAACCCCAAGCCTCTATCATTAAAAATAATTGAGATGTACAGTAATCTCAACAAAAATAGCACACACTGTACATACGTACAGAGTGGTTCAAATTTGTGGCTCACCATTGGAATCCCCGCAACGGTGAGAGATATAGTGTAGGGTAAATGGGGGAGACAGTTGCGAATTTTTATGACTTAAAAAACGCATCTGAAATTTTTTTTTAAATATGTAACAGATGCTGAAAAACCGAAAATGTCAAATTTCGTTTTCAACACTATGCTACAGGGTAGTACTTTCTTATAGGCGCCATATTGGATTTCTACGGTATGAAATAGAGAACCAAAAAGGAAAAATAATAACGGGTCACACTCTATAATTTTACATAATTACAAGAACAATTTCAAACCAGTGGTTTTACATTCATTTCTCAACAAAATATTCATGGGTAACTAGATCTTGTTGAATCAACATTGCTATAATGGTAATGCATTCAAATGAATTCCTTTTTTGTCTTTTATCTAATTCCGTAAAAATCCAATATGGTGTCCATAAGAAATAAGAAAGTAGTACCCAATAGCTTTTACGTATAGCGCGTTATGGAAATTCTGATAACAGATTCAGATTCTCCGCAAAAAGTGCCCATTGGCCGTTTAAGAGAAAATGAAACGAAATTTGATATTTTCAGTTTTCAATACTACAGTGTATCTCCCACCGTTACAGAGATCCCAATGGTGAGCCACGAACTTGAACTACCCTGTACATACACAATACAATTTTATTCTTTGAAAGTTGCTTAAAATGATCTAAAACATCGACGTTTGATGAAATTTGACAAATCCAAAAAACAGTGAGCCACCTAGTTCAAGCTAGGAACTTCTGTTGTAATTCATTTTCGCCTCTTAAATAACATTTAGCATAGTCAAGATGGGAAGGGGGTCTGAAGTTAGCGAATGTTCAAAATCAACTTAACTCAAAAAACGCAGTTGGCCATAAGGAGTTTAATTATTAAGGTTTTCATAAAAGTAGCATGAAAACCACTAGTGTCTTTGTAATAACAGAGAAACCCAGGTATCCCATAAAAATTTGAACAATCTGTACATATCATGACCAATTATAACTAATGTGGACTCCACAATAGAAAAACGTATCACCAATAGACATTATCATCATCATCGAATTGAAATTTGGGATCCCCTGCGTTTCTGCATTTTTTCCAGCAAGCACAACACATACAACGTTGGAACCTCGGTTGGAACTAAGGGTTCAGGTTCCAAAATTCTCATCCCAAGATAAAAAAAGTTGTATTTTTCTACATAAAAATATTAGATCGAGTTATTTTTCGAAAAAAAAAAATATATATATCGGCCTGTTTGACCTGAGTATATCTGACTTCATACTTACCTCTCTAATAATAATTAAGTTATTTTACATACAAAAATCCGTCTGGTTATTTTTTATTTACGGTCCCTACCTCTCCTTCTTTCTGGTTGATTCCCTGTAACAGTTCTCACCCTTTAAACGACCATTTAAATTTGAATCTTGATTGTTTTCATGACACACAAAAAAAGTTCAGATTTCTCGTAATAAGAGATAAATTTATACACCAAAATCGCCAATCCCAAATCTTTTACAAATTGAAAAAACGTGACAAAAAACGATAAGCGCACTGAAACTACAAAAAAATTTGAACAGTACCTGGATATGCACACAAATTGGTCCTTAATTCCAACAACAGGAAAAAAAAAGGTGGTGCAATACACCCTTTCTCTGCCATACTACATCAAACTTTAAATAAGTTAGTCTCAATAGCAATTCCACTTCCTGAATCACAAAAACTCACTCAATTTTATTTTGTTAGATCGTGTAAAAAGACATAATTGTATGCTTAGTTGCTCAACAATAAAGAAAATTGCTAGAAAGGGGTTCCCCTCACATTCCAAATCTCATTCCGTGCCAAAAATTCAGAATGCCGCCCACAAGGTGCTTTTAAACAGTTAATTAAATTGTTTTTAGGTTGAGGATTTCGTTTCTTGATCACATATTTTTAGTTGTGCTTATTTATTTCATTATATTTAGCACCTACCGCTCATGCTCTGCCACTTAAGCATTTTAATTCAGTGTTGAATTGGTTATTTAGTAGGTTGGATGGCACAACATTAAAGAGCTTGTTTAGGTCAGTAGGAAACCAAAATGTTACGGAGTCACCCGCACTGATTTGATTTATCTACTTCAAATTGAATAATAGTAACGAATCATCGTTGTAAAATTGTAAAAATCGCAAACCGATTTCTTAATGATTGTGACCTAAATTCGAAATACTAAAAAGGTATCAAAAAAAGATTTTCCAAATTCCGAACTTCTTTGAATATCTGAAAGAACACACCTACATACAATAGCAGACAAAGCAGGCTAAATCTAAATCTCTCTCCCCGATTAACTATTTTTTTCCTTAATATTATCAAAGACGATGAGTCAATACAATAGCTTCTTGTACCTACTACAGTAGGGCAGTCAAACCTAAACCCTAAACGTCCCCTGTCATGAACTATCTGTCTACAGCAACCTCAAGATCATTGACCTATAACAACAGAATATCCCATTCCCACTGGAGACCTATTACATTCCAAATTTGCCTAAAAAACACCCAAAACAATAGGTCAACTACAATCCCTTGAACAAAGGTATAGTGATCATCAGGTTGTTTTTGAAACAGTTGAATATCAACTCATACCTAACGCGGCATATCTCGTATCTTATATCCTTCGGCTCGTACTCCAGCTCCATATTTTCGCATTCCTGATTCCAGTCGCACCGTTTCGACGTGCCCTTCATCTCGCGCCCCTTCCGTCGACATGGCTCGTTCGTCTCGCTCTTCGATCGTCGACGAGGCGAATCTTTATCACAGGTCGGGCACCACGAGTAGGCGAATTTGCAGTAGCGCGACTCAGTCTTGCAGGAAGGATATGATAGGGAGAGATCACATTGTGCCATGTTATTCCTTTTAATTGGCGGCACCACCTACAAAGAAAAGGGTAAATTGTTGTATTCCAGTTCAATTTCAAAATGGTAGAGTTTAGGGCACGTATTGCACTTAAAAAAGCCGTTACCTTACTCTTTCATAAATCACTACTAATTAAATTAGTTTCATACAGTTTAATAAAATTGTTTGGCATTTCTTTAGGGAGCAAGACCAACGGATTTATCTCGCCAGCCACTACCGCGTGTAAAAGAACAGGAAATTACGACGTACGATTATACTACGCACTGTATCGACCAATTGACCTACCCCACAACATATGTCCTTTCTAAGATCGTCGGTTAAGAATATGGTGGCCGTGATTTAAAGATCCCCCATTAAAATTTCTTAATTTATCGATTTACCTATTTAGAACTAAATTCGCTCATTTAAAATGCACGCACTTCTTTGTAAATGACGCACGTGTTTGTGGATTATTTTTAAAAAACGGTACAGGATGCGTCATAAAACAATGTGAATCATACGCATTTTATTGCTTAAACTAATAATACAATCAAAATTATCCGGTACGAATCGGTGGAGAAACTAAGATGACACCGTCGCCTCGCACAAACAGCATGGCAATGTTTCGTTTCGTCGTCCGATAAACTTCCTCGTAAGTCTCTTCGTCAATTTCAACTGTCGTGATCGTTTCCTCGGCCTCACTCAGCACCATGTTCATGTGTTGGTCGTAGGCCTACGGAATTATCTCAAATGTGATGTTCAAACGCCGATTACTTACGTGCAATCTACCTCGCAGTTCTCTGTCGTTTCTCATCTTAACATAAATGCGTTCGTCCAAGCTTAACCGAACCAAATCCAACGGTTCCTTTACGGTTATGGAAGGTATCTAGAAAATAGTGTAAAATATTAAAGAATTACAGTATGGTAGCTATACTGTTTCAATATCTTCGGCCATAATTTTGCAATTTTAAATATTTTGGAAAATTACTGCAGAAATACAGGTTAGAATGTAAACGTACAGTGTTGCCGTGATTAGTTAATCTTGGTGGTGGGCTGGTGGCTATTGTACCTCGCATTTTGACCAGTATTTCTACGAAATTAAAAGCACTGTATATTTGTTAATACAATGTTAAAAGTAGGTATTCACGAGATTTCATAAACATATGAACTCGTAGTTTCATAATAATTCAAAATTTCTAATTTAGAGACTAAAGATCGCTAGCAAAACTTGGTGACCATTGAAGAGTTGTGGAGGGGGTGAAATTGAAATATTGTTTTAAAAGGTGTTACAGTTTCTGAAACAGTTTTAAAGATGACTCAGAACTATTAAAAGCTCTTAATGACTCTAAAATCTCAAGAAGATTCCAAAAGGAACCTTTGATGAATCTTGAAACAGAAGAGTCAAGAACTTCTTAATGACTCTTGAAAACGCCGCAAGTCTGGTGACAACTCTTGAAAGATTTTCTCGGCTTCTGAAAACGAAAACGCCTGCAGTGCACTTTTTTTAATCATCCAAAGGGACTTCAAGACTATCCAAGGTTTTTAAGAGCTCACGAAAGCTCTCAATGGTTTTCCTGAGTCGATTGGCACGGGCACCAAAAGTACAGCACCGAAGATGCTAATGTGCAATTTTGGAACTCTTATATACAGTGGTGACAGAGTTGTTTAAATATAGAGTAAAAAATTTACGCTCTACCTATCAACCTGTACCAGGTTATACACGTGCCGATACAGTAGATTGCGATATCTCATGATATTTTTATATTTAAAATTAATTAATAATTATAAATCTTAATTTAGAACTGTATTATAGTTTATCTTCAATACGTGCGTCATTAGATTATCATTTTTATGTTATTTTTTGTTATTATTGACGCTACGAGATTGATGAAATGAGGAAATATTAAAACCTTTTCTCATATGTCGGGTTTGTTACACCAGAAAAACTATTGAGCAATCAATTATTATGACTTATGATCTAAGATTATGACCGAAATGTTCAGCAACAAAATCAAACACCCTTTGCATTAGGTATTCTTTAGTGGAACTTTCGAAAGACTCGCAAAGAAAGTTTTAAGGATGTAGCGAAATTCGTTAAAATATTCTTACGAGATTCTTAATGCTTTCTCTAAAAGTTCAACCACACGATTGTTCAGGAGATTCTACATCGGACTCAAGAAATTATTTAAAAGATACTTCGCTTTTTCAGGATGGTCTGGTCTTCCTGCATGAGGAGATTGTTCAGGACGTTTCTATATGAACATGAGCAACTTTAGAGCACCAAAGACGTTAAACGTATCTACAACCAAAGAATTCCTATACTCTTTTTGCTACAACGTAGAATTTAAGAGATTTTTCACCACATTCTTTGTGTGATTATTTATAATATTTTTCAAAAAATTCTTATAATTTCAGTAGGCTTCTTATTTACGGCTCATCCTATATAATTTAAGCATTGACAAGTGCTTCCATCTATTTCTGTCTTACCGACTTGGTAGAAGAGACAGTAAAGACGCAAACTTCAGGTGACAGGAAGCAATTAAATTTTTATTATGGACCCTTGGAGTTGCACAAATCAAACGGATTTTTTGTGGTCTAATTCTACATCAAGGTCTACGTATCAACTTGGTTTACCACACGGTGATAAATCCGAAGGTCCGAATGGATTTGAAGACAATTTTAAACCACTCGTAAGTGACACACTACCCGATTCCCAGGCATACCTTGCAGGTTTAGGTAAGTGTTGCAGTTAATCTTTCATCTCCAAACTCACAACTCACTTTTCAGAGACAAAACTAGCAAAACTCAAGTCAGATCCGAACGTTCTCCAACAACTTGCTGAGAAACGTGAAGCCTGCTTGCGACAACTTCTGCTTACCAACTCCGAATCTGACACCGACATCTCCCTGGACACGCCGATTGAACCGTCGCCGATCTTGCGTACGATTGCACCATCGAAACAGGCACTAACGGAAGGTGAACTCGTCACCTTAATTCAATACGACCAGTTGGTTAACGGGGAACAACAATCAAAACCAAACACTGACTAGGTAATTACTTGTCGCATTTTTTGATTCTCAAAAGTTTCACATGGTGAAGGTTGGGCGTCATCAGTAATTAGTTTGTAGGCGCTTTGTATAAATAGATCAAATGGCGGAATATGTTGGACCCAGTTTTCAGTATTAAACTTATTAAACCAAGCACTCCTAAGCGTTTTTTTGGAATTATTTGAAATTGGAATCAGTATCAAGGTTCTCCACATAAATTTTGTCCTTTACTATGTGTACTTCTCTTTTTAGGGACCCAGCCTTAAGATGACTGCGGTAGATTTCTCGAAAAAAACCTTAGTTATCGTAACCGGTGCATCTCAAGGTATCGGTAGGACGATTGCTGTTGACATTTCCAAGTCTCTGATTGCAAATTCCAAAATAATTTTAATCGCCCGTTCCGAATCAGGACTAAATGCCACAAAAGAATCGATTGCCAAGGTGAACAAGGCAATTAACGTCGAGGTCATTCCATTAGATTTAACTAAGCCGAGCCTGGAGGAGTGTTCCAACATACTCAAAGGGCATTGCGACGCCCAGCAGGCCATAATCTTTCATAATGTCGGACAGGTCGGAAAATTGACCTCTTGTGTTACTTTGACCGACATTCAGTTGTGGCGAGATTATTTCGACTTAAACGTTTTCTCGGTCAGTATGCTTAATGGCCTGTTCGTATCAAGCCTGAAGGGGAAAGTAGACAAGCTGTTTGTCATTAATATAACATCGCTATGCGGCAGAATACCGTTTCGTAATATGGCAATGTACGGCGCGGGAAAAGCGGCACGCTGTCTTTATTTTCAGGTGTTGGCGGTCGAGGAGGAGGACGTGGTCGTGTTGAATTACTCCCCCGGACCTGTCGACACGGCGATGATTGAGGAAATCATAGGCACGGCGGAGAGTAAAGAGCTTAAGGGCGATTTCATCTCGATGAAGGAAACTAAAAAGATGCTCACTCCGAGCCAGTCAGTTAATAAACTGCTCTCTGTATTAAAATTGGGAAACTACAAGTCGGGGGACACCGTTGATTATTATGACGAATGATTGTATCAAATAAAAGTCGAATAAATCTGCTTTGAAACTTGCGTTTTGTTGTCTAGGCCAATTTTACCGACTTTATGAACCCCTAGTGGGCCAAAGTGTTTAAAAATACAATTAATGAACGTGCCAAGGTTGCCAGCTTTTATTGTTATTCTCAGAGGTGCTTTCCAGTTTCTTATCACGTTCCCGTACCGAGGCCTTAAGTAAGATCTATTGTACTTGTACCCTTAGTTGTCTTGCTCCCTTAGGATTCCAATATCTGATTTAATGTCCCGGGCTACTGTGAAACCTTAATCTGTCACTGTTTCATAATTTTGAAGCCTAAATAGATGATTTGTTGCAGATTATGATAACAAAATGGAAAACTCTCTAATGTTTTTGATTAAGCTCGCTTGGGAACTCAAATATCGCATACCCTGCTTGATTGCAGTTAGCTTTCTCTTATTAGACATTAGGATGCGGTTAGACGTAGAGGTGCACGTTCGCCGAATACAGCTACAAACACGACTCCCGAGAGGGCATGAGGGTGAAGCGCCGGAAGCCGAAGACGGTAAATAATACTTGTTCGGTGTGGCATACAAATGAGTTACCATTGCAGAGTCTGACTCGTGGATGACGGTAGAAGAAGACGACTAAAGCACTTCCAGTTACTCGCATAGGCAGTCTATTTTGTTCCTTTAAAAATGAAACCATTGTTTGTATAATAAATTTAATTAATTGATACTGGAGCATTACTACACCTTTAACACTTATGAGCAACCGGGGTAGGGATCTACTCGATTCTTTCGCAACACGAATTGAATTTTCCTATCCATATCCTCGTTATAAATCGCCTTGCACCTCTCGAAGTTAATTCGCCTACGAAACTTGGAGCAGATTTTATGGCATACGGTAATAATTCGCAAAGGAGCTCACCTGGAACGGTTTTTCAAAGTATCGGGTTCGTCGAAACTGCTCAAAAATGCCCTCTTTTCCCATTATACGATTGAGAATTCTACAAGCAGATTCGACATCGTTGTTTTGTACAAATACAGTTCTCGCTATAAAAGCGGCGTGTCTCATTTTAATTTAATAATTAATTATTTTTGAAATAAAATTAGGTTAAGGTTAAATCTTTTGCAGGATGTGGATCTGATATGGCCAATCAGTCGTTTGTCAGCGGTGTTGCCAATGCGAACCAACTCCACTCTTTGCCAGGATGTCCACTGCCTTTTCAGACCATTTGCGAAGACGTCTGGAAGAACGCTCAAAAGGAGCCTGGAAAGCTTTTGACTTGATCAGAAAACGTGGGAGAATTCTGTAGTAAAAGCCAAAAATCCCCGAAAGATTCGTAAAAAGTTTACATCAGGGCGCTAAAGTGCTTTTAAGCTTGTTTAAAAGGCTTTCCAGATTTGATCTTATCGCTGACGCAAAAATGCAATAAGTGGCCGAATAACACCAAACAGTTTAGGTGGAGGTTAGAAGAGCATGGTGATGCAAGTCATAGTCTGCGTCCATAAAAACCAATACCTATATAGGAACAAAAGAGTATGTAAGTGTAAACGAGCTCTAGATTGTCGTTAAAAAGGCTTTTTCGTGCCAATAACTTTTGCACTTCGCCTAAACAGCAAAGATCATGCTTTAAAAAATCGCAATGACGGCAAGATCTTCAAATCCGTAGATACCAAGAACATGTTGCGGTCGCCGTAGAAGCTGTGGACGTCGTCAGAGCGGAGTATGAAGAGGTCAGATAAAGTTCCTTTATAGGTGCTACTAAGAGGAGATTCATTGCCCCCAAGAAGCTCTAGGCGACGCCGACGCCTGAACATTCGATCGAGCTGTACCACGTGTCTGGGTCATGCTAAAAGCTAGGGTGCCGAGAAATAGGTTCTGATAATGCTTCTTTGTTGCTCGCTCAACCGATCTTCGAGAAAAGTTAGCTATGATCTCAATTTTGAGCGTTCAAAAGTATGACACATTCATATGGACGAACTCTGTATATGTTACATTCGCCGCGTTGAGAGCACTCTACCGTCCAAAATAGCGAACTACCACAATTTGACAACAAAAGGCAATACCGCAAAAGTCACGGTTCGTGTGACGAAAAATTAATGAAACAGCCGCGCTTTTCAAGCAGTTTATTATTGAAGTGAGTGCAGTTAAAATTATTGTGCGTGGTTTTGTGAAAATTATGAAGAGACGAAATGTTGATTTTGGCAAAATGAGGAGACCCCTGAAACGAAACAAAATAACGGAAGGATTTTACGGAAGGTATGTGTTTCCGTATTAGAATGTGAGCGTCGAAAGATGAATCTCAAATGTGTTCTTCACATTCTCAACGTTACTCTTCCATATGTCTTTCAAAATGGCTGTTTTTTATTTACGAAAATAGTTAGGGGCCTTCGCTCGCCTGAGAATTTCGAACGTTGTCCGAAAGGGCGACGTAACGCGGCACTTCTTTCGTAATTCGACTCTTGTCGACCGTGTTAATCTTATGGTCATCTGTCATCGCCTTTTTTGTTAGGTTAGATTGCTTGCATTCAAAATATAAAAGTTCAACGATTATCTTTTGACGCTTATCTTCGCGCTTTATCAACCGCACGAATGTTTACAGCACATCCAATAAGGAAAAAAATGATATACGTTTAGTAAGAGATGCAATTCGATGGTCGTACTCGGTTTGAGATGCACGGGGGCTTTGATATTTCAAATGCAAGAACTGACCTCTGTCATTTTCATTACATTACAGACCTAAGTAAAGGGCCATTCTGTATCTTTAGTAGTCAAAATTATTTCTATACCTTAAAATCGAGCTTAAAATGCACAATTATTGGGGAGTATACCCTTGGAGATATTATGCCGAGGTATTTCAAGACATTATCAAAATCCCATATACTTCTAATAGGTTGCCAGTGTCCAGTGAGGTTCACAGTTTGACATGTATCAGTCTCAGACGAGGTCTCAGAGGAGTAGCTAAGAATTATATTAATTTAAATTGAACTCGTGGATCATCAACACATATCAAATGATTTATAGTGCATCAAATTTTATATTGGTACCCACCATGTAGCTCTCGATGTAGCTTTAGTATTAGGGGAAGGTATGACAAGGTTATTTTGCCACATTCTTACACACTTTGCATAAAATTATTTACACATTTTACAATTTACGTACAGAGTTTGTTAATATTTCTCGCAAATTTCCAAAATGTTCCACTCATTTTCAAAACAATTCACATTTTTAAAATTTTCTATACGTTCCCAACATTTAAGAAACATTCCCAAAATTATCCCGCACATTTCCGAAATATTTTCAAAATTTTTTCCACATTTTTCAACATTTTTTTGGTTCGTACGTATTATCAAAACGTTTTAAAAACATTTGACATTTCACCTAAACAATTTACTTAGGCATTATCAAATTATTCTAGGCATTTCCAGGATTTGTCACGCATTTCCAAACAATACAAATTTCCATTTTAAAAATATTTCCAAAATGTTTAAAGATTTTCAAAACGATCATTTCGAAAATTTTGTACACATCCCCAACAGTTTCTCGCACGTTTTAGGAACATTGTCAAATTTAAAGTTTTTCTCACATTTTCAATGTTTCTGCACATCAAAAATTTTTATGATAATCGAATTTTCCAAAATTGTCTACACATTTGGAATGTTTTCAAAATTTCTGCACGCTTTCGTAACTTTAGACATTTCCAAAATTAATATTTTCACACGATCTCTACAAATCTCCCTCTTCGAATATTTTCAAAATTTTTTATTCATTCCCTGCGCAATTAATAGCAAATTTTTGATTGCAGAAGTTGACAGGAAATGCGTGGGATATTTTGAAAAACATTTCCCATAAGGTTTCAAAGCATTATTCATTTTTATTAATTTTGAACCACCCTGTAGATGTAGAAACTTTGTGAATTCTGTTATGTAATTGTTTTTTTTTTGTTTCAGCACCCTATTGTACCTGAAATTTTTTATTTTGTGGATCTTGGTGATCTTGGCAGACTTCATTTTGGAGTTCCGTTTCGAATTTCTATGGCCATTTTACCTGCTCTTACGTTCAGTGTATGATTCGTTTAAGTACCAGGGCTTGGCCTTCTCCGTGTTTTTTGTGTGCATCGCCTTAACGTCAGACATGCTGTGTTTCTTCTTTATACCTGTGCATTGGCTGTTTTTCGCGGCGAGTACGTACGTGTGGGTGCAGTACGTGTGGCATACCGATAAGGGTATTTGCACGCCCACGATACTACTGTGGATATTGTTTATATATTTAGAGGCGGCGGTGCGGCTGCGCGACGTTAAGCACATGCCCGGACATTTGGATCTGTGTAGGCCGTTCGCGGCGCACTGCATAGGGTATCCGGTAGTGACGTTGGGCTTCGGGTTCAAATCGTACATCGGCTACAGAATGCGACAGCGAAAGCAGCGCGACGTCGCAAAAGAAAATGAATTCTACCAACAGTTGCTGCTGCAAGCATTGCCGTTGGACGTAGGAGCGAGCGCGCCCTCCGAAAGCGCGTCTAACGCCATCGTACCTGCGACACAACTTCATAATAATGTTAAAATTCAAAACACTACAAATAGACAATCTCACGAAAAGAACGGACACATACCCAACGGTACCGTATCCAATGGCATACATCATAATCACATTCAAAAACCTCACAGAAAGTCGCTAGATAAAAGCAAAGAGCACGTCGAGCACGAAGCAAGGCACACTTTAGAAAGTAGGCAAAGAACAAGTCAGCATTCGCACACAAACGGTTCGGCGATTGGCGCCGGATCCGAGGAGTTCGTCGCGTCCGAACTCGAAAACAAACCGAGCAAAAGAAGAGAGAGAAAGGAACAAGACAAAGACAGGGACACGCTCGAGTACCTGCAGCGTCTCGAGACGGACGGCAGAAGACTAAAGACCGATCTGCAAAACAGCAGGCAGAGCGAGCAGGAGCTGCGATTGCAGGTCGTCCATCTCACCACGAGCGAGAAGGTCGCGAAGGGCGAAATGTCGGCGCTGCAGCGCGAAATCGAGGAGCTGCAGAGTAGGCTGCAGGGCGCGAACAGTGTCAGACAGACGGACCGACAGACGATCAGCTCGTTGGAACGGCGAATCGCCGAAGAGCGACGTCTCAGGTCCAATTGTGAGGCGCAACTCTCGCAGGAGAGGAAAAACAGAAAACAGGAGGAGGCGAGGGCCGCACAAGTAAGTTGTGGGAATTTTGGCCCGATTTTTGTATACGTAAAATATTTATACAGGGTGGAACACAGGAGACCAAAACATTTTTCCCAAATAAGGTCCAGGTTTCGTTTTTTGGGCATACCCTCGAGAATGCCTTTGCTGGTTTAGCAAAATTTTGTCCAAAATTTCTCGAGCACTCTTAAGTGGGGGGTGCAAAAGAAATTCCACTCCGAAAAAATTTTATACCTGGGTACATTCGAACTGCCGAAACATAGTTTTTAAAAATCGATAAGCGGCTACGTTTCAATATCCACCAAAAAACACAAAACAACGATTAACGTCCACGAAAAGTTACAGCCCTTTGAATTTTTTTTCGAAATTGGTTTCTAGTCCATAACTTTTGATTGAGAAGTCCGATCGAAAAAGGGAAAAAAATTTTCTTATATAATGTGGCCCGTAGAATCCATAATTTCAAACAGTTCCAAGATTGGGCTACTAGTTCAAAGGTTACAGCCCTTTGAATTTTCTTTCGAAATTGGTTTCTAGTCCATAACTTTTGCGAAAAAAAAATTGTCTCAGATTCACGTGTTCCTCTGCTATTTAAAACTTTCTTCCCTCTCTGTGTCCGCCTCACCTTGGTTTTCGTATTAGCGAAAACTAATTAACTTACGCAGCAATAACACTTATCGCAATGACCGGAGAATACATGAGATAAACTATAAAAAAATAAATTATCTTTCTAAATGCCATAAGTTGTTAATTTAATTGTAACGGAGTTTTTTTGTTAATGGTCAACTTTTGCCCGAACTGGTTGTTAAATTATTTAAATGCCACCACTGATCTATGTAGCGTGATATAGAAACGTCATTTAAGCTAAACTGTATCTCTCACCATTTTTATGGTACGACCGATAGCCGCAAGTTCCATCCTTCTCTCTGAAAAGAAATGAAAATGTTTAGGGTGTACCTTCTTAACGATCCATTTTGGACCCTTGTTCTATTTGGGAAACATGCCGGTTCCATCGTTTTTTTTTTACATACTTAAATGATACACCCTGTGTTACTTTTGTAAGTATGAGATATAACTCTGTTGATCACTAAGATAGCTTACATAAGCTACAGGCTGGACCGCTCATTGGTGTCACATGACCTTACAAGGCATAGTGCCGTTATTTAATGTACAGTGTGCCCCATTTTAGTTGAGACTGCAGTGTATCTCAGCTGTTTTTAAACATAGAGATACAGGGTGAAAAACTAAAAACCAAAGGTTTGACTGTCGGGAATGTTATATCTATACTCATGTAAGATATAAACAAGTTTTTTGCCTTAAGGCGAGTAACTTCAGCGCATTTTCCATGAATTGATCTGTACTTCCCAAAAGGCAGTAGGTATGTGCGCTATGTTTTTCTTTACTAGAGGCATATGGTTAAAATATCTCCATAAGTAAAAAGGTTGCCGTTGCGCAGTTCCCACATGAGCACATTTACTGTATGCTATAGGTATGCGATCTTTGTTTTTACTAGAAGCGTCTATGGTTAAACTTTAGAGAGAGAGGGAGATCTTTATAAGCAAAAAGTTGGCATTTTGCAGTCTGCGCATGCGCGCATTTGATTTTTATGATGTGCGATGTATTTGCCTAAGCGAATGGCATTTTTTTGTAGTTCGATTTTTATTACATGTGATATGTTTACTAGAAGCATCTGTGGTTAAAATTTCAAAGAAATATCTTCATAAATAAGGAAGTTGGCACTGACTGCGCATGCGCACATCTAATGTTTGCACTCGTGTTTGCAATATCAGATATGTTTGCCTTTAACAAAAGCATCTGTGATTAAAATTTCAAAAAGATATATCGATAAATAAGACCGTTGATGTTGCGCATCCCGCGCATGCGCACATTAATCTGATGTGTACAATATGCGATACGTTTGCTTTTACTAAAAATTAAATTTTAAATATTTCACCTTGAATCCCTCGTCGAATCCAGTGGCATAGTTAAAAAAATTTGTTGGTATCAACTGCCTTAGTTACCATGGATACAATAAACAAAACAAAATCCCTATGTATCCATCGCCAACTATAAATAAAAACCGTAAAAAATATCGTTTTTATTTTTGGTACATGGCTACAATTTAAAAAAAATATAGGTATTGATACATCAATGCGATCAGGAAAAAGAAAGCAAAAACATTGACCTTAACATATACCTATATAGGGTGTTGCATTTAAAAAACACTAACAATCAATGGGTCAATTCTCAGAAACGGTGGTCCAAAAATTTGTTTTGACCACGCCAATGGATTCTACGTAAAAATATCGAAAATATGCAGTTTTACCTTTTTTCTGTCTTGCATGGGTAGTAAGATGATAACATTCTAAAAACAAACTTTTCGTTTTCACCTCGGTTTTCACCCTGTATCTCAGGAACAAACGTAGCTAGATTGAATCTGTTTCTTTAAAAACAGCTGAAATACACTAAAAAAGTTGATATTGTCAATTGGTATAGTTGCGTAAGAGACTTATTTTCTGTGTTGATCACTTTAAAATTAACATTAATCAACCATCAGTTGTAACGGACGATATGAAGCGCAACATTTTAATTTTTGTGGAAGAAAATCCCATAAGAAACTTAAGAGAAATAGCGGCCGAATTTAATATCTCTTCTATTTACTGTCGCTTTTATTAAAATCCAGAATGCTACTTTAATTACATAAAATTAGTCGTGTTTCAGAAGGTTTTTGTCATTTAAAAGTAGACATAGGAAATCCCTTTCCTAGGTCTACTTCTAAATGAATATCACGATATGTTATGGTTCGTGACGAAATAAACCATATCGATTTCCCATATGGAGTAAATAAAGGTCCTCAGAAGGTGGTCTGGTATCTGCAAACGTGACTGCTTGTAGATAACCTAAGAGAGACATTTTTTATTTTCAAAATTTAGAAAAGGACAGCTCTGTAACTCCTTAATTTTGACATTAACATTAAGACCGTTTTTAACTACCTGTCCCTAATGATATATCGGCCTACCATTTCAGTTGCAATGTGAAACAATGTCCGATTGACCCTTACGTGTCATAGGTGGCAGCACAGTCCTCCAGAGGCGAATGCACAGAACTGTGTAAGTCGCGAAGGAGGGACATAGAGTCCGAAATAACGGAGTGCCGTTCGACGCAAAGGTGGTCGGACGAGCGCATTGCGTGTTTGGAAAGGGAAAACACCTCGTTAGCCGAACAGCTACGCGACACAGACATCCTCATGTCGGCGCTCTCTGCGATGCAGGAGAAGAATACTCACCTTGAAAATTCGCTCTCCGCCGAAACTCGCATCAAACTTGATCTCTTCAGCGCCCTCGGCGAGGCGAAACGTCAGCTCGAATTACGCGACAGTAAGTCTTTTCAACTGCACCCTTGCACCTAAAATAATTTTTCGTTTTAATTCGCAGCCGCTAACCGAGCGCAAGAAAAAGAAATCGACGAACTGAAAGGTAAGATAGCACAGGTCTTGGCTGTCATGCCGAACGACACATTCGCATCTCCGCCGACGCCTTCCAGTACGATGTCGAGAGTGCGGCTGGCCGAAAGTCCGCCCGGATCTACGTTGGATCCCAACGCCACGGCCTATACGCCCAAAAGTTCCCTCGTTACTTCCACTGAGGCTTAGGTTTGACGACACTGCGCTCGAACGTCATAAGGCTTAAAGTCTTTTGAATTGATTGTAAATTGATTTTAGGTCGGTGTCATTTTACTACATTTTCACTTAGGTATTGATAGCGCGACGCGTTTTTGTTTTTTTTTCCTTTTTTTTTTGTTGATGGTTCAAATAAAAAAAGTTCGCAAACGAACTTTGTTGTAAAATGATTATCGGCTCTCCTATTTTTGCGTATCTCGTTATAGTCCCGTATCGTTAGCTTATTTAATGTGATATATTTAATTGTAACACAGTACCTTAATGAGGCGTTCGCCGACTGTTGATTATTTGTGCATTGGTACTGATGATTTTTCGGTTAGTTTGACACTGATGATGGCTCACTCTTGGCTGACATTTGATCTCTACTGTCTCTTTAGTGTAACTGTAATTGACGGTTTCGTTTGACTTTGGAAAAAGTTCTACCGTAACTCCGCTCCTTTGTTGTCACACACATCAATTTGTACTAATATTATAAAAATGATTTGGGGATGTACTTAAAAGGCAACGGAATCAGGGTAGAACCTGATTTTAAGGTCAAACTTACACGAAAACCGTCTATTTTAATAAGACTACAACTTCCACCTTGTACTTACTTGAATTGTTCCTGTTTTTAAAGAGTACACAATTTTTTTCTTCTGTTTCTTTTTCTCCCCGATTTGTTTTCCGTTTATTTTGGCAAAATTTTCCCGTGGACACGGTGAGTGTGGTACTTAAGCCTCGAATGTTTTTTTTTAGTTTAGTTTTTTTTCTCAATTGCCGAGACAGACATGGACGCCCCTTGTGAGAACAAGTTAATACACAAATTGACGAAGATTTGTTTACAGCCAGTTTCTGGCAATCGAAGCTTCGTTCTTTATCGAATCTGATCTACTTACGTTTGTTTTGCCATATTTATTTTGTTTGCTTTCTTTTGTAGTATTTAATAGTAAAATATACGTTTATTTTTTTATTTGACTAAATTCCGTTTTACCTCTTAACGAAAACTAATTTGGGAACTTTAAACAAAAGTTGGGTGACTTTCCGCCGCTTAATATACAAGCATATTGTAAAATCGATCTTTTATACGTACCTAAATCGTTTGTATAGAAGATCATTTTGTAGGTAGGCTGTTTATGTAAGAACTATAATGTTATGTCGATCCGTTCTTTGTTGGTCAGGTATCAGCTCTCTATGTGTTATTGACTCACCCAAAATATCGAGAAGATATCAATACAAATAAAAATAGGCTTTGTGCCTAAAATGATGTCTTTATTATTACGTTTCTTCGAAATAAGCAGCAAAGGGTTTGTATTTACATATTTGGCAGTTTTGAATTGAACGTTCTCGCTCTAAATTTTATAAAGGAAAAACGCTTCTCCTACGCCCCTGTGTTTTTATTGGGCGCGGATCTAACAATTCAAATTGCAGAAGAAGGAAAACTTGCAAGGCTGTATGCGCGCTTTGAACGAGAAAAAAACGAGGCGGAGTTTTAGGTGAGGCGCCAGAACGTGGTCGCTTTGGGTGTGTAAGTGTGTTTGTTTAAGAAGCCCAGGTAATTATTTTCTTTAATTGTACCAATAAATGAGTAGGGTGTAGCTAATTGCTTTTGTTTATTTGCTGTTGCTTGTTATCATAAATTTGAATTGGCAGGGCCTTTGCCTAAATTACTCAGTAGTGATTGTGAATGAGTTAGTAGTTAGGCAGTGGTACTTTAGGGGTAGATTTGTTATATACAGGGTGTTTTTTTGGGAGCTTTAGTTAAACGTTTCTGGGAAAGTAAAATAGGCAGGTTTTTGAAAATTTGTACTTAGGCGTTACTCTGAAGACCGAATCGATGTAAAATATTTTCAAAATGGCCACACTTCCGGAAACACCGGAAGTAGATAGTAACTTCGTTATATTAAATGGCAACCCCTATTTTTTTATTGCATTTTTGGATTCTACGTAAAAATTTCAGTTCTTTTGATACCCACATGTCCATATCTGCCATTTATGGTTTTTAAGTTATTTTGACTATGAAAAATAAATGGCGGATGCCATTGAAAACGGTTATAGTCATGGCAACCCATTTTTATCAGTGCATAGAGAATGAATAGGGCTTTCTTTTAGTGTACTTAAAAAAGTTAGTTGCATACAACCGCACCTATGGAGATCCAAATTTAAGAAACTTCAAAGTCCAAAAACTCAGTTTTTTTAAATGGAATGACCATGTTCTTACTATTGCATGAGATAGAGAATCGAAATTGGAATATTTTGATATTACATGTTCCTATAGCTATCTTTAACATTTTCTGATTTATTCCCATTTCATTGAATTGATGCCATTTTTTTTTCGCATTTTCATTTTAGTATGATTTTATAACAATCGAATTTTAAACAAATCAAGGGAAGGATACTTTAATATCATTGATTCTAGTCTAAATTATGTCATTTATTAAGGATATAGGACGGAAAATTTTTGAGAAATCTAGACAGTCATTCAACTGAATTTCTTAAACAACATATAAGTCTGAAAATTCAGAGAGATAATGCGATATCTGTTCTAGCAACAATTCCATGCAAAAAATGTTTCAACGAAGTTTGTTATATTTTACATTGAATTTATTTTGTTAATCTTGCATTTGCAATTCAATTCATTTTCTTAAATATTCTCTTGTAGAGCTTGTATCAATTGTGCTTCAATGGTTTGTAGTGCATTTGGGGATACAACATTTCCAAAACTCATACAATTTCGTTCCAGTGTTCGAATGAATGTACGGCAAGCATGTGCCGCGATTCTGTCCATTTCACCATAAATAACAATTAAATTCCAAAATAGGTGAAACCACTGCGAGTCATTTTTCGATTTTTGAAAAAGCTGTTAACCTAATATAACAGTAGGTGACGGATTAGTGTCACTAGATTTGTTTAAAATTCAATTCAATTCATGGCCGACTACTAAAAAGAAAATTCGATAAAAATAGTGTCAATTCAATAAAATGGGAATAAGAAACTGTTAAAAGATAGCTATAGGAACATGTATTGTCAAAATATGCCCATTTCGATTCTTTATCACATGCAATATTAAGAAAATTGTGATTCCATTTAAAAAAACTGAGTATTTAGTCTTTGAAGTTTCATAAATTTGGATCTCCATAGGGGCGGTCTTACGTAACTTAACTTTTTTTTAAGTACACTAAAAGAAAGCTGTATTCATTCTATATGCACTGATAAAAATAGGTTGCCATGACTACAACCGTTTTCAAGTAATCAATTATCAAGGTACCATCTGCATCCGCCATTTTTTTTTCTTAAAGTCAAAATAACTTAAAAACCATAAATGGCAGATATCGACATATGGGTATCAAAAGAACTGAAATTTCACGTAGAATCCAAAAACCCAATCAAAAATTGGGGTTGCTATTTAAAATAACGAAGTGACTATCTATTTTCCCGTGTTTCCGGAAGTGCGGCCATTTTGAAAATATTTTACATCGATTCGGCCTTCAGCGTAACTACTAAGTACAAATTTTCAAAAACCTACCCATTTTAGTTTCCCAGAAACGTTTAACTAAAGCTCCCAAAAAAACACCCTGTATAGATAGCACATACATAATGTTTTCGCATGTACGTAAAAGTTTCATTGACACTGCTTCAATTACGTTTTAGAAGTTGCAATCTTGATACTGGGGAATTTCCTCTAGCTTCGGTAATGTTAGCATATCTACACTGCAGAGTGAATTTCATTGTTTTCTTAGGGGAAGATTGAAAATTAGGGCATAAGGGAAGAATTCCTTAAGAAAATAAAAACCCCTTCACACCATAAGATGCATACCAAAAGGGACGCTTTACGTAGACTGCTCGATCAAAAATATTGAGAAAAGCATGCTGGATAAAGAATCGACCTTAATCTGCCTCATTGACATTGGCAACCATGGAGCTCCTCTGTCTGACCTAATGCAGTATGCTCTTGCTACAGTGCAGGAGTGGTGCCTCACTAGGGGGCTAAAAGTATACCCGGACAAGATACGATACGTGCCCTTTACAAAGCGAAGATAACTTATGGCCTTTGGAAGCTACGATTGGGCATGCAACAGCGGGAGTACCTTCCCGAATGCCAATACTTAGGAGTATACTGGACAAGAAGCTAACTTGGTAGCCTTTCAATCATCACGGCCTTAATGAACTGTAAAGCACAAGCAAAAGTAGCCCAGATTACTAACTAAACAGGCTACAACAAATATCCTGTCTGTAAAAATGTAAACGATTTAAAATAAAGGTTAACGGTATCAAATACGTGCTTCTACATTGAGGTTAAATCAAGTCAAGAAAGTTATTTTAAAAAAATGTCGCATACAACAAATCTATATAAATAAAAATGAATGTTTGTATGTCTCTTATGCCTTCCTAAACCGTTCATCCGATTGCGATTACACTTTGGGGAATAGTTAGACGTATGTCCGCGAAGGTTTCTATGTAATAACAAAATTTCCGTCTGTCTGTACGTATGAATGTCCCTTATGCTTGCCTAAACCCTTCATCCGATTGCGACTAAACTTTAGGGGTTAGACGTACGTCCCTAAACTGTTCATCCGATTGCAGGACGAATTACTGCGAAAGTCTATATATTATTTTATACGGGGTGTCAATTTTAAAACTTGCAGTCTGCCATGTTTTCCAAACTAAAGAATATATTGAAAATCGCGCAAAACGGTTTCGGGGGTATCGAGGGGGAACCAAAATGACGATGTGAGTGACAACCCCCACCCCCTATTGATATTGACATATATAAAAATGAATCGCCGAAATTTATGTACGCGCATCATTTCAGAACGACTGCACCACATTAGATAATTCTTTTTTTGTTGTGTTTCTCATTATCAGGACAAGGTTTGTATGAAGGATAATTTTCCAAACATTGTACGGAAAGACGTAAAAACAACATTTTTCTCTTTCGTCTTTTAAATTGCAATATAACTAATAGATGGCGTCAACTGTTTATACGTTCAGATACTGCCCACTGCCGTCGCATTTTTATTCTGCATTTACACGAACTTTTTTTTTTCTTTCGTCGTATAAATCGCAATCTTCTATCTATGTAAGTATACAGGGTGGCCATTTGAAAACGAAACAGAGCCTATTTTGGGGACCTCAAAACATTTACGAAAAAATCCTCGGACCCGTCAATTTTTGATCCAAGGGGGAACCATTTTTTTGCTAGGTTCGCCCCCCTGGGGGCAAAGCCCTAGCGGGGGTGACAAGTGTCCCCAAAATTTTAAATCGAATGGGGGGTCGAGTGATACCTTATTTTGAAGGTATTTTTATGTAGATTATAACTCTTAAGATTTAAATCAGTTTATTTTAAGTGCTTAAAGCTAAAATCAATCAAGTAAATGTTGGCCTTCGACTTCCATACAAATACAGGTTTTGTACAGGTATTAAAAAGAAAACAAACAACAACAAGTACGGTTCATAATGTAGGAGAGCAACATTTTTTGTATTTACTGTTGTATTAATTTTTGTTATTTAACTAATTCATTTACAAGCATTTTTTTCATAAGAAAATGTTGACACGTTTTTAACTTTTATTAGCCCCTGTATCGGCTAGGTAAATTAGTAGCGATTTAAAACTTAAGGGTTATAATCCACATAAAAATACCTCCAAAATAAGGTATCACTCGACCCCCCATTCGATTTAAAATTTTGGGAGCACTTGTCACCCCCGCTAGGGCTTTGCCCTTAGGGGGGCGAAACTAGCAAAAAAATGGTTCCCCCTTGAATCAAAAATTGACGGGTCCAAGGATTTTTTCGTAAATGTTTTGAGGTTCCCAAAATAGGCTCTGTTTCGTTTTCAAATGGCCACCCTGTATATTAAAAATGAATCGCCGAAATTTATTTATGCGCATCAAATTAGATAGTTCTTTTTTTGTTGTGTTTGCGTTATCGAAACATGTGATGCCCTAAGGCAAGCTAATAGGAAACAGGGCAATGAAAGCAAAGAATAGCACGAAAAGGATGCAAACGTTATTAATTAATTTAGGAAAATAATCTTCAAGATATAAAATAAAAGTTCGTACCTACCTACCCGACATCTGCAGCTGCTTTAAAATCATCTCCGCAAATTCTATTTATAAAAAGGACAAGGTTTGCCGTGACTACAAAATTCATTCCAACCTGTGCCTCTGAGGACGACCCAACATACAATTAAGCCATAAAGGGATTAAATTTACCAAATTTTTAAGAAGTAATTTAAGATTTACTATAAACTACAGTACAGTACTACAGTAAGTAATGTTCGATACGTATGCTTGCACGATTAAGACGTTCTGCCCGGGTGCACCATTCTGTTGAAACCAACAATTTCCAACTTTTGTTTTTATTTGTGTGACGTACATAGTTGTAATTTTTTGGAACAAGTAAACGGCAGTTCTAAGGTAAACCTGAGTGTCTTCATAAAGTTGATGATCAAGTCCAATACTCCACAGAATTCCTTCCGCTTTGAGGTTTCGACTAGAGCCAGCAGGATTATATTGTGCCAGTAGAAAGGTCAAATGGCCGCAACTTACAACGTCACCTGAACCACTGAATTCATTCATTACTTCTTTCACGGCAAAACCCTCTATCAAAGCATTTTTTGCAAAATATTCTGTAACCAACATCATACACATCCATCCCAACACGTAACTACGAATACGAAAATTATAAACACCCGTGCGAAGCCGGGTCGGGCAGCTAGTAAATTATAAAGAAATACAAAGATTACTACCAGCATTAAATAACAACAAACACTTACGGAGTGATGCTTTCGTCACCACTATTAAAAACAAGATGACAAACAACAGAAACGTGCGCCGTGCTCTCCAGGTGGCGCAGATAGATGTTCCCCTCCTAAAAATTGCGCGGTTGCCAGCTCTCGCAAATAAAATATGTGTATCTCTCAGAACCGATCGGCGATTGTTTTTTTGCATGTCTGAGATTTTAGTAATTGATGTGGAACCCCCTATACCTTTCATGTTTGTGGTTTCTTTTTGAACTACAAGTATTTGGAAGTCGTAATCCACGTTCTCCAAGTTGAAATAAATTACATTGCACTTTTGAAAAGCTTGGGATGACATGGCCGATCCAACATATCTTATCCTCTTTTGTAAAACTAAACTCGCACAGGTCACATACAAATGTTATTATTTTTTATTACAATAAATGAGACACATACGTGAACATTAATACATTAAAAAATTAATACTGTTCATTGGTCTGGAAAAATAATGGATTTGTGTTATCAAATTACTGCATCGGTCCACACACAATTGGTATTCAAGTGGCCAAGGCAGTATACCATTAATCGTTCGAAAAAAAGAAAAATTTGTTTTTGAGAAGATACATTACATATTATAAGCGTTTTCGAATGCAAACTTTGAACGTCTGGGCAGAAACAAGACGGCCTTCTGTCTGTAAGTCGTCTTCGATCCCTTCTTGAACTTGCCGGACTTTTTGATTCCCAAATACCATCCCAGATGGGAGAACTTTCTCGACAGGTAAGTATTGTAAGAGCCCTGAAAGCTCTCGATGAAAACGGTCCCCTCCTCCGACATGTTCGGCTGAAACTAGTAATGTAATTTGTTACCCAACCAAAGTTCAACTTACCTCCCCGTACAGGCGCCCCCGACCGTCCATAGCGACGAACAGCTTAGTTAAAATTCCCTGAATCCTTACGTGACCCGGAATGCCGGCGGTTATAACTTCGAGAAGCGCTTAAATTCGCACAGTTACAATATACACGTCGCTCGTCTTGGGGACTTACAGTGGAGGTCGTTGTCGTCTCGGGTGCCACGAACCGAACCGTCGGCGTACACTGCCAAATTGTAGTTAGTTTTCGAAAACAGTTGCATTTTGTTGCCGTGAAGTGGGATGTTGGGACTCACCGGGCGCAGGTGCCTCCAGGTGTCTGTACCGGCGGCCGATGGGCTCGGTGGCGGCCAAGTGATTTTTGTTTGTTTGAAATCATTTCGAACTTCAGTATCCACTCCGCACCTCAAATTTTGGAATTATTAGACATACATTGTGGGCAAGGTTCAGTTAAGTTGGGAGTATCTACTGGTATTGAAATATCATATTTTCGCCAACCAATAATTTTGCGTTATTTAAACTTCACGCGTATAATTGGTACTGTAAAATTTGTAACGTGTGGGACCAAATTTTGTGCTCTCTTATGATTGATCCTCTGGGGAGGATGCAGTTTGGTCTACCGTTGACAGCTTACCCTACTGGATTAGATGTTCAGCTTACTTTTTATATTCAGATTCTCTAGTATAGGGGGGTACTCACAAAGGGCGATTGAGACGTCTGCAAGAATTATATCCATTGGTGACGTCAAAGCAAAAGCTACTTCGGTTTAAAAAAATGCGCTTTATCTGCACAATTTATACTTGTTTATTTCCTTATTCGATAGAGAATTTTATTCTGAATTCAAGGATAGATTTGTATCAGTTTTATTTTAAAATAGCTAAAATAAGTGTGCCATGGACGATACAAATGAATGTGAAAAACAATTACTTTGAAACAAATACATCAATTTACAAATACCGCCAAATTCTTTATCGAATAAGGAAATAAAAAAATATAGTTCCACTTAAAATAACAAAGTTGGTATCCACAGTTTCTGAAGCACTGATTGGGAAAAAATGTTTTGTGTTCATAAAACAGTGTTGCAAAATAGAAATTGTTTGCTAATTTAACCAACCTCGTAGCTCTTATAGTTTTCGCGATGGCAACAGTAGGCAAAATAAAATGAACACCATGTATACCCGAGAGACTCCTAAATTTTTTGTTCAAAGGTTCATCACAAATTCTTTCGGGATCTTAGTGATCCCTCCAAAATGTCGAAATTTTGGTGTGATATTTAAGGGATATTCCCATAGAACAGTTTAAAAGTCTGAACTAATAAATCCTAGGTACAGGGTGCGGCGCGGAAACCTCTTTTTGAAGTGGGCGTGGTTTAGCAAGAGAGATAGTGGGGTGGTAGGGGGTTTCACTGGTAGGCGTCCGGAAATTTTCTATCTATCTTTCACTACTTATATATAAGAGTAAATAATATAAAGAGGTGTCATGGGATTTGTTGCAGTAGAAAATCTTGTAAGGAAGTGTTGCTATCTTGTGACTGTTCTTCAAAGCTGTTGTATCGCTGTATTACCATATAGGAGCATGTAACCTGTATTACCTATTTAAATATACTGACAACAAAGTTGAGATTTGAATGACATCATTACTTTGCACCAGACACAGACCATGATACTGTCAGCATTATATTTAATCACTGGAATGTGATATTATGTTTCCTATGCAAGGAGAGGAGTCTTTTAATTCTTTCAGGCCATAGACCTATTTATTTTATTATTTTAACGCCTTACCTTTATCCAATTACAAACTTTATTTGAATTTAGCTAGCAATGAAAATTAAATAGGTACAGTGAGAAAATATAACTGATTATGCGTATAATTTCTAACGTTTTTGTTGGATGAGCGGTACACGTAGACCGTTTTAACACTGCTTTAGCAATTTTGTGTGGAATTTACGCAAACAAGGTCCTTTTGCGCAATTCACTAAAGTGGAAGTGCTGTAAGTATAGTGTATTTTTTTGTGAGAGAAAAGATCAATTCCATCCATACTACCATTGTATATAAAGATGTATATTATATACAACGATATTTTTTTTCGGGGCAAAAAAGGCAGTGTATAACCTTCCTTTTTTCCAAAAATCGACTGCACCAAAATTTCTCGGAAAAACACTTTTTCCTATTAATTTTGGTACGTAGAATCCAAAACAATTCGTATTTTTTCGATCAGACTTCTCAATCAAAAGTTAGACTAGAAACCAATTTCGAAAGAAAATTCAAAGGGCTGTAACTTTTGAACTAGTAGCCCAATCTTGGAACTGTTTGAAATTATGGATTCTACAGGCCACATTCTATAGGAAATTTTTTTTTCCGGGTCGATCTGAGACAATTTTTTTTTTCGGGGCAAAAGAAAGGCAGTGTATAACCTTCCTTTTTTCCAAAAATCGACTGCACCAAAATTTCTCGAGAAAACACTTTTTCTTATTAATTTTGGAGCGTAGAATCCAAAACAATTCGTATTTTTCCGATCAGACTTCTCAATCAAAAGTTATAGACTAGAAACCAATTTCGAAAGAAAATTCAAAGGGTTGTAACTTTTGAACTAGCAGCCCAATCTTGAAACTGTTTGAAATTATGGATTCTACAGGCCACATTCTATAGGAAAAAAATTTTTCCGGGTCGATCTGAGACAATTTTTTTTTGGGGCCTCAAAAAAAAGGCAGTGTATAACCTTCCTTTTTTGCCAAAAATCGACAGCACCAAAATTTCTCGGGAAAACACTTTTTCTTATTAATTTTGGTGCGTAGAATCCAAAACAATTCGTACTTTTTCGATCAGACTTCTCAATCAAAAGTTATAGACTAAAAACCAATTTCGAAAAAAAATTCAAAGGGCTGTAACTTTTGAACTAGTAGCCCAATCTTGGAACTGTTTGAAATTATGGATTCTACAGGCCACATTCTATAAGAAAAAATTTTTTCCGGGTCGATCTGAGACAATTTTTTTTTCGGGGCTCAAAAAAAGGCAGTGTATAACCTTCCTTTTTTGCCAAAAATCGACTGCACCAAAATTTCTCGGGAAAACACTTTTTCTTATTAATTTTGGTGCGTAGAATCCAAAACAATTCGTACTTTTTCGATCAGACTTCTCAATCCAAAGTTATAGACTAGAAACCAATTTCGAAAGAAAATTCAAAGGGCTGTAACTTTTGAACTAGTAGCCCAATCTTGGAACTGTTTGAAATTATGGATTCTACAGGCCACGTTCTATAAGAAAAATTATTTACTCTATGATATTAGTCAGGTTGAGTGAACAGCGCGCGTTTGCAGTGAAGGAAATTTATCTGATAGGTATTCTCGTACAATTAGGGAGTTGTGCGCAGGTGCACCATCATGTTGAAACTAATAATTTTTGTGTGCCGTAATTCGTAATTAAAAATGCTACTCAATACACTATGTACTTTTTTTTTACGGACCATATAAAAAATAATGATAATTTCTCCGGAACGAAACTTATTGAAAATCTCTTAACGTTGTCTTGTAGAGCTCAAAAAGTGGCAATGGGTCGCGTTCATTTTATTTTGTGGAGCTTGAGAAAAGCACTTCTGGATGGCGATCGTAGAGTCATTTTATAATGTTGAACGACAAACATTGTTTCATAATTTTGAATGCCCTTGCTTTTTACAATGATATCTTCAGCGCACTCATCGAGAGTGCATGTACCACTGCACTCTGCGTCGCCCCCCAAATTTTGGCGCCTTTTTACATGTTGCCTGGTCAATGTAGCCTCAGTTACAAATCGGGGCCAAGGCTGCTCTACTCATCCGACTCATTTACAACATTACCAACACTAAGCTCACTGGTATAGATCTTTGAAAAGATCGTACAGTATAATAACCGACCTGCAGGTAGTTAGTTGCCCTACCTTGCAGTCCGTACTTTAACTAGATCAGGCGTAACGTTGGATATCTGAAGGTGCCTGATTTACCAGTTACCAGAATGCAACAAATGTTTTTTAGTTTATCAAAATAAAGGGTTGTTACCATTCGAGGTTCCTCTTTGGCCGACTGCATGCCGCATTACCATCCACTTCATCATCACTGTCGAGGCTTGAGCTGTCTTCGTGTGCTTTTTGGTACATTTCACTAACACGCGTAATTAGGCTGGACAGGATGTTTCACTTACATTACAACAGGAGCGAACGCGCACCGAGAATTAGTCGAGCAAAATTTACATAGACCATAACTATTTAACGTTTAACGAAGTGAGTAAGTATATAATTTATGTTTAGTGCGTATAAATAGAACTCCGCGCCGCGTCCCACTGGAAATCATACTCCGGTGGCGTCGAGTGGCGAAGTCAATAATTTCATTAAAAATAAACTTCTGTATGTCTCGATTCTTTTTATCGATTGTGTAAATTTTAAGACTTGAGAAATACTATAAATCTATTTTTAAAACTTATTTTTATTTCGCGCGACAAAAAACGCGAAAGAGGAAGCGAAATTCTATTGAATGAAAATTAACATGTGTTGGCCGAGCTCCAAATAGCTTTCGGTTTTTGGATCGGCCAACATACCGCCAGTTTACGCAATTCCTGTCAAGATTGCTATGACCAAAAACAAATAAATAATAAATGTTCAATGATTAAAGGATCTTTTAATATTACCGGACCCGTTGAGCAGTTAATCTCAGCATTTAAAAATAAAAACGCACTTGTTTCAAATAAAAGCAAATTTTGTAGATTTGAAAAAGCTCAATCGAAGCAGACTGTGGCCCTTTTATTTGTAAAGATGTTGAAAATGATTTCGACACGAGAACAGATATTGAAAAACGCTTTTTCCATGTTAAATTACGTTTCCTTTTATCATTAATTACAACAGTTTACCTCCCAAGGTAAAACTGCCAAATTCACTGTTCCTGAATCGTGACCATACCATGAATTTATTAATGCTTGGAAGTCGGTACATAAGAAAAATCGAATGTTGGACAATCTTAGGGAGAAGTTGTGTGGTGTTGAGCAGCGGCTGAATGATCGAAGCTCCTCAAATAGTGCTGCTGAGGAGGCTGCATATTTTGCCAGTACAAATAAACCACATTTGACTAGTCAAAGAAGTTTATCCCAAAATGTTATAAATGTGGCAAGTTAGGCCATTATAAACGAGACTGTAAGAAGTGCACGTAGAAGTAGAAAAGTCAGGAAGCGCCTGCGGATATCGTCAAATCAAAGCAATTTTTTTGGACGCTTTGGCGCACGTTTCTATTGCACGAATAAATAAAAAGAATACAATCTGATATTTTTTACTCGGTGGACATTAAACGTTTTTTCTTCTTGCGTCCACACAAAACCACAACGGCATGCCATCGTTGTCATCCTGTTCATTACTATCGATTTTTCTACACTTTAAATCTAAATGACAAATTTGAAATTGATTTACCGTTTGAACTATTAAATTTAATGTATCACAAAACAGCTTCCGTTCGACATCGTCCGAGACAAGTTCGTCGCAATCGTTGTACGTGTACCTCTTAACCATTTTAAAGGCCGCGCACCAGGTTTTCCATTGGCTTAGTTCTAACCCTAGAAGAAGACGTAGTAGTTCCAAGGATTTGCTGATCACGAGAGCGGCGCCCATTTCGTCATGGGCGTAAAATCTGCAATCATTACGTGTATAACTCGACGTCAATTAAGGCGGTTGGATTACGTTATGGTGACGTCGATGCAGGTATCGTCGCCGCAACTGCACTCCGCGACCTCGCATTTGGAGACGATCTTCAGTGAGCGGATGTAAATTGTCGTAATACGCGCCCAGATTAAGACACTGGCCGGTATCAAGTTTCCCCATCCGATGTACGAGTATTTATCGCACGCTTGCACATCTTTGCATCTGAAATGAAAAAAAATGGAGGAACAAATGAGACTTTTCGCTGTAAAATAAAAATCCATCCACTTCATATCAGTAAGACAGTATTTTTGCTTCGGATGGGTTGGTGGCAAACATATGAAAAGCCTTTGCTCTAAAAAGTCTCCGAGCTTTTGAATCCTTAAGATGCTTTTAACATTCGATTCTTGAAAAGCATTAAAATCCATGTATCTGATCAAAAAAAGAAATACTTAAATTTTTATAAATTTCCCTTTGTTGTATTTTTTGTATTCACTAGATGGCGCTGCCAATTTGTTGGTGGAGATCCACAATGTTATAACCAAAAACACAGGATTAGTGGAAATAAACCTGGAAAACAAGGTAATGAAGTCACCTTGTTGGAAACAATTGTGACAATGATATAACCAGGGTTTGGAACCGGAACTGATTCAATTTATAAGCCCCTCACTTGGAACCAGAACCGTTATTCAAGAATTTCTAATAAGGGGAACCGATACAGTTACCGTTATTATTAGTACCTACCAGAGAACCGATATTTTTGCGTTCGTCTCTCCTATGTAGGTAGAGCAGACGTTGCGCTCAATGTGCGAGAAAGAGAAACATCCGTTTTGCATTATTGCTCCTTTAGCATTACTGGTTATACAGGGTGTCTTAAATTGAGTAGGATAACATGACTATCTTTGTTATTATTAACTTACAGATTCGGTTGAATTGGCAAAGTTGTGCATTTTTAATGATGGATATTCCGATGAAATATTTTAGTAACAAAGAGAGCTAACGAAAAAAGTTTCAAATAAAATTTGCAAGATTCGATGGGCTAAATTCAATGGACGTAGAAAATGTTTTTTCAAAATGGCGGTTTTCGAGATATTGACATCAACTTCTTTATTCTAAATAGACACCATATCGGATTTTGACGTCACTCGTTACAAAACCAGTGATACTAAACACTTAGTATTTCATTTAGGAATCAACATTGCATTTTTGCCTTGAAGTTTACAATGTATTTCTTATAGCAATAATTCCATGGCTGGCTGTGATTGAAACCAAAATCGTTCGTTTATTATCTCGCATAGTCACTATCGACACGGCCATGGAATTATTGCCATAAGAAAACATTGTAAACTTCAAGGTAAACATGCAAAGTTGATTCCCAAATGGAATGCTGAACCTCGCTCTGAGATTATGCTGCATATATACATCATAATAAAGCATATTTATTATTATTAAAAAGAATACAGAGTGTTTAAGTATCACTGATGGTTTTGTCATTTTTTCTCTATCGGGTGACGTAAAAATCCAATATGGCGTCCATTTAAAATAAGGAAGTTGATGTTTTTATACGTCCATTGAATTTATCCCATCGAATCTTGCAACTTTTATTTGAAACGTTTTCCGATAGCTCCTTTTCTACAAAACCATTTTTTTTAAATACCTATCGTATCGGAATAGCAATCAGCATCAAAAACTACACAACTTTGCCAATTTAACCGAATCTGTAAGTATAATATATAATAACAAAGTTAGCCATGTTATCCTACTCAATTTAAGACACCCTGTAGATACTGATAATTGACACAAACAAAATTCGTTATAACGCAAAAATCAGTAAGAATATTTGAGTGTTCGAGTCGTTAACAACCTTTAAAAATGTGTATGCTTTAAAGGAGTTTATGAAATGTGCCCTGAAAAGCCTTTAAAAGCTTTTAGTGTATTGAGAACCCTTAACAGAATTTTACAGAGCTAGGTACAGGGCTTTTACGTTTTAAGAACTATTAAGAGCCTTTAAAGGTACCTACTGTAGCAGATAATCGCTTTGCCGTTTCGAAAATTTGGTTTTGAGTTTGTGTTTTGTTCAACATAGCATATTTACACATATACCGCTTCATAGCGAACGTGAACAAAAGTATGTCTCGAAAAAGCGCGATAACAAACGTGTACGGTTTTAATAAAAGTGTGCGTTTCGAGATAAAATTTCACTCTTCACGTGCATTTGGTGTGTGAGAAATTTATTTTCGAATAATTGCCGGCATTCGAAGACTTATTCGCGAGCGATCAGGTACATTGCTTGTGCGTGGTTTTCTATCGTTGAAAATTAATTTTATGTTGATTTTCGCGAACCATCACGTAGCATTTTAAGCGCACTGACATGGATTTGCGATCCATACGAACTTTTCTACCCCCAAATTACGCATTCATCACGAAGATTACGTTACCGGGTAGGTGCAGAAAGTCAACTGTACCATCGAAACGACCTGATTCAGTATTTCTAAAGGAAGCGGCATTTTCCAAGAAGAGATAAGATCAATTTGTTACCACAAGAGCACCCACGTCAATAACCGTAAGTTATTTTAAATTTTTTGATTTGTATAAGGTAGTGGTCGGTTATTTTTAAGAATTTGGACAAGGAATTTTGTTCAAAATAATTTAAATATTCCTAAAGGAATCGGCCTATGAAAATCAATTGCAAGAAACATTTCTGTACCTACCTCCACTTAGCATATCACAAGACAGAGCACAATCGCACAATACAAGCTTTGAATGGGCAACGCTGGAGAGAGGCTACTGATATTAATGATTTGACCATCAAAAATGGCACACAATGTTAAGACTAAAATAGTTCTCCCATGAGTCAAATACGTACAAATTTACAGTGTCGAAGAGTACAGGTGCTTCATAGCTGAGAATGTCGAAACGGGTCAATGCAGTCGATTTCAAATATTTCCTACTCTGAGGCAGTACGTTTTTTACGCACATTCGCATACCGGGCACCAAACCGAAAGGCATCCGCAGGCTTTCCCAATTATTTAAATACAGCACCAACTGCGACTCGTCCTCTTGAAACGTTAGCGTGTGCGTATACGAACCTGTACCGGTATATTTCTTATAGATCCAACACAGGAGACGCTCTTACCTGGCGTCCCGAATTGCGACGACCCCACAATCGGCGCCTTCGTTCTCGATGAAAGCGGCGGGACGAACGTTTTCAAATGTAGCGTTCCGATGAACGAGATTAAGTCGTTGGAACATTTGAGTTTCTCCACGGTCTCGGATACGGTCAAAGCGGAATCGGCTGTCTCACGTGACAATTTGACAAATATGGCGGTTTTCTCTTGAAATTTCCTCGCGTCCAACTGTTTCAGGCGTGCCAATTCGATACGGTTTTGACTAATCCTGAAAACGGCGGTGAAATCAAGTCTAAACAAGTCCAATACTGTACAGCTTCTCCGAGTGGTACACTTGATAGGTTTCGCCCGTAACTAGCAAGGGCACTAGTTGCACTTGGTGCGCGTTCAAACCCAGGTAGAGATCTTCGTTTCGTTCCGGCACAAAAACCTCTAACCAACACTCGATTTGCTCGCTCCGATTAACGTTCACCTGCAAGCGAAATTGACGTATCAAAACCAACCGTGAATTTAGGTGGAGAATCTGCCACCAGACTGTATACTCACTTCATATATAAAAAAATGGAGAAAGTCGTGATCAATATTTACTTATGAACTTATGAAATCTAAGTCTCTTAATTGCGTTACACAGAAAAGACCTCAAGACATCAAGTTGTTCAATGTCCCGTTTTGAAGATTTACTTTTGCGGCACACGATCTCCCCGTGTAATACAACAAACATCGCGCATCCCGACAGCACACAGAACGCTGGATTTCATAAGTTTTCTAAATATTAAATCACGAATTTCTCTTTTTTTTGTTAAGCATATCCATATTATACAGTGATATTCATGTTGAAGTAGACATAGGGATTTCCTATAGGAATTTCCTATGTCTACTTTTAAATGATAAAAAGTCTTCTGGAGGACGCCTAACTTTATGCAACCAAAATAACTACCTACAACAAATGAAGATCTGCCTGTCATATTAATTAATTCGAATATTATCACTTTGACTTCCGTATTCTAATTTTCGTTGGTGTGTGATGTATTTTACTAAAGAAAAAGTTGATATTTCCAATTGGTATAGGGCGGATAACAGTTAAAGGACATGAATATCACTGTATGTTGTGGTACAGCAAATATATTGCTCTTTTCAAATATCGGAAAAAAAATGTAGGCAGTGCATTTTAAAAACAAAAGGTGCCTCCAATTTCCGGTTTGAAATTGAAGTATGCGATCAGATAGATCGTAATGTCACATATAAAATTACTTGGCTACAAAACGGATTTAACTCCTAATATCATCCAGTCAGTGACATTAGTTTCATTTTTTTGCATGGCCACCTCGTTATTAAATATAATAATAATAATAATAATAATAAATAGTCTTTATTGTGTTAAGTAGAAAAAGAATATAAAAAATGATGAAAATTAAATACAGGGCGAGATTCAGTTACAGGGGGTAGCTTCCCTGCAGCTGTTGTTATTAAATATGTAAATTATAACTTATTGGAGATTAGAATATAAATACCAGGAAAACCAAGATATTATTACCGAAAGGTTGAAGGTTTATGGAGAAAATAAAAGATGACAGAAAAATATACAGCGAGTTCTATTTAAAAAAGTGAGATATGAAGTGTTGTGACTTTGGACCTACCCAGAAAACACCCTGTAAATTTATTTTTTATTGTTTCATAGTAGATGTAATATTTATTTGACATTTACTTTACCCAGGATAAAAGACATAGAGCTCGGAACCAAAATTGTAGTAGTAATTTTGTCAACAAACTGACGCCTGCAAAATTTTTCTCATAAAACGAATTATCTATAAAACTACAAGTTCTTTGTATATTAACCATATAATAAAAAAAGTCATACTTATAATTACACATAGAATTAAAAAATGCAGTCAAATACAGGGGGTTCCACTAAAAAAAATGTACCTTTTTAGCGACCTACTTTGAGAACGCACCCTGTATAATTCAAAATATTTTTAAAATGTAGAGAATATCCATATCATAATACAAAAGCACTATTAAAAAATCTTATCTTATTAAAATCATTTGAATCTTATCTTCATAGATTCTTCCTTGGACCATCATAAAGATTGTCTTGCAAGTATCTGCTTAGAACCTCTGTCAGAACAGTGTTATAATACTTAGAACCTTCTCAGCCATTCAAAATTTCTGAAATGTAAGCAACAATTTTTTTTATTATATAGCAGATGTTAAATTGACATTTGAATAGGTTTGAATGAGTAGGCTAAGCCTCTCTTTAATGGTAGGGGTAGATAAAGTGATCTCTTTAACAACAAGGGTAGATAAAGTGAAACAAATGATTGTGCATTCTAATGACATGTCATTCCTATAAAAAATGGGACGCGGAGTACGAATTAAAATGAAGTTCAGAACAGAAAACAATATTTCGATTTAAAGAGTCCCTGAAACTTTTTATACTGCTATTCCCAGACCTTTACAAAGCTGGGAGAGATCTAGAAGCTATGGAAAGACCCTAGAAATCTCTGGAAAGGTTTAGATATTTCTGATTTATTGCTAACATCACATTAAATTTGCACATCCATCCAATGCTAGAATGTTATTGCTAACCTCGCATCAAAACCGCCAAACCATTGACTACTTACCGTTCCCTTTCTGTGAAGTTTAAACTTAAACGAGTACACGTATGGAATATCCTCACGAACCTCCTTCAGTAGAATATCTCGTACGGTTTCGACATCATTCGTGCTCACCTTCTTTAACACAAACGTATCGGCAACGTCGAAGAGAATGTACTCAACATTGTGAACGTCTGCCTCTCTAAAGGTCTCGGTGAAAACGCGAAACTCAACGATGACCACAAGCCGATTGGTTAAATCGTACAGATCGACGTGATTTCGGTTCGTGATCACGCACGGAACGCAATGTTGAGCGTCGTGCAGTAGAATAATTCCGTATCTCTTGTTGATTTTGAGGTAGCCGACCAGTTTGTCGTACTCCTTCCGTTTTGAATGTGCACCGAAAGACCACGGTGGACTTTTCTTCGGTTTGTCCGGATCTGCGTCGATGAATCGATAATCCGATATCGTTTTCAAAGCGAACGGTGCTAATATCGTATTCAAGCAAGTGTGTCGATTCTTAACTGCTTTGTCCGATGCGATTACGTCGACAACATTGCACATCACCTGCTCTGGACTGTTCGATGTAAAATCACTTAGTCTACTTGTGATTATTTCGAGATTCTCCACTACTGCCTTTACATCGGCACAGCCTAATTTGTGTCTACGTATCGACGCCAAAAGTTCACTTTCGGACGTAAACGTATGACCATAATTGCTAGTAATCCTAGATCTTTTGCATAAGAATAGCGCTTCCAAGCTCAGCGCCTTGTTGATCACGTAATGGGCATTGTAAATCTTGATGCGTTCCCCAATTTCTGGCAGTAGCACTTCCCGACTTTGAGAGGCCGCAAGTCCCATGTATATTATTAATTTGTGATCGAGTTGAAACGTCCATGTTGTAGTATTCACCGCAGTCACTTTACCCTAGAAAAAAGTGTGTAAAACCTTTTATTACTTATAAAATTTCATACCTCATAGTTCATATTATTTGTTTTGGCATGTTCACATAACCTCAAAAGTAAAGTTCCCGCTTTTTACAAGTGGAGTAGTTCTTTTCGCCTCGCCAGTAGTTCAAGTAATCGGTATACAGTACAAATTCAAAAATTTGTTGAGCTTGTGTCACTTACGGTACCAGTCGAAGGACGTCAGTTCGTTATTCCTATATGTAGGTTGACATGTTTCAGTTTGAAATCTACCATCAGCTAGAACGCTAGAAGTTGCGACCGTTTTGAACTTTATTCAAACACTGCGGAAGCGGGAAGTAGAAGAGAACTATTATTTTGAGCGCATTTGAACTACATTTGCATTTTGCACCTACGCTGTGGCGCCAAACGAATATGCGTGTCGTGTTACGCAACAAGAAGCTATAAGATTGAGATGATTTGAAGTTCACTAAATCTGAAATATTTAAAACAGAAAACAATGTAATACTTTATTGCTTTATTAAACGAAATATTACATTTCACTTTTAGAAAAATAACTTAATCTGCGAACAGAAAATTATTGCATTTATTTCGAATTAATGATTGTCTAAACCGTGTGAAAAAGAATTATTGCCTTATTGGTATACAGAAATTGAGGGTACAGGGTACCTGCAATGCGTTACATTACTTTTTTTTAGATATATAATTGACAATTCAAAAGGACGGCACCTAATTCGATATGTTTAAGCTGAAGCGAAACGAAATCAATATGGATTGCCAAGGACGGTTATTGTTGAGTTCAATATACGTATCTACTTATTGGGGATGGAGAGACTTATTGCTATGTTTATATTAGTGAAACGTTACAAGAATAGAAGTGTTAATAGAAACTGCTCTTTAGGCTACAAAGAACGCTTCTGGCTACATAAACGACTAACTGTTCGTGGTAGTATTAAAATATTTATGTAATCTGCTAACGTATATACAGTATGGCTGCTATTATTATATTTACAACCGTTGCACTATTTAACGGAAAAGAAATGATATGTTTGGACATGACAACAACCATTTCTTTTACCAACAACGTAGTAAAGAGCGTAACTTTTCGGAAAGAGAAAAATAGATGATTTTTTTTGTTGGTCCAAAATTTGGCTCTACGAATACAATGCACCCGAAGCGTCTAGTAAAAAATACCAAATACAAATAACGTAATCGTTACTGGCTACCGTTCAACTTCTAAAAAAACATCGCAGCCATTCTCTTCTGTCATATCTTCTTCTATTATATCTTCTAAACGTCTACACTCACTAAAGCGACGGGTGACACTAAAAGGATAACGTTTCTAAGTCACAATAAAAAAGAAATGCTTTTTCTATGTTACCTTAATTAAACCAAGCATCACGATCATCATCACCATCACCATTGAAATACTGACGACTGCATGCAATTTAACATATCATGCACAACATAACACCACAAGACAAGAAACAAGCTTACCATCTGCCTCCACTTGCAGTTATTGACTTCCTAGCGAGATCAAACACTTCCAAAATTTCCGGAGCGTATCTGCTTTGCATCACGTTAATTCCTCTAAGCTCTCTTAGTTCAACTCCGCGAAACAAATCGCAGCAAATCAACTCTTCGAGCGTCGGAAGCTGAGTTAAATTTTGAAAGATCAACCTTAACACCTCGACGACCTTCGGAAATCGCTCCAATTCCAACTCCAAGTGTGCCGGACTAGGCGGGGTGGGCAACTCGTAACCGGTCGTCATTTCGAACAGTAGATGACCGAAACCCAAAACATCGGGCGCTGTGGGTAATCGGGACGCCATACCCAACAGGCTATTCTCCAGTCCGGCAACGCGCGCCACGCCATTTTGCAATATCACGTTCCCGGAATGCAAATGGTGCACCGGCGGAAAACCTCGATCCCGAAGGAAGAGCATCGCCTCGAGAATTTGGCGACCCAAACGCTGAATCTGCCACAGTGGAAGCCCTTCGCCTCGGCCCGAATATTTTCGATCGCAATCTTCGTGCCAGGCGCTCGCGTAAATTAGATCCCGAAGACTTCCGCCGTGACTAAGTGGACAAATTAAGGCCACTTGGGTGTCCAAAAACTGTATGTCTAAAACTGGGTAAATGTACGGATGCTGTAGCCCTCTGAATAGAGCTAGAACCGTTTCGCTCGTAACGGTTGAGGGTGTTATGGGACATTGCGTTGGAAGCGAAACGAAGCTGAGCAATCTTTCCGCGTCGAGCGTGACGTCTTGGACTATAAACCTATAGGAAGAGCTTGTTAGAATTTTGCTTTAACAGTTGGGGGGTCGGTACCAGTGCTTGTTTGCGCGCGAACCGATTCTCTCCAGTTGTGCTCTGAGTTCAAACCTGGGGTGGCCACTTAGAAATTGTCGACACGCCATGAAGGCCCCGTCGTACATCTCGGTCTCGGGGTAATTGGTTTCCCCTCCACTGTCTGCGCGCTTTAACGCGCTGTACTCGTGACGCCCAACGGTGCTGCACCTACAATGAAGAAAAGCTGTTAGCATAGTCGCGTGCAGAAGATGCTACCACCAATTTGAGAAAAACGTTTTGCTACTCAAAGGCGGAGTTTTTGGTTCATCTTTGCTGTTCCGTTGCTCGGAGCTGTAACTGCGCGTTCTGAACGCTTGTCTTCTGCTGGCCGTCGTTGTGAGGCCAGCGCTGGAAAATTCGGCGACGCTCTGCGTTCGTTTTGGGGTCTTCTTTTTCCTACGGAACGAACGCGAAGGTCTCTCTTGGCAAAACCGATCGTGCCCAATAACATCGGGCTCCTTTCCCTCTTTATCTTCAGCGTTCCGATTCATCTTCTGGTACATGTTAAACATTTTGACGCGATATTTCTTAAACCGCACTCTTAAAAACGCGATCATTAAACTACAAATGCACGGTCACTACACGTAGCGACTCTTTAATCCTATTACTCTAAGGCTTCAAGCACTCAACGACAAAAATCAGAGCTTTAACAACGGGAGAGGGAAACCTAATTTAATTGATCTACTCACTTGCATTTTCGTATCCAAAATCCAGCAACTGCAACTATTCCTAGGCCCAAAATCATAAAAAAGGCAGTGATCTGAAAATAGGGATAAGTCTCGTAGCATTTTGCAGAAAAATAAATACCCAATGATGATTCGTGACGGGAACATGGACTTCGGGTTTAGGTACCTTCATATTTACACATGGCCTAAACGTCCATTAGATTTAAACGGATCAGAGTAAATTCGTCATTGTTTTCGAGGGACGTCTGGCGAGATGTCATGCAAAACGCCTGCACACATGCAACTTTCTTTGCACGCATGTTTTGTTGTGGAGTGACTGCTGCGAATTGCAGTCGATATGTAGCGGACGCGCATGCGTGCCACGTGCGTTTGGAGACGGCATACATGTAAAAGTGTATAGTCTAATCGATAATGTATAAATAAAAATTTCAGATCGATACGCACGATGCATATACGTAATTAATTACATGAACATGCCATTGTTAGCATCTACTAATTATAGATAGCGAGAATAATTGTTGCATATATTATAAAAGCAAGGGATGGTAATGAGCAGAATAAAAAAATCATTTGCAGGAATATGCCCATAAGTGGCGGGTGGACGGTCGGATGGACAAAATGCAAAAGATCCTGGCTCAGTTCTTTGTGGTTTGTTTTGTTGAATTTAGGGAGGAAATTAAAGATTTGGAAAGTGTTTGTAATGTTTTTCAAAGCTTTTTAGTCTGAGCTTCTTAAGTGCTAGAAGGCTTAAAGCGCGTTCCATTGCGTGTACCAGCCCGAAGCTTTCAAATGACTTTCGAAAGGCTTCTCCGTACGTTTAGGGTTCTGGAAGAATTTCTATTGACCTAGAAAGTCTGTGATCCAGTGAAGCACTTAAATCTTATGGTTTTCCAAAGTCTTTTGTGCCATTTATTTGAACCTTCTAGCATGCAATAAGCCTCTCAAAGTTTACGTAAACTGCTGAATGGCGGCAGATTTACGTCGACATGGTCAAAGTACACCGGGTGTTCAGAACTTATGGCGGTCAGTATATTTAATTAATCGTTTGGGATTTTCTGGCAATCCAATAAGATAAAGTACTGTTTTAACGACATTGTTTTCGATTTATAAATTGCAGATTAACGTACAATTTTTCTGAAATACCTTGTATAGTTTCGCAACTAAAAATAGGGTTTTTGTTGTTAACGAAAATTCATAAGCGTATTGGTAGCACTGGCATCATCGGACGCATTTCGTTGTTCTACCTTCCCTTTGCAAATATTGCTAAAATTTTGCCTTAAATTGTGAATTGAGGTAAGCCACAATTAATTTTATGACTACAGGTAACAATTTCGAAGATGCCGCTATTCCCGTGTCTTGTATTTCTGCACAATTTTCGTTTATTTGGACACGGCCATTCAAAATGACGTACACCCTGAACGAGACTTTCACTGCCACAAATTTCTAGCTTATAAGTCACATATTCGTTTAGAATATGCTAATACTATAAAACTGTGCACATTTCCTTTAAGAGGTGCCGTAGACTCCCATCGTAACCGATGGTCGATTTCTGGTATTAGTATACTTTAAACCTTTGTGTTTCGGTGTTAATAGTGACTTGACGGTTGACGAAAAATGAACGGTAAGTTATTCTATTCATTATTCACAATCTGCGTCGGTAAGTAAAAAGTAAAAGGGTTATGTTTAACCGATTCTTTTCTTTGCAGAATAAGGGATAGTTACGATTACTACAAAAGTGCTAAAAGTGTATGACGACCGTGTGAATAGTGTATTGTGTATGTGCGATTATGGAACCTGCCGCTCCCGGTACGGAAGATGAAGTAAAATTCCCAGTTCAAACTCACGCTAGTAAAAAGGTAAACACTTTTCTTTCAATTTTGTAGTAGTTTTGGCGAATTATTTTCGTTCACAGGTGTTTTAGGTAAGTATATTTATAGTACCAAAAAAACCAAGTGCTGTGCCTACATTTTCTTGTGTATTTTACGTATTAAATTGTATACAACGTATTTACTGTATTATTCGACGACAGTGGCGGTTTTTATAATCGATTGCGTTTGTCTCGGCGCGCTACCTTTACTCTTTTAATTTAGTATCGAATGTGCAAAAGTTAATTTGTGGACTCACATCGAGTGTGCAGTAGATTCCAGCAGTAGATACTTGCTGAAACCGAAGTCAAATTTTGAAAAAATTGTTCTTAAGAAACAAAATCATTATCAGGGGGTTGAAAAATAGGGGTGGTGTATTTTTTTGTGCAGTTAAAAAAATCTAACTTGTATAAGAATCATCTCTATTACCAGGTTTATAACGTTTGTGGTATGTATGTATCTTTGTTCGTTGATTACAGAGTTCATTAGCAACTCTGACTGCACACAAGAATCCTGCACAGGGTGGTTCAAATTTATGGCTCACTATTGGGTCTCTGTAACGATGAGAGGTAGAGTAGGTTAAATGGGGGCAAAGTTGTTCCTTTTTGTGGCTAAAAAAACTCATTTGAAATTTTTGAAAAATATAAAAATATCTGAGATATCACAGAAAAACTGAAAACGTCAAATTTTGCTACAGTCTACTACTTTTTTATTTTTCATGGACGCCATATTGAATTTTTACAGAAGGAAGTAGAGGAACAAAAATAATGACATATCACACTTACATAAATTTGCAACAAAAATTTCAAAATCCAATCTTTTACTTTCCCATCGAAACATCCACGGGTAACTAGAATCTGCTGAATCAATTCACATATTTCAGATACCTTTCTTGTTCGAAAATAAAGTATCAACGAAAATACTTACGGGATTTTTGTTACATTTGAATGCATCACAATCCATAGCCATGTTGATTCAGCAAGATCTAGTTACCCGTGGATGTTTTGTTGGGAAATGAAAGTAAAACTTTTTGAAATTTTTCTTATATATTTATGTAGAATTGTGACACGTCATTTTTCGTCTTTTATCCTCCATCTTATCTCATTCCGTAAAAATCTAATATGGCGCCCAAAAGAAATAAGAAAGTAGTATCCTGTAGCCTCGCCTGTAGCTTTTACATCACATCTGGCGTGTTACGGAAATTCTGATAACAGATTCAGATTCTTCGTAACAAGTGCCCATAGAGGCTGCTAACAGAAATCGGTTATTCCCAGCGGTTTAAGCTAGAAAAAATCAAAACGAAATTTGACATTTTCAGTTTTTCGGTGATATCTCAGTTATCTACAATTTCAAAATTTTCAAATGGGAATCGAACCCGGGTCACCCGCCTAGCAGCCACAATGATTAGGTTGAACGACGACAGCTGGCATCTTAATGGATATGGAAGCTGTGTCAAATATTTTTGGTTGGATACAGAATGGAGAAATAAGTTCGTTTTAGCGTGTGACGTCACCTGACCTATTCGCATACAATCCCTATTCGTTCGCTGAGTTTTTTTGATTGGGTAGATGACGTCACAGGTAGTACAGACCACTACTGTGTTGCGCACTGAATACTTAAATAATATATTCTCGGTCATTTATTGACGGATTTTAAATTTTGTGTTTACTATAACGCGTTCGCACCTCCAGATGCTTATGGACATACAGTACATGCTTGCCAAACTTATTAACAAACGTGAAAATGACAGCACAAGGAGATTATGCTGTGTTTTAATACTTTAATTCAATCATATGTCAGTTTGGCATCATTGCGGTGAGGAACAAGGACAATGTTATCGAAGAATGACGTAAATTAGAAAGAGAGGTTTATTAGTTTTGATTTATACTTTAATGTCATTAGGTTAAATATAGCATTATCGACATCATGAAACTTCTCCATTCAAAGTCCTTTCAAATAAGGTGTCAGTCAGATGTTTACGTAGAAATGTGTCTCCTGAAAACAAAAGTTGACTTCTTTCACGATTTTTTATGGTTTCAACATCAACTGACATATTCAGGGTGACTGGTTTTAACTGGAACGCGCTGTATAAGTAGAAAAAAGGTAAAAAAATATTCTATTTACCACAACCACAGCCGTCTATAATTACAAGCCATGCTGAGAAGTTTGGCAACGTTGTTCGAAAGTCAATCGGTGGGCCGATTTAGTTTTAATGGCGTTTTGTTGCTCTTGAAAAATGGCATTTTCCTCTCTCCTGTGTTTTGCCTTGGCGGTTTTAATACAGAAGAAAGATACTTAGGCAGCTTACAATTGTGCATATATATTATTTATTTACAAAAATGGATAATAACATTTTTATTTGACTTTAAAATTCGTAATGCTGTAAATTGGTAACTGCATCATAATGTGTTTTCCATCGAGATCTCCGAAATTGGTGAACTTCTGTCGAAACAGGTCGAGGTGAAGCATACGCTTGAGCACTTAATTTCGGTAAAAGGACAGTAAATCGCTGCGCATCAGCGAGGTTTTATCAACGACCAGGTGTGATTCGAAATGGCAGACTTTAAGCGAGTCGCTACTCCAGTGGGTGTAGGTACGAAGCTTTTAAAGAGGGGAGCACTGTAGACTTCAAATTCCCGTACCATGAACTCTTGGGAATAAGTTGAAAAGTTCCTTCAGAAAATCGATTTGACATGTCCGTGCTAGAATACCTGAAATACAAACTAATTGTATTTTTTCACGATAAACACTTACCGTACTTACGTACCACGTAGTGTTTAGGTCATATTTGAGCTTGTACAGGTACTTTGAACAAATACAAGTGCTTGTAAAGGGTCCAGTAACGAGTAGCCTGCTTTAGAGGTTATGACAACAAATCGATATATTTCGTTTAGCAACTTACCTGAATAATAACTTCTGTTCATTCCGTACGGAGTAACACAAATTGTCGCAATCTCGCTCTGTTAAAACAGGTAAATTGGAATATTACACCCAAAACACATATAAAATACACCCAAAATCTGTCAAGTTGAATTAGGAAATCGGCCTACCATGCAGTGTTGCCATAATTCTCAGCATGGCTTGTAATTATAGACGGCTGTGCCACAACCCTCTCATTAGACGATCGTCATGTTTTTATTGGGCAATTGTAAAAGAGGCGGAGTTACATGTTTTGCATTTTTGATTATTTATGGAGTGGGAAAATATCCTACTACCCCTATTTTTCAACCCTCAGAGTAATTTCGTTTATGATTTTGTATCAGTAAGTACATACAAATTTATTTTTTTTTAATTTGGCCAAAAGCGCATCCGTCTCAGTGTTTCGGCCTAGTGCTGCAACCTATTGTTAACTCGATGAAGGCAATTTGTGACGCTAATGCGGCTTTTCTGTGCAGGAAACCGAACAGGAGCGCCTTCTCGCGGTGAAAGCTCGACTTCCCAATGGAAAATTAGGCAACGTCTTCGAGCTTTCGTTCCTCAATGGCGCCGAACATTGGTACTGCAACCTGTGCAAGTGTCCCATCATGGGGCACGTCTATCATCACGAAATCGGTAAGCGCCACACGAATAACATGCAGGCGCCCTTGTCCCACTCGTCCTTTGACGATTCTCCCCTACAAGTCGCGCCCGGCGAGCCTGTACCGCCCGGCGTCGAAAGCGAAATACAAAAGGTCGCCGAAATTCAGGTGAGTCGATTTGCCGCAGATCGGTTAATAGCGTCGGCATTGTAGGAGCGGTTAGATAACTTCACGATTGGCCCGCTGATAGGGCTGGAGTATTTGTTCGAATTGTTGGAGTTCGACCGTGATAAGGAGCCCTCGTATTTGTGTCTGTTGTGCGACAAACGAGGCGATCCTCGGACGGTCATAGCGCACTTGGCGAGCTACAATCATATTATTCAGGTACGAGGATCATCTAGTGTTTGTGTTTCATTTCACTCTCGTAGTATATAAGACGGCATTTTATATCGTGCTTTCGAGCGATCTCACCTTACCTGACGAAGCAGTACAAGCGCAATTGGCAGTTTGCCGTGCAGAAAATTGCGGAGGCCATAGAGGACAAGTTTGGACGACTTAAACCTCACGTTGTCGACCAAGATACGTTTGAGTCGAAACGTTTGCACTATCAGAACTTGGTGGCGTGCGGTAAGCACTTCAACGAGCGGAGCGGTTACACCTTCGAGGAGTTGGTCGATGTTCAGCAGTTAACAAAAGTTGTGGCAGGTAGGTTTAGGTCTTTTTCGGTAGGGTAAATTTGCCATTGCTTTCAAATATGCGCTGTGGACATAACTTTTTTTTCACGCCTGTGATCAAGGGTGCTATATAATATAGGATTACCAGATGACTGTATTTTCGCCGGTTATAGTGGGGGTTGTGACGAACCATGCCGCAAGTAGGCGGTGTTTCAAAGGTTGCTCCGCCCACTGAGCTTCCGTACACTTACAAAAATCCAAGTTCTTAAAAACTCTCAGATTTCTAGCTAACAGCTTATTAAAGGCTCTTAAGAAATTTTAATAACTGCTCAAAAATCTGTTAAGGCTCCTCTGTAGTCAATCTGCCATATTGGAAAAATAGCTAAACTTTCTTATGAAATGCTGCTTTTGTAGTTGAACTACAAACAAATTCTCGATAGTGGATATTCTTTGCAATGATGAAAACAACGGTGGTATTTAAAAAAAGTTGAAATATCGGTCTTAGTTTTTTAGGAAGATCGATGAATAGAAAAATCGTTTTTCGTAAATAACAGCCGTTGTAATGGGAGTAGAAAAACCTACAGCACCAATTTGGAAATCCGACAGTGTTTCTTACGGCGGTACTTAAAGATATTATTTCCATCTATTATGATAAGGCATATATTTTAAAAAATATGTTTCGCGATCTTCAGAAAAAAATCAAAACGCTAACGTAAGGATAGGCAACTTAAATTGCACTTATAATGCCTGAGGCGACAACTCATTACTTGAAAGGGAAAACAAAAGAAACTACCTGGCATTACCCTACACATTGTTACGCCGTTCCTAATGATATGGATTAGATTAATTACTGTTTATTATTTATCTATTTGAATGCTGTTGATTTGTAAATCATAATGTCACATATTCCCAAGACGAAAAATGGATATTCTATTATAAGTACATTGGAAATAATTTTTTATTTCTAAAACCTTTTGCATCCCATCAGGATGCTTCAAGAAATTAAAAAAAACCCTGTAATGAGGCTGTAATAATATTTCCCTTTGACGGGGTGAGGGGTACTTACAATACTAGGTACTTCACATATTCTATCATAAGTAGTGCTGAATATGAACTCTGTTTTATAACAATGCTTTCAAACTACCAGAAGCGTAGCACTTTGTTTAGTTAGATCAAATCAAATATGACTAAATTACACGTTCGTGTATATTTCTCATCTAAAATTATCAGTTTCCTCAGATAGTCCAGTATGCGGAGCAGTCAGAAGGGCCGATTCCTGCAAAATGTGGTGTAAACGATTTTAACGTTTTAAATGGCCTATTTGGGTCCAAATAACATGTATTTGAAGAGTGCACATCAATTTTTTCCCGGCACAACTTTTGGCAGTCAAAAAACCTCAGAACGTTCGGACTTCTTTCAGTTTTTCGCTTAAAACTCGAAAACGGTCCATATTTTATGAATAACACTTTTTTAGTAAATTAAAGAAAACAAAATTCTGCGTCGATTAAAAAAAACAAACAAAATCGGTCCAATAGAAAAATTTTTACAAACGATCAAAAAACGCCCATTTTTTCCAACTTTTCTAAAGAACTGAGTTAACCTTTTTTTAATGCGTTGTGGCTCCTAATGGAACGATAAAATCCACTACTCCCCCTCCCTAAAGATTGTAGAACATCAATCAGAGAGTTCAAAAAGTACCAACAATTTAAAATTGGACCAATTTTTGAAATTCGTTGGAAAAATGGGCGTTTTTAGATCGGTTGTAAAAATTTTTCTATTAGGCCCATTTTGTTTGTTTTTTTTTATCGACGCATAATTTTATTATCTTTACTTTAGTAAAGTCTTATTCATAAATTCGAAAATGTACTGAATTTCAGTGTATTTCAAGCTCAATCCACATTACATAGCGAGTATCTTTGGAGGCTGATGCGGAGTGCACATACGTGCTTGGCAACTGTCTTGTTTTTTTTACCTGTACTTTGCCGTTTGTTGTTTGCGATACCTGCAGCTGCGTTAGGAACTATTCTCTTTAGTAAGTTATCAAGATTATCAAGTGGACTTGTCCAGATTTATAAGTTTTATAAAATTTATTTAAGTTATAATTTACATATCGTTAGTTTTAGATGATTGGGTATCTTACCAAACTTATTGGAATTCATTGATTATTTTTAAATGAAAATTGCCCATGTCAACGTTCGATCATTGGTTATTAAGTTTCATAATTTTGCAGATCTCGTGATAAATGGTAGTTTCGATGTTGTTATGGTGTCAGAGACTTGGCTCGGCAGTGATGTTAATCAAATCAGTATTCTTGGGTACATTCTGTTCCGTAGAGATAGAGATGGCCGTGGCGGTGGAGTAGCTATATACATCAAGAGATGTTTTAACTATGCTGTACTGTGCTCTTCATGTAGAATAGAGCAAATATGGGTAGGTTTGATGATTAATGATAAAAAACTAGCACTTGGTTGTCTGTACAGACCGCCACATTGTAATCCCTACTATTTTATAGATGAGTTTGAGGAAACTTTGACAAGTTTTATAGTAAGCCATGAATATGTCGTATGCCTGGGAGACTTCAATTTAAACCTGTTAATGTATAATAACCCCGAGGTGACATACTTTAACACTACATTGCAAAATGTTAGATTTTATCAATTGGTTAATTCTCCTACCCGTGTTACGCATACAACTAGCAGCATTCTCGACCTTTTGATTATTAATGATCATGATCTTGTTTCAACCCCCGTTAGTGACTTGGCTGATCACGACGTAGTCATTGCTACCTTAAATTTAAATTTAAAAAAACCAGTGCCACAGCGCCCTGTATTGTATCGGGATTACAACCAACTGGATACTCACAAATTTGACCAAGATCTTTATTCGCTGCCATTTCACGATATAGTAAATATACATGGTGTAAATGATAAACTAAACTATTTTAATAATCTTCTATGTCATCTGTTTAGCGTACACGTTCCCTTTAAAACTAAAGTCTTCGTTAAGAAGCTATCGCCATGGCTTTCCGAGAACACCAAATATTTAATGAAGCTAAGAGATAATGCTCTCCGTAAAAGTAGGAAGTCGGAAAATCCACAACACTGGCAATATTATAAATCTATCCGGAATATTATACAAATCTTGTGGTTCAAAATGATAAAAAAGCCTATTTCAACTATTGCGCAAGCAAATACAATCAGTGGCGTCAATTTTATGGTAGCGGATTGATCCGTAAGAATAGAATCTTATAATAAAACCAAACTTGATGCTGGTAGGGTTGATTTCGTGTTTACAACCGTCACTTGCGAACAAATACATAAAATTATTTCAAACATAAAAACAAATGCCTCTGGAGTGGATAACCTTAACATAAAAATAATTAAGTTATGTTCCCCTTTTATTATTCCATACATTACCCATCTGGTAAACACTGCCATCTTAGAGTGTGACTTTCCATCCCTATGGAAAATAGCAATAGTAAAACCTATTCCAAAGACTGCAAAGCCAGAAAGTTACTCTGATCTTAGACCCATCAGCAGACTACCGGCACTATCTAAGGTCCTGGAAAAGTGCATGGAAGGTCAAATTCGCGATTTTGTTACTCAACATAATGTTTTACCTGAAACGCAGTCCGGATTCAGGCCGAATCATAGTTGTTGTACGGCCTTATCGCAGGTAATTGATGATATTCTTTGTGCATTGGATGGTGGCATGTGTGCAGTTTTAGTGCTACTAGATTATAGTAAGGCGTTCGATACAATTCATCATAATCTGTTATTGGCAATACTAAGGCATATAGGTTTTGCAAACTGTGCATTAGACCTGATGAGGAGCTACTTAATGGATAGATCTCAATTAGTAACATTAAATGGTACGCTTTCGAATGCAACACCTATTTGCTCGGGAGTTCCCCAAGGATCAATATTAGGACCATTACTGTACACATTGTACATTAGCCAACTGCATAAAGTATTAAAAACGTGCAGCTATCATCTGTATGCCGATGATACACAACTTTATTATTCCTTTTGCAGACCTGACGTAACGGAAGCATTTAAAAAAATAAATGAAGATCTAAATTTACTATATGCTAGTTCGAAAAATCATAATCTGCTTATTAATCCCAAAAAATCCATATCCATGATATTTAGTGTTGGTGCACTGGTGCACGATAATAGTCTGCAATTAAATATTGATAACGTTTCGATTCCTATATGTAATATTGCAAATAATTTAGGATTGCGCATAAGTAACGATCTACGTTTCCGCGAGCATATTAACAACTGTGTTCGGAAAGCGTATGGCAATTTGAAATCTTTGTATCCCCATAGATCTTACCTTTCCGTTAATACTAAAAAAAATGCTTTGTGATTCGCTCGTACTTTCACATTTTAATTATTGCGACACGGTATATGGACCATGCATTGATTCAGTGTCTGCCAGACGTATACAAACGGTACAGAATGATTGTGTAAGATTTATCTTAGGTCTTCGTCGTCGCAGCCATGTCTCAAATAAATTAAAAGAATTGTTGTGGTTAAATATGACACAGAGGAGGAAACTACACTCCCTATGTATGTACCACTCGTTAATCATCACTGGTCTTCCAAAATACCTAAATAGAAAGATCCGATATCGTACTGACGTTCACAATGTTAATATTCGTGGTAAGGGGCTATTATCAATGCCGCTCTTCAAATACAAATCTAAGAAATTGTATCTTAGAACATTTTCGTATAACATTGTTGTACTCTATAATACCCTCCTGCCCGAAATGAAACATCTTTCTAGTAAACACTTCAAAAATCGAATACGATCACTAATGCTCGAGTGTTGACAAGTCCCAAGAATGTGTATGTAAGAAGGGGTCTGGACATGGGTCGCTTATTATCTCGATATTTGATGATTATATGTATATTTCTTTTCCATCGCATAGAGTTCCTTGCGCAGACATATTTGAGGTTAAGTGGTAGAGCGGAGAAGAGCAATTGCTCTTTACCGAACTTCGCCTTTGAGAATAGCACAGTAGTAAATTTCAAGCACGTGTGTACACATCCACAATAGCCAAAGGAGCATTAATATTTATCTAATGTACCATACCGCAAAAAAATGTGCTAAACTCAATAAAGCAATATTATTATTATTATTAAAATATGGACCGTTTTCGAGTTTTAAGCGAAAAACTAAAAAAATGCCAAAACATTTTGAGGTTTTTTGGCTGCCAAAAGTTGTACCGGGAAAAAATTTGTGCGTACTCTTCAAATACATGTTATTTGGACCCAAATGGACCATTTAAAACAATAAAATCTTTTACACCACCTTTTGCAGGTCAAAATTATCTGCATACTGGACTATGAGTAAGTCTTCGTGAAAATTATCTATTTCGAGAAATGCGACCAAAAGCAAAAGATGCACATGCCCTTTGCTTTCCATAAAGTTGCGCCCAATAGATAACAAATGGCACATAGGCATTTTTTCACTTATTAGCTGAACATAAACATAGGAAACGTCATGGTATGTTATATAAAAGAAACGCTACCAATATTAATACAATGTCAACTTTATCAACAGGAATATTTGTCCCTCAAAAAATAGGAGGATCAAGTAAATTTTATTTTTACCATTGAATTCAGGGCAAAAAAGTGAAGTCATCTTACCGCACAAAAGATGTTCGGAAAAATTCTCCACGGGTCGTGCATAGATATAAATAAGTAATACGTTAAATGTACAATTGTTATTAATTTTTGAAAAGATTAGGATTTATTTAGAATCAGTATAAATGTTATACTTTTAATCATTGTAACAGAATTTTAAATGTTAGCTACCATTTTTATGAAAAACATACAATTTTTTTTTTTGTTCGCCCTTGTATATAAAAAGAAAGATTTATTTTAGGTGTTCGAAGTGCCAGTTTTTTTAGGATCTACCATACCTAAGTGAATTCATTCATTCACATGTACCTAATAACTATAAAAATCTATAAATCAGTAAAAATGATTAGAACAAATCACAAGAAATAAAGGGGTAATTAAAAAATGTTATAACAAACAATGCTAATCTAGTCCACTAATTACCTGAAAACCAGGTAATTTACAGAAGGTGTCATAGAAAAATGCAATAAATGCATTGAATAAGTAATTTATTCAATAGAACAGAAATAGGTATTTGTGCATCTCCAGTCAAATATTGTACAGCTTTTCGATAAACTTGTTTACATAATTAGTCCTTGATCATTATACATGGTCTATTGTGTTTAACAATAAATGAAGAGAATATGCAAAACTGAGAAGGATAGATACATCGTTGGTTTCACTCAAGGAGATCATGTAGCAGTGTGTATTGTTGGTGGTCTAACCAATTGCAATAACACTGAAATTGACTACAAAGGAGCCTTAAGAGGTCACTAGAAGTCAAGAGTTTCTTAAAGATTTTGTTTGTGGCAAATTCACCTTGTCCTGTAACTGTCAACCGCTCTTTGTCATTAAAGTTCTTGGGATTGGTAGACGATTTTCCTGTACCGCACGTGGAGGTGGTACCCGAAGAGGGCCCAGTACGTAACTATCGCAAAGCTGGTGTGGATTTCGGATTCGAAATTGCCTCCTCGAAAAAGACCAAGCGCAGTCCCTCGCCGCCCTACGTCGCAAAACCCAAGAAACCGAAACCGGCGAAGGTCTCGACGGAAAAGCGCCACTCACTGTCCAGCGTCTCCAGCATTTCCAGTAGCGATCTGAGCGATTACGAACCGTCGCAGTTGACCGTCAAAAAGAAGGAGACGCAATACCGTCGCGTCCCGTTCAACAACCGCGCGAAAAAGTTCGAACGAAGCGCCGCGCGCTCACGTTCGAACTCCCCCAATCGCTTCGTCAAACGCGAGGGCGTACATCCGTGGCAGAGATCCGACTACATACGAACGCGCGCCGACGTCGCAACCGACAGTAACAAACAGAAAACGGACAAGCTGGAAGAATTCAAAAAGTTGGCGACCGCCATCGAAAACGACATGGATCGCATTCTAAAGCAGCACCTCAAAAATCCCGAGAAGCACCCGCAGTACAATGAGGAGTGGAAAAAATACTGGAACAAACGGTAATTATTTTGACCGACTCGTCAAACTCGGGTTAATACTTTTTACAGGTACAAGGAGCTACAGGCGGAAGGCAAAAATGCCTCCGATTACGACTTCAAGCCCGGATGGATCGAATTTTGGAACAAGCGCCTATTGGAACTTCATCATGCCGAAGTTAAAACGAAGAAGGAAGGTTTGCGTAAAAGGTGGGTGAAACTGATCGAAAATTTGCAGTCTTGATCATTGTATGAAATCAAGTAGGTCAAGAAGGCAAACTATTATTTAAAAGGTCTATTTTCATTTGTTTTTACAAAGTATAAGCTACATCTCTTGACCGCATACCAACATCCTCTTTTCTTCGATCGTGCGCCTTTGATTGTGTCTTTCATCGGTTAATCTCTTTTGCTCTCTCCTACCATTCACTGTCCTAATCATTCCTACACTCTCCTCTCTTCTAAGTAGGGCTGTCAGCGAGGCACACTTAAAAAAAGGCCGCGGGGGGTGGGGGAGAAAGGTTTGCACAAAGCTTGTTTGGACATATTGCCCCGCGCACAGGCGGTCGACAAATAAAATAAGAAACGTAACATTTTTTTTAATAATCCAAATAATTATATCGTACAAGATTTGCGATATAAGGTGCACCGCTGGGTGCACCAAACTCACACAAACGCTTACTAGCTTCTGCACAAATTTATTACAAAAAAAGGACAAACTGCGTCTACAACAAAACAAATAGAGCTGACTGTCCGTAAAAAAAATTTACGTAAGTAAATGGACACGCCTTCAACTGTCGCGAATTCGCCAATCAACGTCCGAAGGCGCCATACGTCTCCACTGCTCCAAAATGAAACACATTATCTCTTAACAGCGATAAAATACGTGCGTTAATTAATTTGATCCTTCTTATCGCAAACGACCAGATATGTCTTACCTTATCTAAATTAAATAAATTACAAAAGCGGGAACATTTAAACAAGAATTACGCATTTCTAAAAGGAAAAACAAACATTGAAATACAATTCAAATAAAACGAATCAAGTCTGTGCTTACTTCGTAAATAATCCGCCCGATTTACTTAATAAATTTCAAATATTCTCATATACAGGATGCTCCGTCATTATTTTTGGTGTTCATACAAGAGATATCGTATTATTTTCTGAAATAGATTCCACTATTACAGGTACAAATTCGATTGTCAGGTTAATACATATAAATCAGGTTTTTTTCTGTCCCGCCTTAAACGGGACGCCTGACAGCCCTATGTCTAAACACTCCTGTTCCTTTCGGCTACGAAAATTTCAAAATGCAAAATTTAACTGACGTGCGCAAAGTGATCTCATGAAGACAAATTGTTGTCCCTGTTGTGCCAGGTCTGTGATAAAGGTTCCTTCCAGTTGTGCCGCTAATCAACTGTCGGGCTGTTGCAACGACTTTTGGTACTGGCTTGCCGGATCATACATATCCTGGTAGACAGTATAAAGGAGACCATTGATGTCATTTATTTATATTGTACAGTCTTCGACAGTCATTACAGAAGCATGAGGCATTGGGAACTGTACGTACGCACTGTCTGTTATCTTCTATCCTGTATAGAAAGAGCCTTCTTAATTTTCTAGTCTTCAAGATCATTTGAGAGGTGCTATTTCAAAGTGGTATCAATGATCTAAATGTTATTGATTACTTAATCGCACGATAGAACGGTGCGTTTTGGCTCTTGAATTTTTTTACTGCAAATACACAAACTAAAATTTCTTGTGCACAAAATGGCATGCACCTGCTTTTATAACTTCGCTAAGAATTAAATTTCGGCGCACTATAGAATGGATTTTTATTCGCTCCCTAATTAGTCTTTGAATCTAATTTTCTAACCCACCCTAATCGGCTTGCGAACACAAGCAAGAATCTCCCACCCACTTCTTTTGCTATTTGAATCTCACCCACGAGAAAAACTGAAAAGGTACTTGTTTCTGAACGCAAATGAACTCGACTAGCGTGCCCTAACAACCAATAGAAAATCCGCTTTCCGGAATATGTTTCTGGTTATCGCCAGACATACTCTCGTTCTTGTCGCTATGAAGCGGTACATGTGGAAATTTCCCTATATTGAATACAAATTCAGAACTGAGAACTTGAGGCCGTTCGTAAAGCTGGCAAGAGTCCTATGCACCCTGTTGAGCATAGTTAGTACTAAAAAGCTTTCCTTGGTAATGTATTTATGTTTACCAGAACATTGTAGTGCCTTTCCAAGCGCTCTATTGCTGATAGTGTCGTTTAGAATCATTTCAGAGGTTGGTGGGGCTCCTAGTAGAGTTTCTAGATCTTTTTAGGCTCTCGAAATCTGAAAGAATTTTGCAGAGTAGCATAGGTCCTCCATTGCCTTTATAGGCGTCTATTATAAAACTTGACGGCGCCTTTTTGAAGTTTTTAACGCTCTTTCAGACACCTTACAGCTTCTGCATTTCAAAATCATATGCGATCTTTCTATTGCTCTGTCCTTATTTCCTCCCAGTAGTTGCAGCGGACTGCACAAGATGGTAGCGATTTTCACTTTTATATTAAAACCGAATTGAATCTCTGCAATTTTATTGAATATCACATGCCAGGGATTGATTGGAAAGATTAATCAAGAAGACAAAAGAAATTATTCTGCCATTAAACTTATGTACCGGGTGACCCAATAAGACTGTTCCTCGGCGATATCTCGAGAACCATTCGTCATATGACTTAGGGTAAAAAAAATTATTGGGTAAATCGGTCATGAAGAATCGCTGGAAAATATTTTCAAGTTCTAAAAATGACCAACAGAGGGCGTAAATGCCATCTTAAATTTTAAAATGGCATTTTTTTTAAATTTTGCATAATAAACAAAAAAACCAGTTTATGTATCATTTTCGTAGTAACAAAAAATCAATTATTTCAAAATCAAAGATGGTGTGGGGCGTTCAATTGTTTTTGCAATAACCTTCTTTAACTTCTTAACGGTTTGACCGATTTTAACAAATTTGGTATGGTTGAAAAGAGCATTCCTTGGACAATGAGAATCAACCAAAATATAGTTAATTTAGTTGAATCCTTTTCCGGCAGGGGGCTAGTTTTGACACTATGACTCAAAATCCTAGAAAAATCAAATGGAATGATATGACTTTTTCTTTTTGAAGAAGTAGCTACATAACATCCAAAGAGTCTAGTGAAAACCGTTTTTCAAAATCTCGTTCCTAACCTCAAATATTGGCAAAATGAGATTAATTAATAAATTAATAAAAATGCTTAAATTATTATCTTAAATTTACTTTTTACGTATTTCCGGTATTTGTTGATGGCGCGAAAGAAAAGCACCCTACCCTTTTAGGTAGGCCTTGGAAAATTAAACAAATAAAACATGATGCATTATAAAATAATAACAGCCGTAATTGTAAATTATTCTGCTGTGTTTTCCTTCAGAAAGTGCAGTTTTTTGAATTTGTAATCTTTTCTAAAATGCCGATTTCTAACCAAGAAGCATTTGTTACAAACGGTCAAGAAGTTAAAGCAGTTTATTGCAAAAACAAATGAACGCCCCACGCCATCTTTGTTTTTGAAATAACTGAGTTTTTGTTTTTACGAAAATGATAGATAAACTGGTTCTCTTTAAAAGTGTGAAAAAAGAATGCTTAGTTTATTATGCCAAATTTAAAGAAAATGCAATTTCAAAATTTAAGATAGCGGTTACGACCTCTGGTGGTCATTTTCAGAACTTGAAAATATTTTCCAGCGATTCTTCATAACCGATTTACCCAATAATTTTTTTTACCCCTAAGTCATACGACGAACGGTTCCCGAGATATGGGTGAGGAACAGTCTTATTGGGTCACCCGGTACCTGCAGCAGGTGCATTAGACCCCAACATTCCAACCATTTGTTTATCATCTCTTTTCCAATCCTGATGACTCATGCAAATCAGTATTTTGATTGGTGCATTTATTTGTGCAGCAACTCTCGACCTGTACAGTAACTGCCTTTGATTACTAATTTGATGCAGCCATTTTTGGTTCCCCGATTTAACACAATCTTGGACAGTGACCCAGTCTATAACTCGGAACAGTATCAAACTTTCAACCTCAGACCTTGATTTCCTGGGCAGAATGAAATTGGTAGTAAATATGGGGGCACTCTACCCAAACAGTCTAAAAGGTGATTGAGTAGACCCGACGATGGAGACTTCAGTGACTGAAGGTTAACGGTTTAAGGTGCAAGGTGTCGAGGTTGAGGGTTTGACATTGACTTAAACAAAAAAAATTGAAAACATAAAATTGAAGGTGGTGGTCTGTTCAACTGCAGTCCGCCCCCGATCCCGAATTGATGGCCGCCTGTCTAAGCCAAGATCTGGGCATTGATTTACCGCCGGCGACTGTTGTTCAAGAAGTGATGCAGAATGCAAATTCGCTTCAAACCAATCCGAGTAAGCCACTCTCGTTGAGACAAATGACTCGACGTCAACGGAGGAACCGTCGTCGCGTCTCTGTCTTTGTAGGGGATGGTCAGTTCGTCAGAATGGCGCGGAAGCATGCCGAGGCCCTTGGACTTATTCAACACATCCCTGCAGAGCCATTGAAAAAGAACGATGACGCCGAAGAGTAAGAACCACATTTTCTTTAAGTTATACATAGAGAGCGCCACCATTTATAAGTGCTGGTTAATATGTGTCGGGCTATTGCACCGACATCTTGTCTTCCAGATGGAAAGTGTGCCTCTCTGAGCAATAGAGGGCGCCAATCTGCACTCACAAGCTTAGAAGTTGTGATGTAATGATCCTTTGTATTATTTTAGTTGTGTAATGACATCATCAAAATTATGAAAAATAAACACATTCTGGCGATAATAATTGTTCCGCTACAATACCCCCATCTTGTTTTTGAACTGTGTCAAATCCTCCTAATACCGTAATTTTGTCCCAACAGGTTGGGCTTACCAGACGAGCCAGCGCCCATTTGCTTCAGAATCACGGGAAAAAAGAAACCGATCAAGGAGCAGTCCGAATCGAAGGTTGACGTTCCGTCGACGATCGCCGATCAAGATCCGGACGTTATTATTATAGAGGACAAGGACGATGAGACGCTCAGCTCGAGGCGCTCGCACAGTCCGTGGGAGAGCGAGTCGGGCGCGCACACCCGCAAGTCTAGGGATAAGAGTAGGGAGAGGTCGCGCGCCGGGGATTACTCGCGCCGATCGAGGGATCGCAGCAAGGACTACCGGCGCAGCAGGAGTAGGAGTAGGGATCGCGATTGGCACAGGCAGCGGCGGAGTAGGGAACGCGACCGAGGTTACGGTTACGACGGCGTTCATTACCGGGAGCCGTATCGCAAATCCGAACTGCCCGAGTACATAAAACCGCCGCGAGTAATGCGTGACGTCACTCGACACCCGGTAATGTCGCCGCCTCTCACGCGACATGTGGAACCCGTGGAGGACGACGACGATGACGAGGTGAACATTGTCGGAGTATTGCGGCTCCTTACGGCTGTGGAGGAGAAGTTGGGTTCGCTCGGTCCGAAGGTTATCGATCTGTTGGCGCAAGCTTTGGCGTTAGAAAAGGCGGAGGCGAATAGTGCGGAGGCGCTGTTGGATAACGAAGTGAATTGTGTACTTTTCGAGACTGTCAAAGAGAAATTGAAGGGACAACTACTGGCCGGCTTGGTCGATTACAATCAGGAGAAGGCGTTTAAGAATGCCATCAAGAAAATCGCCAGTCTGATTCACTACGCCGGCGAGCGCAAGAAGACCATTGAGAAGGAGAAGCCGAAAGTGGATCCTATTCAGGTGCCCGGTGTCGGAACCGTAGACAAGGCCGCGATCGCCAAACAGATAGCTACCGCTTTAGTGCTGCAAGGGAAGACCGATGTGTCACAAGCTGAACTTGAACAATTAATTAATGCGGTGGTAAGTATTTTAATTGTTTAATAATGCGTGGTGTTTCGTATATTAGAAGCCAATAACAGGGCACAGGTATTATCAGTTACAAGTGTCACACACTAAAAATTTGTGGTGGTGTCGACGCAATTCATCGGTTTTTCAGTTGGTCTGACACCAGTTGAAATCCTCAAAGGTGTAGAAGGGTCACAAAAAATATTTTTTAAATTTGAATTGCTCAAATATGAAATCACTACACGGTTTAGCAATTTTACTTACATGGAATCTTGCAGAAAGCAAGGTGGCACTTTACTTTGACAGTGCCTACAAGGTGGAGGTGGCGAGAATTAAGCAAGTACAATATCTCTCTTGGCACTATTAAAGCCATTCATGATAATTTTTTGCGCCATCATAGCACAATTGGTGTCCCTAAGTGAGAGACGCTCTTAACCATCCCTGTGCTTTTCTTGACGCCACGCAGTGCGGTCAAAATTTTGAGTTTTTATAGAAATCATTTGCAATTCTGTACTAGAGACCGCAGATTATGAATCCGCTGTCGGAGTTGCAAATTCAAAATGGCGGATCTAATATGGCGACGCACTATATGAAAAATTTGAATTTTTAAAGAAATGATTTACAATGTCATACTAAGGGGCTTTTGGGGTCGCTGAATCCGATGTCAGAATTACGAAATTCAAAATGGCGGACTCAATATGGCGTGCAGAACCTAAAGAATTCTGACAAATAGGAAGAATTTGAAGAATGCGATGGAAAGGAAACATTTGAACAAATTGAAAGATGTGAAGAAGCCCAAGGTGAATAATTGAAAAAGCTCTAAGAATTAAAAATTCAGAAAAATCCTAAGGATTTTCAGTAAACCATGAATCAAAATGGTTTTTAGAACTGGCAAAATTAAATGAATCGGAACCGAATTTGATTAATTCCAGCTTCGAAATAAACTTCGCACCTGTGGTTTTCTTACCAGCGATAATACGTGCTTCTTGAAACTAATTAAATTTCACCTGATTCCACGCGTTAACAGATTTTCTTATCACAATGAGCGGATAAACAAATTTAAACATTTCACAATTCAAATCAACTCTGTGTTTAATTCTACCAGTACCTAGTCCCGAGAGGGATAATTTTAAACCAGCAACCAAGTTTACATTTAAAAAATTGACATTTCACATACAGGGTGACCCATTAGTATTGTAGGTGTCGAGTCCAAAAAAAAACGTCTGCATGACGTTGTTTACAACACAAAAATCCGGTATTATAAAGCCATATTTAATTATGTTGTCAGCTAACGGTACTGTTAAGGCATGTGATTGGATGTTTTTGCGGACCGCTCAGGCAAAAAACTGGTGAGTCAATGTGAATAACACGGTTCTCGTTCACTAACACAGAGCAAAAGGGAAGTGTAGTAGTAGTAAACTGAAAAGAAACTAGTACATGAGACCAAATTAAAGCAGAGATCGAATTAGAAGTATCACAGAATACATCTGAAGGACCTCTGGCGGCGGAAATAAAGAACTAAGGTAATTACAAATCTGCCATAGAAATGACTCGCATCTTAACTAATCGGATTACAAAGGAAATACGGCGTAAGAATTTAAATGTGAGGGAAAAAACGTAACAGGTTTTTAGGTTGATTACAGTAACTCTTAACTCTAAAAAGGCGCATCAAAAGGTGCGGTATCCTCATCATCCTCTAAGCCTTTCTTAAGGTATTGAGAAACTTCTATGCACTCTCTAGAGTGTAGTAGGACTATATAAGGCTCAAAAGCTCTAACAGGATCATAGGAGACTCTCGGAAGGACTCAGAAAGTTGTTGAAAAGCGTAGAACGAATCCCAAGAATCTGAAGAATATGACAAATATCATTCGTAGAAACGGAAGATATCAAACCTAATGTGAAAAATCATGGAGAGATTTTATGGATGGATTTGAGAAATCTGAAAAAACTGCAATGTTTGAAACGTTCAAAGAAATGAAACAATCTGCAGAATATAAGGAATCTCTATAATTGGTGGCTTTTGAAGAAAATTGATAAATCCACAGAATATGAAAATGAAAATTCGGAAAAATAGTTACAATTTGAAGAATTTGAAAAAATTGAATTCCAAAACAATGCATTGGTTATGTAATTCTTAGAGAAGGAAAGATAGAGGAAGGATAAAAGATGATTGTAAAGTGAAGCCACCAAAAATATGGCCGCCTACAATCCTTTTTCGTAGGACTAAAGCGGCAACTGTGCCATTTTCAAACAAAAAATAAAGTCAATTTATATGCTTACAATCATGCCAACATCTGCACGGCATAAACAAGAAGTAAAAAAAGTTTTGTTTTCCACCAAGCTATGCGAAAATTTGCTTCAACTCGCAGCACTGCATTTGATTAACAGGTCCTCTCCTTCCATAGTTTTAAGGTTTAGGTACTATACAGGGAGATCACGTAGCATGCTTGTTAGAAATTTTTAAAAGTGCAGTTAACCCTTGAAAATTGATATGAAATAATTTCAGAATGGCACCGCTTCCGTTTTATCAAAAATTGATAATGGATAAATGATTGCTCCTTTTTATAATTTATAATCGGATCCTTAATGTCTAAAGAATTTTTTAAATGGCCACTGAAACTCTTGAAAAAGTTTCCCGGACCGCTACGATTTTTCAAAATTTGCAATTAAACGAATTTCAAAAATATCCGTTTTTCAAATTGCAACTACTGTTTCTGATGCCAGAAATGAATGTAGATTTGAATTTTGGGACCACTTCTACTAACATTCTGTACGAGATTCTGTATATTGTGTGTATCTGGACTTGGGAATGTAAATGTAAACACGTGGACCCAGCAAATACACCACACAAGATAAATATTATTTACGTAGTAAATACGTGACCATATTCAAATTTGTGGCACACATATTTTTGCCAAAATTCAACAAACAACGCAAATGTTTATTGATGTCGACCCGCCTTTAATAAATAATTGGCACATTTAGAAAAAAATAGAAAATGAAGTTTGTATTTAAAAAAATCAAGATGGCGCCAACTTCTGGTATTTACATAGCGGCGCCATCTTGAAATTATTTTATTTCAATGATAACTGCAAGTGAATCTACCTATATTGTAAGTTGTGATGTATTACATTACACTGTCTCGTTGCCTATCATTGCCTCTAATGAGTTGCACTTTCCAAAACCCTATGGTTGTATTTGTATCCTGTGTCACATTATAAAAAAAAGGAAGGCATGTAGACCTTTTGGAGACACAGCTTCCAAATGAATGGTTTCTTTGGAAAGTGTCTATTTTGTTTCTCATTATCATCAAAATTTTTTACGCAGTTATAATCAGGTTGCTTTCCTCACAGACTGCCAGTGACTCTATAGAGACAGTGTGATCATACAGTGGTGTTATTTTTCTATTGGTAGTTTGGAGATTTGCCGGATTGGTAGAAATTAACCTGAAAACCAAGGTGTTGACTGCGCAATGTCAACTTTCTTATTTATCGAGATATTTTTTTGAAATTTTAACCAGAGATGCTTCTAAAGACAAGCATATTGCATATTGTAAAAATCAGAGATGCGCAAACTGCGCAAACCCAATTTACTCATGTATGTTTCTAATAAAGACAAATATATTGCACATAGCTATGGCCCTAGGGCCCTTTTGTTTTTTTATTAATACAATCGCTAGGTTGAGTGGAACTCCGCCACTTATTACTATTGTCGCAAACTCTTCAATTTTTTTAAAATATATTACCCATAATTATTATTAAGCGCTGTGAAATCTACAACCATCTTTTGGTACCATCGGAGGCTTGTAGGCGTAATCGAAATTAAAAAATATTTTATGTGACCCATCTGTACTACCATACAGATTAACATCAGTTTTCAACAGTTGTCCTAAATTACAGTGTAAACTTGTGTCATATGAAGATTGTTGTGATCATAACACAGTAAAAATCCTTCATTTTTTGTTGTACAACAGCTACAAATGCACAATGCATTACCTCCCAAGTTGGGGAGGTGCGACTTTAGTCAATCCAATTCCTCTTTTTAATGTAAATTCGTGACATCTAAGTGTCCTGAATGAAGATCTTGTACCTGGCTAGAGGTGGGAGACTTCACACAACTATGGTTTGCGCGACGTTAATGTGAACAGATCTTAATTTTAACCAGTCTTACTCCAAACTGTGTTTTAAATGTTCTCAGTCCAATTTTGGTCATAAAACCTAAGTGGTGAACGTTTCAACTTTTTCTATTATGAGAATTGTTAATTGATCCAGGTATGTATGCGATTATTATTCTTTGTGTGGGATTCGTACTTCTTCTTTGTGTCAAAGTTATCAATTTCTTTGTGCAGAGATGTTTATTATCGTAAGGTATGACTTTGTCGCTTGTTATGAGTTATGACAATTGAACATCCTACTTGTGCTATGTACAAGATGTGTACAGTGCTATTCATTTAGAAGTTGACAGGAATGACAAAAATGCTTCTGAAAAACGCCTAAATTTTATGCAACCGAAGACACATGCGCACGCATTTTGCATTGCCATTCTAGATTTTAATAAAAATGACAGCTTTTAGGCTATAATGAAGAGATATATTAAATTTGGTAGTTATTTTTTCTTAAGTTTCTTATGGGATTCTGTTCCACAAAAATTAAAACATTCAGTTTCATATCCTCCGTTAAAATTGAGGGTTGTATACGGTGACTTATGTGGATCGCCTTTAAATAACCACTAATTTTAAAATGATCAACACAAAAAGTAAGCCTCTTAAACTATTATCGGCACTATACCAATTGACAATATCAACTTTTTCTTCGGTTGAATACATCGCACGCGAACGAAAATAAAAATACGGAAGCCTAAAGCAATAATATTCCAATTAATTAATAAATTTTTATTTGTTTTAAGAAGTTATTTTGGTTGCGTAAAATTAGGCGTCCTTCAGAAGGGTTTTTGTCATTTAAAACTAGACATAGGAAATCCCTATGTCTACTTCCAAATGAATCACTGTATAAAATAAACAATGGCAAACATATACAGGGTGGGCCATTAGAGTGTGGGTGGAAGATTGTGGGTTTATTAACGCGCATACTTAAAACTCATTGTAGGGGAATCTTGAAGGGCCCTTCAGGCTACAACCTAAAAATATTTTCAACGAAATTGCAATTGTTATACAGGGTGATGTATATCAAAGTTGCATTTTTTTTAATGGAACCCTCTGTATATTATTACATATTTGGATTCCTTGGTCAATTTTAGTGTGACTTTATTTATTACACATGATATCTAAAATGAGTCGTTTAGCCGCAATTCGTTGTTTTTTCAAAAAGTAGATGTCCAGTAAAAATTGAATATCGCGGTTAACATAAAACTTAGAAGGCCGTGACTTTGCAGTGGTACTAATCATGAAATGTACTAACATACCCCGAACGGCTAAAGTTAAACTTCTTTTGGGTTAAAAGAAATCACTCTGTCAATTTTCAAAATTTCAATCAAAGGTAACCTGATTTTTTTAAATGGAACTACCAAATTTTTTTATCGCATCAAATAGGATTTTATTACCTTTTTAACAACATAAGCATGTCGATATTTATCTTTTACATATTTTTTGTAATTCAACATTTTCTAATAATTCACAGTGTTTTTCAATTTCCAAAGCCTCTCAGAAATTAATAGGCCGTTAAAAATTATAAACAATTGAATTTATAAAAAATTTACTCCAAATAAAATAAAACAAAATAGAAAGTTTAAATAAAAATAAGAGAAAAATAATTATTGCAATAAATGTTCAAGACCACACCTCCCAGGAAATTGTTGATTCAGCCATTCTTTAACGTTTATAGTAAAATGAGGTGGGACACCATCGTGCTGAAACCACATTTCTTCTACGATGTGCACCAGAACATTTTGAAGAAGAGCAAAAAAAAGAGTACTTAAAATTTTAAAGTAAAGAGTACCGTTTAAAATATGTTAATAAAATTCCATTTTTTTAACACAACAATCAACAACAGTTGTTGGGGGTAAATGTTTTATCATTTGAATTGGGGTTCTTAATTTTTAACGGCCTACTGATTGCTGAGAGGCTTTAAAAATCGCAAAAACACTGAATTATTAGAAATTGTTGAATTACAAAAAATAGATGAGAGATACATACCGACATTTTACATTTTATGCAATTAAAAAAACTTCGTAATTCCATTTAAAAAAATCAAGTTACCTCTGATTGAAATTTTGAAAATTCACGGAGTGATTTCTTTTAACACAAAAAAAAAGTTTAACTTTAGCTGTGGTTAGTAAATTTTATGATTCGTGCCACTGCAACGTCACGGCCTTCTAAGTTTTATGATAACTGTAATATTAAATTTTTACTGAACATCTACCTTTTGAAAAAACGACGAATTGCGGCTAAACGACTTATTTTAGATATCATGTGTAATACACAGTCACACTAAAATTGGCCAAGGAATCTAAATATGTAATAATATACAGGGGGTTCCATTTAAAAAAATCAACTTTGATATAAATCACCCTGTATAACAATTGCAATTTCGGTGAAAATATTTTTAGGTTGTAGCCTTAAGGGTCCTTCAACATTCCCCCACAATGAATTTTAAATATGAGCGTTAATAAACCCACAATCGTCGACCCACACACTAATGGCCCACCCTGTATGTATATCCTAGTGATTAATTTCACTTCCATTGTGTCGAGTAGACAAATTTACTTGAAATGTGATATTTTCTCACTCAGGCTCAGAAGAGCTAGGCCACTTTTACTAGTCGAGAATTGTAGTAAGTATCGCTATAAGTTTACATCATCCTCGTTTCTCAAGTACATTTCTGATCTCGGGATTAAAGCTTTCTGGTATAAAATTTGGAATTGTACCATTGGTTAAATTTTGTTTAACATTTCAGGTTGGTATGGCGGAAGCTTCGCGAAACTCCAATAAACCCGTAACGACCGCCAGTTTCCTTCAGCAATTCTCTCAGGCGGCCAAGCCACCTCCCTCCGAGAGTATCTTATCTCTTGTGCAACCGACGCCGACGCCAACGGAGACGGCGACGACAACTCCAACCACGAATAGCATGGAGGGATTGTCCGATTTAGATTTACAAACTCTCCTACAGAACTTCAAAGATCTGTGCACGGACGAGCAGCACAGCCTGATTTCGTACTTGAAGAAACTGGAAGCAAAAGAGCCCGAACGGGTGGAGCGTTTGCGCAAGTTTGTCAACTTGGATAACACAGATAAGGCGCCAGAAAAGGAGCCGGTCGAACCAAATCCGAGAAGCAGCCCGTTCGCGAACCGATTAATGGGCATGAATCCGATAATTGACGAATCCATCGTTGAGCCCGAGATAAAACCCGAGCCCGTGATCGAACCGCCCGTACTCAAGGTCAGCTTGGATTCAGACGACGAAGATTACACCTTTGAGGATGTTTTCAAAGCGGCGAAGAAAAACGTCAAAGAAAAGGAAGAGAGGGAACGGGCGACCTCCATGTTTAAAACGGAAGACTTCGATTTATCTAACGCAAAATCGCTTATCGCAAACATAATGGGCCAGTTTAAGGCGAGCAATACCGCCTCGGGCAATAAAACCGACAATATGTTGGGTCTCGGTAAAAGTATGCTCACAACGCCAACCGAGGACACAGAGAAAAGTCTACCCACCACTGATAATCTATTTCGACTACTCGATCTACCAAAGCCAACATTCCCAATTCAACCTCGGTTGGAACCGAATCAACCCATCCTCAAAGTGGAAAACAACCCGCACTTTCCTTCTGATTCGCTGCCTTTCACTCGTACTAACTTCATGCAAAACGTCACCTATCCCGAACACAATCAGTACATGAATCAACCACATCCCACAATGAATCAACCTCATTCCGCCATGAATCAATCTCGTCCTATTATGAATCAACCGAGGCCGCATTTCGATCAAGAACGTGTGACGTATCCGATCGACAGCATCAACGGTAATTCGCGGCCGTATCCCATGCGTCCCAATTATGACAACTTTGGTAGGTGGTGACTTTTTTGAAAATAATTCTAGCGGTAACCATTATGAATAAGTTTTTTAAATATAACTAGCGTAGTGTGTATAACTATCGTTGTTTCTCTATACCGAACGGTCCCTTTGTAGAGTTATGAAAGTGTGATTTAAGATCATTCTATGTAACTTTAAGTATCTGTAATATTTTGCAAAAATATATAAAACCGGTTAGCTGCGTAGTGGCTGACCTGTTTTCAATTTCTACAATTGGGTTTCCAGTACATTGCAACCAACCAACTAAAAATGTAGTAACTGTTTCAATATACAGGGAGTGCCCACGTTTTCAATATCTGTAATGGGGCACTGGATATTTTTATAGTTTTGAGTTTCTCTGCATTTTCTGATCACAAACTGTCAGGGTGTTCCTAAATCTAATATACAGACCGGAGGCGCTAATTATTTGACCTGTTTTATGACTAAAAGTTCATGTAAACATACAGGGTGTTAAAGTTTCAAAAATGTTTAGTTTTTTCTTTACAGTTCCTGCAGTTTTTAAGATATTTTGCTCAAATTTGATATATAATTTACATTGGTAGTGAGAATCTACAGGGTGTTGATTTTTTCGGGGGTTCATGTTCCATTTTCTACCCCTAAACTTTGACTTCATACTAAAATTAGAGTTTGCAAAAAGTTTCCTGACGATCCACGTGACTTGGGGCATGGCTCAACAATGTTAAGTCACAATCAGGGCGATTTTGGCTTATGTATGTTTTTACGGAATTTTTGGCACTAAAAATAGACTAGATATCTTTAAAAAATTTCAAATGCTTTTTTTTTAGTCACAAAAAGAGTCCCCTTTTAACCTACACTGTATCTTTCACCGTTATGGATATCCCAATGGTGAGCCACAAATTTGAACCACCCCTGTACGTTAGTCAAAATATGGAAGTGGTAGTTATAGTGTCTTGTTTTATTATAAAAGAAAATATGTTTAGTGAAATGATTTTATTAATGTACAAATTTAGAAATTTATTCCCATTGAGTACCGAAATAATCAACTGACACTCCCTCGGTACAGACGTTTCCAGGTCGCACCAACAGCCTACTGTGTGATGTAACAACAGTTGTGGTATGACTGCCGGGACCGCTAGCTTTACATGTCCTCCAATGCATGGTAGTCGGGAGATGTTCTTTTCCACTAGAAACTTGCAAGTTGTGGAATTCGACATCGCCACCTTTGAGGTTAGAGTCTGAGTTTTAGATCGTTACGCCAAACTAATTGCATTTATTGGTGTTGTATATTTATTTAGCAGTAGACATAGGGATTAGCATGTATTGCTTTTCCCTATGTCTACTTTTAAATGACAAAATCACTTGTATAGGACGCCTAATTTTATGCAACCAAAATAACTTATGTGCACGCATTCTGCACTGCCATTCTGGGTGCGTAATGTAAAGGGTGTGATAAATTGTATTCTCATTCTGTCAATACCCTTGTTTTTTAAGTAGGTTGGCTCGAAGGTGGGTTCTTATAATGAAACGTGTATAGGCTAAGTAAACGAAAACCCCGGAAGGAATAAAGGTCTAAAATTGGATTTGACCAATTCCACGCATTTTCATATTATTTAAAAAGAAAACAATTCAACAAATAACATTTATAACAATAAATAAGGTTCTTGAAAACAGAAAACGGGACACATTTTAAAAATGGAGTGGGGCGGGGGGGACTATTTTGCTTCTTTGTTTATTTAACTGATACTGAAATAAGAAATATTTTGAACAACTTTGTTTTTTTATTTATTGAACTGACATTTTAATTTAAAACATCTGAGCATATTCAGACAAACAATTTACTCACAAAGCAACACATTAAACAAATAACGTCTATCTACAGCTGACAGAATGTGACAAATACTGTCCTTTCAGTTACTGTAGTCTTCTAACGGCGGTAATATATATCATTATCATAGTTTCACACCAGACAAGTTGTACCATGTGTATGCGTAGTATTATTTGCTGAAACTGAAGTATAAATGTAATTGTAAGTATAAATTGGGATTTTTGTGTCCTGCCTAAATTTGGACGCCTGACAGCCTTAGCTTATAAAGGCGACAGAAACGAGTAGTATGCTTTTAGGTTATGATAGAGATTGCTATTAAATTCGGCCACTGTTTCCCGTAAGTTTCTTATGGGATTCTCTTTCACAAAAATTTAAATGCTCAGTTTCGTATCCTCCTTTAAAACTGAGGGTTGTTTACTCATTTAAACAACACTAAATTTAAAGTGACCACCAATTTTTTTATTTTCTGAACACAAGGCCTTTCTACATATCTTAAAAAGTCAAAGCAAAAAATATTCAAATGAATAAATACCTATGATGGACCCTTTTTTGTTTTAGAAAGTTATTTTGGTTGCATAAAATTAGGCGCCCTTCAGACTAGTTTTTGTCATTTAAAAGTAGACATAGGTAAAAACAATACACGCAAATCCCTATGTCTTTTTCCTTTAAGATACCGAAAAAAGTCTTGTACGCAATTATCGCCGGCATGGTTCTAAAATATTTTTGAACACCAGGGGCGCGCTGTATTCCAGTGGCGTATCAAACTTGCATTTTTTTTAATGGAACACCCCATATTTTATTACTGATTTGGAGAGTACTTGAAAAATACTTATTTTTTATGTAACATTGAACGATTTCGCTCTTATAACCTTTTCTTGTCAAAATTTAACAGTTTTTCGAAATTTTTTTTAGAGAAACTAAATCCCGCAAGCGGGTAATTTTTTTGAGACAGGACCTCTTCCACATAATTTTTTTTAGGTACTAAAATTTTTGATTGAGCTTAGCCAAATGTCATATTTTTAAAAAATTTCAAATGGCACCCCCCCCTAAACAAATTATAACTTTAGGCAGCCAAAACTATAAATTTTCCACTGATATAAACAAAACCACACATTCCATAAGAAAATTTCCGAGAAAAACCAAGTCGAAACGTCAATTTGTAAGAAAAAGTTCTTTTCTGAACCCAAGTGTGCCATGATGAAACAAAAGATGTTCAATTCTCACAATTAACAGTACAGTACAGTAAGATTGTTTTTTAATCAGCATTAAAGTCTTGCTTCCTGAATGTGAATTTAAGGCTTTGCAATTATTCTGGAATGTGGGAAATTTTTCCTTGGAAGCAAATCTTGTCAAAATGGAAGGAAAATGTAGAGTTGAGAATTAGGGTTAGGCGAGTTTTTTTTAAGTGGATCGAGCTGCCCTGAACCGGACGAGACCAGACGAAACTCAAGATGCAAAGTTTCTGGTGCCAGGAATGGAATTAAATGTCGAAAAATTGAAGATCATGAGACTTGAGAAGGAGAAGGGAGCTAGAATGGAAAGGGTGGAGATAGTAAGACAATTTAAATATTTAGGATACCGGGTGCAACGAAATAACGGGGCAAAAGTACAGATAAGGGAATTTTTAAAAAAAAGGAGAAATGACGATGAGACAGGTTTGGGGGTAGGAGAAAGGTTGGCTTCCAGGCTTTTTTAATTAACAAGAAGCTTAAAAGTATAAATTATTTATTAATTAACTTCGTATATTTAAATTCCGGGGATATTTAATTCTCTTTCTAGCTTAAGTATTTGCAGCCCCTTTTTTTTGGTGAGGGTTAGGAAACCTTTAAGGCTGTTCCCCGCTTGGATTTATAGTGAGTGGGTCAGTGTGGTCCCACCTAAAACCCTGTCCTCCTGGCAAGTGAGTATAAAAGCCACGGGTGCAGTCCGAGGGTATATCTTGCGCGCCTCGGCGGTGGATGTTTTAGCAGGCGATTATGGTATATCTCAACTTTCAATAGTCCCTCCTCTTTATATTTGGTACTCTCAATCTTCCTCTTTTTTCGTGAAGATTGAACGATTGACTCAATCGGGTCTCCCATATTATAAATCAATTTCCTATGTCTTCAAGCTGAACGTCAACATCACATAGCACTCTCGTCTTCACCGAGAATTTTGAGTATGGCCAGATCAACTTCGTCCAGTTTTTTCGCATTGTCTCTTACTGTAAAACATAAAGTATGTCCAAGATAAGAGTGAACAGTTATCGGAAACCATAAGAGATACACAGTCGGTGAAATTAGAAATTGTTTTATTACACATACAACGCTGTATGGCACAATAAGAACAATCAATAAACTATTTTGACATTTCTTCAACGCCTACTACATCAAAATGTTAAAAATTGTTTATTATTTAAGTCAGAAAAAAGGCTTGTTAGTAGGCGTTGACAAAATGTCAAATGAATTCATTGATGGTTCCTTGACTTAGTAAAGAATCATATTGTGCCATAATCATTGTATTCGTAATAAAAAATGCTACTACAGTATGTACATTTTTCCGGCCCATATAAAAGTAACAAGTTTATGATGGTTTCTCAAAGACGAAACGTCGCAGTGAAAATCTGTGGACATAGAAAGCGCCTATGAGGAAGTGATATTTTTTTTCGAATATCTTCGGAACTGATCGGAATTTCCGAAAATAGTCGGAATTTTTTCAGTTTCAAAAAATAGGCAACTTTGCCAAATTTAAACTACCTAGGTCCCTATCTCTTACAGTTCCCGAGATCCCCATGGTGGCCCTCGAATTTGAATCAGCCTGTATACGGGGAATATTCCATTTGACTTTTACTAGTTGTTGGATTTATTCGGTCCGTTCAACATAATATACAAGGGGTTGTTTTACGTCTTCTTGCCTGTAAACCGAAGTTGAGCGTTGCGGGAACAGGCTATCGGGGTGTCGTCGCGTTTGATGTGCTTTAGGCATTTTAATGTCGACATAATCTAGGCGCCTTTTTTTCTTAAACTGCCTTAAAACATGTTAAAGATACCGGATAATTCAATTTGAACATTCTTTAATAAGTAGTTAACATAATTATATGGGAGCTTCAAGGATTCATCGCTAGTTTGGCGCAAGAAATTAATTATTTATTCCGCCATTTATTTTAAACAATAATTGACAGAGCTTTATTATAAACAAGCGATGCGAGCTGCGTGTGGTCCTCAGACCCAACTTAAAACGGGTTTTCTCTTGTCCGATGGGGAAGTAAAGAAGAGGAACGCGTAGCTTCGGGTTTAAAAGGGAGTGTCGATCCTATAGCCAGCATATAATTAGTATGTCAACAAAGAATAATAACGGGCGAGTTAACGAGATGCCCGTTTTGTTTTATTTATTTTCTCAACTGGTTTGTGTATTATGAGGATGGGACTGTGCATTATAAACACACCAGTCGTTCCTCCTTGATTTATGGGCTAAAAATAAATGCCTGTATTTTAGAAAAATGTCAGATGCGAACTAATCGGAAAGCTTCATCGTTTAATTTAAATTAAATTAAATCCGCCGGTGTACCACGAATCTGGCTTTGACTTCTTCACGAAGCGGGTACGATTCGTGACCGTGCGTCTTCGGCGCAACAACATTCCTTTGTCAGGGGGCATGGATATACTCCACAGTAAAGCTTAAAATTAAATCATTTCGTTGGGCAAGCCGTGAAGGTGTAGAGGCGCCCCTTTTGAGTATGCTCGCGCTCGTTGCGTTCGTTTGTGCGATGAAAATTGCAGTCGCGGAGCCCTTTTTGAGAACCTGCGAGCCGATAAGGGTTGAGCTCTGTACCAATTTGGGGTACAACGCGACCGGTATGCCGAATTTGGGCGGCAATGAGCTGCAGCAGGACGCCGAGTACACTTTGAAGACCTTTTCGCCTTTAATCCAGTACGGTTGTAGTTCGCAATTGAAACTGTTTTTGTGCTCGGTTTATGTGCCGCTGTGTACCGAGAAAGTGCTCAATCCCATCGGACCGTGCAGAAGTTTATGTGAGAACGTTCGCTCGCGATGCTATCCCGTACTGGAGGGTTTCGGGTTTCCGTGGCCGGATGCTCTTAATTGTTCACGATTTCCAGAGGAGAATAATCACGAGCACATGTGCATGGAAGGGCCGAAAGATGCGAGCGTTGCCATCACGTCGCCCATCTTACCAGACGCGGTCAATTTCGAATGTCCGCCGCAGCACGTGAAGAGTAACACGCTGGGTACTTGCGTACCTACGTGCGAGGGCGACTTTCTTTTTGATTCCGCCGAAAAGAAACTTGCAGAGGTAAGGATAACCCAAAAATCTTCTAGACAGTGATTTGGTACTAGTTTTGGAGTGTGCTAATGCAAAAAACCAATTTTATCTCCAAGAAGATAGGCGGGTATGGTATGAGACATTGGAAACCTGGTTTGAGCAATTTTCCTTACTTTTTCCTAGAGAATTGGGTTGAATTACTTGTCTGAAGCTCAAGCCCAAAATCTATGACGAAATTGGAATGAATCTCCATGTGATATAAGATTTTGTATATTTTTTTGACTACCTACCACCATTGATTATATACCTTTGAACATAATCAATGCTACCACTTTAAAAAATGAGAATCAAAAATATCTGTTTAATGGTATCTTACGGCGATTCTAGATGATTCGCTTTTTTAAGATCTGAGAATGCTTTCCAAAAAAATCAACTTTTGATCTATTGGTTCCATTTGGATTCTATAGGCCAAAATCTAAAAAATTCACCCATACAGGTGAAGATCGGAGCAGTGCATCAAAAGTTACAGCCAAAAAACGGTTTTGCAAAAAAAAGGCTATAACCTTTGCTCTGCTGGTCCGATTTTCAAAAATCTGGGTGATTGCTACAGGCTACGACAAAAGTTATATGCAAAGAAAAAAGTTTCCATTTCTAGACTTTTACGCCATCTTTTACAACATTTTATAAAAGGGTGGTTTTTTAAAAAAGATTACAGATTTAATTGTAAATTAAATTTATCTGTGAATGCGAAAGAGTTGCCAGATCTGTCTGGGAATTTACACATTTATCGGAAAATGTATGCACCAACCTATCTATCAGGAATGTCGTAGTATCTGTGGTACTTTCCAGACCCTTGGACGACTTTTCAGAACAGTATACAGTGCCACCATGCTCAGAAAAGCCCCAGAAAATATGCGAACTAATTTTGAAATAATTCAGGCTGGCCAATAGAAAGTCTGCAAAACGACGCGATACATTCCGCGCCATAATTATTAATTATTCCATTTTGACAGTTGACGCTTCACGTTATTTTAGTTTACACTTTGCTTCTTGTGTTTGCTTTAATTTACGTTTTCCGTCTCCACTTTTATTCAAACCCGTCTTTTTCAAGACGCATATAGCTTGGATCTACGATCTGATAAGGTATGTAATTCCCTTAGTGTTTTTAAATTTTGCACCAGAATGTACGGTTTAAATTTCTAGCGCCCTCGGACACGCCCTGTCAGGGACTTTCTGAGCGTGGTGCCACTGTACTTGTATGTATCAGATTATTTTACATAAAGTCACTAAATATAGAAAGTACCGCAATCCATTGGGCCCGTGTGTTAGAGAGAGAACGCATGATTTTTCCCCAAAAATGGCGGGAGTTACCAGATTCTAGTAACTTTAATGTTAGGGATTGTTCCACCTGTTTGGAGATATCTGTATATATTTTTATAAATAATTATAATAATAATAATATTTAATAAATGTCCAACAGAAAATCTTTCCAATTACAGGACAAACTTAACTTAACTTCATTAAGCACGTAGTGTTTCTTATAGCTAAAATAATAACTAAATTAGTAAACTTATAATTAACATAAAAGAACTGTAATAAACAAAATTAACATTAGAAAAGTAAATAAAGATTTAGAAAAACATGATAGTACTATGAAGTTAGGTTATAAAAAATTACAGCTAGTCAGATTTTATTTGTCAATTTTTTTAAGTTGGCAGCAAATTTGCCCAAAAATGGCGTATGATTGCGGTACTTTCTATATCTAATGACTTTAATTTTACATGATTATTAGTGCCCTCTATAGCCGTTCTCTTACTTTGGAAAGATGAAACTTTTAAAAAGCGACGGCAATCTCCAGAAATCGCAGAAAAGCCATCGAAGAGCGTTCTAGCGTCTTTTCAAAAATGTCAGGGTTCATTTCTTAGGCGCTGGACAGTTATTGAAACTGTAGAACTGCTTCAGTGACCCTAGAAACCTTTGGAATAGTTTGAAAATACTAGCAGGTAATCTATGGCGCCTTTTTGGAGCATTTTATCGGTTTCTTTCAGCTTTTCATGTCCACACCGTAAGTTTCCAAAGCTGTCTACGATATTAACAAAACGTGCCATACGCCTCAAAACTTTCCAAAGCATTCTGGGTTCTGACGATTCAAAAATTCTCTGAAATCATTTGAAACTTGTTTAATCTTTAAAAATATTTTTAAAATCTTTTTGAATTTTTTGGGCTTGAATCTTTTTTTAATACCATCCCTGGTGGGCTATAGTTAGTTTTGAAAAGAGAATTTAATATGCTGTCTGGTTACGGCCATGTTAGGAACCAATCAGGGCGCTTTTTTAGGTTTTTTTCTCAGAGCTTGATTGGTCAGTGTTCAAGTCTTAATAGAATTTCTTTACTGGGAGAAACTTAAAGACTTTTTTAAAACGTGTTAGAGGTTTCTTTGGCCTTTTTAAGGATCTAAAGATCTTGCGCTATCCCCTACTCATAGCAGTACTAAGTTTTTCCACAGAGCTTTGTCTTGCTCTGGAAATGTCGTAGAAAGCTCTATAAAGTATCTAAAACTCTTTAGCTTACTTCTTGATCCTTATTAGAGCTATCGAGAACTACCCGGGATTTTTTGAGAGTTTTATTGACTCTTTCATAGAACTATGAAAAGTGATCAGGAGGCTCTCACTATGTTTTTCTACCTATAGCGAACTGGAAAAGGCAGGACCAAAATTGCAAACGGTACCCAACATCCTAGGGCGAGGCCAAGATTCCGGGAAATTCCCAGAAAGGTCTTTGGAATTTTTAGATAAATATGCAAATTTACAGTTAGACCTGTAAGTACCCGGTACCTGTAAGTTATTTTTAAAAAATGGGCTTGCCTATTATTTTCGAATGCTCTTTCGTATTTTGTAAAGTTGTTTTACATTTGACGCACCCCCAAACTAGAAATCTTCAAGGGCGAAAGTACCTAACGAATCGAAAATTAGTTTTTACAAATTTGGAAACAAAAATTCAACTGAATTTCTTGGGTCAACAAAGACAATGTTTCAAATAACTGCGCAGATCTATATGAATCGATTTGCGCACGACTGAAACTGTAGAATTTCTTTTTACCTCCTTGAAATCCCTGCAAGTGTTCTGAAATTTAAACGAAATGTGCCAAATTCATGACAGAACAGCTTCCTAGCTCAAAGCAAAAATCGGGCTTTTGGAGGAGTGTTTTTTAAAAATGAGAAGTTTATTATTTTTCGATGTAGAGTAATAATATTTAAGAAAGGGCTTCTACGTTTCTATTTGAAAAAATTAAGTTGCCCTACACTTAACCTTTAAAGGATAGTTATGTAAAAATGTGCATAGCATCATTAAATGGGCCGCTCCGTATGAAGAAGATTGTATATAAATCATTGTTTGATATCCCCGCTAGTTTCCGCAATAATCTACTGTCTCAAGTTAAATGGGACACCCTGTATATAAATGATTTAAGTGAAATTCAAACACTATAAGGTTACGAAACTAATTTATCGCAAAAGGAATGACCGCTACACCTCAATAAATCAGTCTCGCTTTTGCAGGTGCAATAAATCATCCCCTGAAACTGATATATTTCCATGCAAAAATGCTTCAAAAGTGTCTATACATTTCGCTATTTATTATGGTTGTGTTCCATGTATTTGTTATACTCGGAGAAAAACGAAATTACCCTTTATTAAATTAATAATTCTAATTAGTTCGCGATGGCGATAATTTTTCTGAGATACGTTCGTTAATTAAAAAATGTGGGTTATTACTATTTGAAAAAAAAACAGCTGTATCTTGTATAACGTCACGGTGCTAAACACTCGAGATATAAACAAGATACGAAGAATACGATTTTCAATAGGGGAATATTTTGCCACTCGGCTCGTATTCGGAAACCAGACTTTTAATTCGGCTCGTATTCAATAGCACTTATGCTTAAACTCGTAGAAATCGATTGGCGAAAGTTTGAGATCGCTGTCTCTTTTCGTTCTCGAGCTAGACGAGCAACAGACGGCCAGACAGACAAACAGACAAAACCCTCGCATAAGGGGCATTTTTTTTTCCTCGAAAAATTCCCCTAAAAACACGTTTTTGACAGACTTTAATCCTTATGCCTAATGTACATTCGCGAAACTAACGAACTAACCGGAATTTTTTAGGGGAAAAAATTCGCTTTTTGTTATGGTTTTGTTCGTCTGTTCCTCGTGTAACTCGAGAACGAAAAGAGATAACGTCAAACTTTCTCCAATCGATTTCTAGTAGTTCAAGGATCAGTGCTATTGAATATGAGCCGGATTAAAAGTCTGGTTTCCGAATGCGAGCTGAGTGGCAAAAAAACCCTACTGAAAATCATCGAATAACCTAATAACAATCCTAGATTGCTATTTGATAAAAAAAAATTCGATCCCGTTGTGGCGCTCTATAATCTTTTTACAAAAGTCCGGTCCATTCCTTTTCGTTTTCGAATGCCTAATATATACATATCCAAAATTTGAACAAAATCGGTCGAATCGTTATCTCGGAAAAGTGCCAACGTACGTACGTACACCCTGTATATAAATTACTTAAGTGAAATTCAAATACTATAAGGTTACGAAACTAATTTACCGCAAAAGAAATGACCGCTACACCCCAAATTAGTCTCGCTTATACCGGTGCAGTTAAACCCCAATAAATCACCCCCTGAAACTGATATTTCTATGCAAAAATGCGTCAAAAGTATCTACATAATGCGCTATTTATGATCGTTGTGTTCCATGTAGATGTTATACTCGGAGAAAAACGACATTTAACCCTTATTAAATTAATAATTCTAATTAGTTCGTGATGTCGATTATTTTTCTGAGATATGGCTTGTTAATAAAAAAATGTGGGTTATTACTTATTACCGAGCTTATTACTATTTGAAAAAAACAGCCGTATCTTGTATAATGACAGGGCGCTAAAAACTCAAGATATAAACAGACAGACGCACAAAACCATCACAAAAACACGTTTTTGACAGATTTAAATCCTTATGCCTAATGTACATTTGCAAAACTTTAACGCAATCATACTAACCGTTTTTCCGACAATCTTTTAGGGGAAAAAATTCCCTTTATGGTATGACTTTGTCCGTCTGCCTGTCCGTCTGTACCTCTTGTAACTCGAGAACGAAAAGAGATAGCGATGTCAAACTTTCGCCAATTGATTTCTACGAGTTCAAGGATCAGTGCTATTGAATATGAGCCGGATTAAAAGTTTGGTTTCCGAATACGAGCTGAGGGGCAAAAAAAAACCTACTGAAAATCGTATGCGATTCTTTGTATCTTGTTGTATGTTGTACACGGAAAAATAAGGTCTTTCGAATAACCTAATAATAATCTTAGGTTGCTACTTGAAAAAAAATTCGATGCCGTTGCGGCACTCCTTAATCTTTTTTTTTGAAAAATCCGGTCCGTTCTTTTTTGTTTCCCTATGCCTAATATACATATCCAAAATTTGAACAAAATCGGCCGAGCCGTTATCTCGGAAAATGGCCAACGTATCGTAAATCGGAAATTTGAACAAAGAAAATGTTATTTATTGTTTATATTTCTACAGTTTTAAGAGTCAGGCATTTGGGGGGACTTACTGACTTAATTCCCAAGCAATAAAAGTTTATGTCATTATATGAATTACCGACCCCCACACATTTCATCAAACTGATAATAACTGGGTGCCGGAAATTGAATCGCTCCAATTCATAGGATGCCGTAATTAACCGAGAAATTTGTTTCAGGTGTGGATAATCGTGTGGCCGATTACCTGCTTCGTATGCAGCCTAGGAGGCGTAATAACCTTAGCGATTGGGGGTGGAAGAGTGCGAGCGCGTCCCCTAATCTTCTTGGCGCTTTGCTATTTCTTCATGAGCGTCGGCCTAATTCTTCGCATAATTACCGGCAGGGCGAGTAATCAGGCGTGCCAGACGGAGACGATTTCGAGCGATTATCGTCAGCAAGTGGACGATCTCGGCAATCCAAATTGCGCGTTCGTATTTCTGTTCGTTTATTATTTCGGAATGGCTGCCGATTTATGGTGAGTTACGGCGCGTTTCGGGTGTAAAATCAATTTGAATGCTTATTACAGGTGGGTGTGTCTCTGTGGATGGTGGGTAGCGAAATCTGGTTTGCTTTGGCCGCAAGAGAAATTGAGAAATTTGAGATCGTTCTTCCACGTCGCCGCATGGGGTTTGCCGGCCTCGCAGACGGTCGCCGCCTTAGTGCGCAGGGATGTCGATGCTGATGAACTCACAGGTAGAAAACGAAAAAGAAAATAAACGCCTCATATTTCCAGTTTAGTCTGCCTTCATTATTTATCCAACAAATCATCCGAGTAGCAAGAAGCTCGTCATTGTCGAGTTTACAAGCTTATAACGAGATTATTATGTTTGGAATGTTAATTCCAACACATGCTTCGGATTATCTTCGTAGCTTTTCGAGAAAAAATCGCGTACTTAAACGTTTGATTTAAATCGCTTAAGTCACCTGTTGGCGTTTGGCACGTAACAATAATTTATAGTCGCATGCCTACCCACATTTCAGCACGGGACACCCTTAGTTTAAGCGCGCCGCAATGACGGGCAGACTTTACTACTTTGCATACAGACGCGGCCTTTATTCCCCCCGATTAGAATCTGTGGCGCAGGCTTTTATACAGATGCCACTCTTTGTATTGGTACTCAATTTATAGCCTCGTTAAAAAATTTGCATAAAGAATAACGACTTCTCCTGAATGCACACGGCCGCTCTCGAGAAACACAAAGGAATCGCGATACCGACAAAAGTATCGATCCAGACGTCCGTCTCGTTTGCAATTTTGGAAACCTATACGAAAATAAATCTTTGGTTGGCATTGATTACAGATTAATTTCCAATATTCGTCATTGCATATTCTGCTTCCTGTCGTTACTATTGGGGACTGAGACTAAAGGACTGTGTGGGCCAACGTACTTAGCGACCCCCTACTCGTAGGAGTCTGGAAGTTTATAGACACTAGAAACTGTTAAAATCGACTAACCCCAATATTCAAATAATCGCTTAGTTGGTTAGTTAAATTAGCGATTAATTAGTTAGTTAGGGTAGTCGATGTCACCCAGCTCAAGCTAATTTTTTTGCACTTTAATAAAAGAAACTACGGCGTTTTTCAGGTCATCATCTGTCATTTGTGACCTCTGAGTTTTTTTTGTAAAATTTTGAACAAAAAGAAGTCGCATGATGCTCAATTTGGGCTGTGAAGTGAATACGGTAAAGTCACATACCTACTGCTCCACTCTGCAGAAGACTGGGGGGTGTTAAGTGTTTACGATTTTGACTTTTTTCAAAATTGTCTCATTGGTTTAAGTACAAATTATGACCGGCAAGTCAAATTTGTGACGAATTGTAAGCCATTTACACAGCTTTCCGTAACCTAACCCTTTTTAGACCCGCCCTGGCTCATCTCGACCCGAATGGACCAAGAGGTTATGAAAAAGACCATTGGAACAGTTCCAGAAAAAATTTAAAGGGTCTTTGGAGAAAAGCGCTAGAAAGTCCTGAAACGCAGACTTTTTGGATGTAATTTGGAGTTTGCAAGACCGCTAGAGCTTTTCTAGTGTTCCCTAGTTACTAGTAGACCTCTATGCCCTTACCAAAGTGTTGTGTTTCCCTCATTTTATGATTGTTGTTGATTTTTACCTATTTTGTCAATTATGATTGGGAGAAATTTAGGAAGTAAAATAAGAGCCCATTTTATAAAAGTCGGTTGACCCGTGGAGGGTTGACGCGATTTTTGTGTTTTATAAACGTGGGTGGACCCGTGGAGAGCGGTTAAAATCTCCGACCCGTGGTTGTGCGTTAACTGGCGCGTCGTGTTTCGGTTTTATAGTTAGAGTTGGACCACACAGTTTTTACAAGTACTCGTTCTGTGAAGATGTACATTATTCAACCTAGAGGAGGGCGATTTTTGAGAGAGCGACGCAATTTTCGCCCGCGCGTGGATTATTACGACTGGTAGGATGATGAAGAATTTCTAGTACTGTCCGATATCCATTAACTTCTGGCAATCGGCGACGCTGTACAGTACCCTCTTGCCTTTGCTGGATCATTTTTGCGCACAGAGCAAACGCGGTACACTGTTAGCAGGCGAAACGAGCAAAACACGTATCCAGTCCGCTGATCGCCTGGCATCGTCATCCCCACGCGCGGCGAGAGAATCAAACGTTGTGCTCTCATTGGTTGGAATTTCCGAAGCAGTACTGCAATTGGTCGGGAACAACACGCTTCGAAAAGTGTTTATAAAACGCAACAGGACTCAACCACGGGTTCAAGTTCCACCCGACGTTAGCCAACCACGGGTTCAACCGGACTTTTATAAAACCGACCCTATATGGATTTAAAACGAACGTAGTGTCAGAAGTGGGATGGCAAACATGATGGTTAATGCGAACCAGGTAGTACCAACTAACGTCACTCTCTGGGGCAAACTACAGTGACTGTATTAGGACATTGGCGACAACTTACCATATTCCGCCATATTGGGGCTAAAAAATTGTTTGATTGTAGTATCAATATACATTGTCAAGTTAAATTGTGACCTATAATAACAAATGTCACTTTTATTTAAAGATTCTCATTCAAAACTACGGAATACGACCAGGGCCGTAGCCAGATTAGTTGGTAAGAGCCGGCAAATAAATCTACAGAGCGGGCGAGCGAAATATTAATAATTTGCTGTGTCCCGCGCAGATACAACCAGCTGAAGAAATTCGTTTTTAGCGCTACCTACAAAAGTGGAGCGCTTATGTCTTCACATTTCCATCAGTCTGTATGTCATTCCGTGCTATAGCTCAGTCCCTAAATCTTCGTTTTTTAAAAAGTCTGTTTTTATTTATATCGACTGAATTGTTTTTGAATAATTGGTAAAAAACCGATTTTTTTAAAAAACATTCACACTCTGTATTTACAAAACGAAGCAAGGTAGGACATACGATTATATGAAAAACATTTCTTATTTTTTGCTGGTAAATACGCCCTTAAAATCTTTGCACTCAATTTTGAATCACCCTGCTTTTCACTGAATGTCCACAACATACATTTTACCGTAAGTAGCACCTTTATTCACAGAATTACGCAAGAACGCATTGAAAAATGTAAACTCCTAAACAAAGTATAGCATTTTAGCCCCAATATGGCGACCGGAACCAACGACAAATCAAAAACAAGATACCATGCCACTGTTCTAAATTGAGTTACTCTAGAACAAACCAAATTGCACCAGGTGTGTACGCCAAAGTTTCAAAATATTTTGGTAAAAAAACCTCCTAAATTAAGCGTTTACCTTATAGAATGTTCGGGTGTATGGAGGGAACGTAGGAATTTCCAAGTCGGCCGGCGTATAAGGTTATCTAATAAAATAGTCTGAATGAAAGCGCCAAATTCTACAGTCCAGTCCAAGGACTGTGAGGTCAAGCGGAGAGGTCTCCCATCATATTGATGGTTCCGTTGTAGGACCTTGCCGGTTTAATCCGGAATTTTCGTATACGATTAGAAAACCAAATCGATTATTGGGTAATTAACGGACCTGAAACTACTTTTTTCACGGGCAATTTAAATATTTCTACGGGAACGGTTGCAAACGCTAAATTACTTACTGCCTCATATTTTCCCTAACCGGGGGTGTACAAATGAACCCACTCATTTCCAACTTATATTTCCAATTTCTAAACAGCAATAAGTATTTACGGAGCGCCAATTTTCGTAACGAAGCGCCCAACTTAACACGCGTATAGATACAGGGTGTTCACTGTTCAGTAGAGGTTGTCAACTCCATAAATATACGATGTGGTCCTAACTTCATGTATGAAACAAACTTCAACGCGGAACTAGGTGCTTCAGCTCAAAAAAATAGACCAAGGGGAAGACGACAGAATGCCTGGAAATGGATTATAAGGCATCTGTTGAACTACAAAGATCTTGAAAGGTTTTAGAAAACGGAACTGGAGGGTTTTGGAGGACTCCTAAAGTTCTTAGAAGGATCTCAAGCTCCAATAATACGTCGCCCGGAGACTTTGTGAAGCCGCCAGAGCTCTCTAGAAAAGGTGGAAGGTTCTAAAGTCTTCTAAAACCACTTTCCAGATATGTTCAACGTCTTACCAGCATTTCTAGCGTTTTTTCCGAAACGTCCTTTCTAAATCTTAAGCGTCAAATCCTCTTCAAACCCGTCTGAGCTTTTTCCAGACCGTGGCAGACGCTTTTTAGCCACTTTCCAGAGAGCTATACTACCTTTACTGCCAAAATTATATTAAACGCAGGAAGAGCTATCATAAGACCTACATTACCCGATTATGTATTTTTAAAATTTCAATACTGCCGTATCCTTTCATTCGGGCACATAAAAAATTAAATGCTGTGCAGTGTGCCCCACGCTGGGCCCCAAAAATGTTTGAAATGGTATGAATTCATTACACCACTCAAATAACACTTACCTAGCTAGTTCAGATTTACACAAATTAAACCTTGTAACAAACCCTCCTCTTCTTATAAACTTTATTTTTAATAACTAAAGAGAAATCTTGAGTTCAGGGTCCAGCTGGGTTCCGAAACGCTGGAAAATCTCTCGTCTTATTTAAACATTTCACTCATTGCAAACGGTCGATACAGAAAAAATAAGTCTCAAAAGTATTCACTACTTTGTTGTAATAATTCAAGTTTTTTGTTTGAAACTGCCTGTACAGATGCGATAAACTAGGAAAAGAACATACTTTTGACAGAATTATTTATGACTATTGGCATTGTTGAAATGGCAGCTCGGATACAAACTTTAAAATTGACTAAACCTCCTCTTCCAATACCTTATAACTGAATGCGTGCACACTGACTTTGTACAGCAATTGTATCCCTTTTTTATTTAATGTCAACTGACAAATCAAACACTTTAAAACATCGGCTGACTGCCGGAAAAATGCGTATTTGAAAAATTTACACGCAATCTGCATCGGCGCGCAAAGCTTTTTAAATCCTGACCATCTCCATTACGTTTTTCATCTTCGGTAATGCGCTCATTTAGTTTACAACGCATTTCATTATCTCCAAACTTTGCACATGTGCTCATCGCTTATCTCAGTCAATTAAATTTTACTTTGATAAAGTCACCTTAACAAATAAAACGTAACAATTATGTGCCTATTTGTACCAAAATTCCACCAGATATCCTGATTCCTGGTACGTATGCGCATTTTTTAGTGACTCAGGAAGGAATACCTTTATTGTCGGCATTGTTTCAACCCAAAGGGTATTCCCCCCCTGGTTTACATAGCAATATTAGTAAATAAATCTGCTTTTTATCATCAAAATGGAAGCAACGTTGTCATATTCATATATCTTTCTTGTTTTAGGTACTTGCTACGTTGGAAATAAAGAGTCGACCACGCTTTTGGCTTTGGTTCTTGTCCCTCAGGCCCTTTACGTTTCAATAGGCTTCATCCTGCTGTCGATAGGATGCCTCCTAGTCCTCTGCAAATCGACTACAACCACATCAAACGGAACAAACGCGCGAAGCAGCGACGCGGATCTCCTAGGAATTCTCTGCGTACTTTACTTCCTACCGACCGCCTGCGTTTTCATAACCGTCTGCTACGAGTACAGCAATCGGGAGAAATGGCAGCTGGATCAGGACAAGCCGATCCTGTGGGTCTTCCTCCTCAGATACCTCATGAAGCTCTTTCCGGGAATAAGCGCCATCTTCTGGATGTGGTCGTTCAAGACGCGCGGCGCGTGGAAGACGATATTCCGCCGGCTCAACTCGCAGAAGCACGGCCCCGTGAAAACGCACACGCTGCAGCCGGTCATGAGATACACGCAGAATCCGTCGATGCATTCCGCCGTCTCCGTGAGTACGGGCGCCGGGCAAAATATCAAGTACTCAAAGCGGAAACCGAGGTTTCACCATCACCACCACCATCAAATTGGCGGCGAGACCATACTGTGAACCTTGCGAGCTTTTCCGATTGTGTATATATAGCGTAGGTCAAAAGGCACCTAAGTATTTTAGTACATTCGCTTCAAAAAGCAAAATTGTATAGCTAATTAGGTATAAGGACGCCGATGCGATTAGTTATTTAATATTTATTTTTGTTACAAGTCTGAAATTAAGTATATACGTATTCCAATGTTGCATTTAATAAAATGGTAGTGTACACAGATTGGACTGGACTGTACTGTACACATTTTAGTTAAAAAAGAAATTTAGTAATCACAGTATGTTTTTATTGGCTTGTGGTGTCCCTCAGGGCACTGTTTTAGGACTGGTACTGTTCCTATAACCTATACCAAAGGTGTGCTGTGGACAATTTTATACTATTCCCATGTATTTACTTGTACCTCTTTTCCTTGGGGTTCTTTATAGTTATCCCTGACGCCGGAGCATTTTAGGCTTACTTCACAGATTTGTCACGGACAATTCCTTTGTCCCTCATTTCTTTACAGCTCTTCTTCAAACTGCTTTCCTTCAAGAATGAACCATGGTGTTTCCTTACGAAAGCTTTTGCTTTTTTCTTGCACTGTAATTCCTACCGCTCCGTTAATTGCAAGGCGAGCTTTTAATTACAAGGACGGGAGCTCATCATTGGACACCCGCAGGCCTTGTATTGCTCTTTTACTCTTCCTTACAAAGAGGCAGGGCGTCTTTCCAGGAGGGTTTCGGTCACTTTTTTAGGCGTTTTCTATAACGGTCAACAAGAATCCAAAACAATTCGTACTTTTTCGATCAGACTTCTCAATCAAAAGTTATAGATTAGAAACCAATTTCGAAAAAAAATTCAAAGGGCTGTAACTTTTGAACTAGTAGCCCAATCTTGGAGCTGTTTGAAATTATGGATTCTACAGGCCACATTCTATAAGAAAATTTTTTTCCGGGTCGATCTGAGACAATTTTTTTTTCGGGGCTCAAAAAAAGGCAATGTATAACCTTCCTTTTTTACCAAAAATCGACTACACCAAAATTTTTCGGGAAAACACTTTTTCTTATTAATTTTGGTGCGTAGAATCCAAAACAATTCGTACTTTTTCGATCAGACTTCTCAATCAAAAGTTATAGACTATAGAAACCAATTTCGAAAGAAAATTCAAAGGGCTGTAACTTTTGAACTAGTAGCCCAATCTTGGAACTGTTTGAAATTATAGATTCTACAGGCCACGTTCTATAAGAAAATTTTTTTTCCGGATCGATCTGAGACAATTTTTTTTTCGGGCCAAAAAAAAGGCAGTGTATAACCTTCCTTTTTTTCAAAAATCGACTGCACCAAAATTTCTCGGGAAATCACTTTTTCTTATTAATTTTGGTGCGTAGAATCCAAAACAATTCGTACTTTTTCGATCAGACTTCTCAATCAAAAGTTAGAAACCAATTTCGAAAGAAAATTCAAAGGGCTGTAACATTTGAACTAGTACTCTTTGCCTTTTCTTTTTTATTGTTTCCTCATTCACACTCCCCCTCTTCTCACTTCTTTCGCGCCGCCTTGACTACGATACGTACTTGTTGCAATCTTTTTACACTCCTTCTCCCTTTACAACTTCCTGGTTTTAGGATTTTGTTACGCCCCCGCGTTTTCTCTCTACTTTTTAAGGCCTACTTTGATTCTTTTTGTAGTCTTTTTTCTTCCACGCCGCCTGCAAACGCCCTGGATGTTTTCCATACTCTTCTCCGCATTCCCTTTGCGTCGTCATCAACCACTTATGCCCCCTCTTTTTCTTAGCGCCGTTATGCCACTGTTACATCCATTTCATTTCGTCACAACATCCTTCCTCCACAGTTTTGTCACTTTTTTCTTTTGCATTATTCTCAGGCTACTCTTAGGTGCATTTTTCCTTTACCGCTTTTTTCTTCATGTGTCAATCTTTCTCGCTTTTTCGTACAGCCTGCTCTAACCGCCCATTTCCTTACTCTTTCAATATAACACGGATACTGGCAGGTGGATGAAAATACCAAGAAACTTACAACCCTCAGCACCCCTTATGGGATACTTCCGGTACCTCTGTAAACGTCATGGGACTCATTTCAGGTGGAGACGAGCATAACCGGCGCGGTGACGGAACCCTGAAAGGTATCTACAACGTTGAGAAAATAGTCAAAGACATCCGCAATGTCCAAAATATGATACTGTCCTCATACAAGGCCGCCACGCCCGCCGATGGTCTACCCTTGCCAAGGTCATCGAAATAAAAGAAGATCCACTACCGTCAAAACAGCATCAAGTAGTCTTATGTCGCTTTCTCCGAGCCTCCCACCCACCAGGACCCAGACCATGTATTCAATTGAAGAAAAGTTAATTGGTATTAGTGTCGGTAACAGTATAAGAAGGGTAAGAGATTTAGTTTATGTGAAGCCAAAGTAACAATTTCCAAATTAATGACCACAGCTCTTAATGACAGCCAGATCTTCATTTGTTTTAAGAAGTGTGATGTTGGTTGCATAAAATTAGGCGCCCTTCAGAGGATTTTGTGATTTAAAAGTAGAAAGGGAAGTAAACCCCTAAGTCTACTTCTTAATAAATATTATTGTAGATGACCCAAATTCTAAAGGTTTACAATTAAAATGTGACAGTAACGTCGTACAGCCCCACCCTCTATTTATAGAAGGATAATGACCATCTACTTCTTGTTCTTCAGTTTATCCTTATGGCTAGGATCTCCACTCCAGTTTAGATCTTACTAAGGTGTAAATAACACAGGGCAGATCAAGCAATTGGTAACAAGAATGACTTATCTTGCAGCATTAATAAACTGTTTTATTTTTTTTAAATTTATTTTCTATACAAAAACAAAAATCTTAATCTTAATACGGCTAAGGACTTCTTATAAATATATACATCACGTTCTTATTAAGATATAGTTAATATCGGAGCTAATTATCATAGAGTGTCTCGTTCTTATGCACCCCTCTGCATTTTACTGGCCGTCGCAAATTCGGTCATCGGCTTTCCACTAATACCGCAAGTCCCGATGCCGACTCGTCCGTTAACGGAATCGGGCGACGCGAATATGCTCTTATTCGTGACACCGACCTTTTTATTTTTACTCGCCTTGGTGGTAAACGCAAGCCACTTCTTTTTCTCGCACTCGCGCTCCTCCTCCAGCTCCTTGAACCGTTGCATCTTCTTCGCCTTCTTGCGCTTCAAGTACTCCCTGTTGTTCATTTTGGCACGTTTCAATTTCTCCGCTTCCGTCAGTATACGTTTTTGACCTGTGAACTCTCGTAATTCAGCTAAGGTCGTTACGCCTCGATTTTTGTAAGCCTCAAAAGTAACATTTACCTGACCGTCTGGATTAATGGCGTCAATACGCGCCTCGTAATATTGTAAGTTATCGTTCCACTTGGCCATACACTTGTCCCCGATACGCCACATCTTCTTTTTCTTATTCTTGGCCACGAATTGCTCGACCGCCAAAAGTGAACGAGTAACCTCATCTTCCTCTTGGAGGTTGGTCGCGATCTCGTGATACTCCGGCTGATTAGCTGCCTCTTCGGCTTTAGTCTTTAGATCTAGAGTTAGTTCGATCACTTCGTCTAAATCGACCTTTAGTTTCTGCAGTTCTTTGTTTTGAGGATCGCTAACTAGGGCTGCTTCTACTTGTTGCAGTTGCAGTTTGTAGTTTTGTAACTCATCCGCCATTTTCGTTTATTGTTTATTAAAATAAAGTGTAGAAATACTATCGTAATGATATTTTAATTACTCACACTTTTTAGACGATTTTTCTACAAATTTGGCTCATATGACTGAATGTACAACGCTGAACGGTAGTACTTTTTGTGATTTCTTTAAAAGTCAGCCATTTTCCAAAATAAAAGTAACTGACAGCTGAGTACTGACAGTTCAATACCATAGAGAAGACCATAGACCACAGCTACAGAAACAATCGTTTCTTATAAACCACTTTTACTACAACTAGGCAACTGTCATACACAAGAATAAAGAAAGCTCGAGCACCGGTGTTGATGTAATAAAAAATACCACTTGCCTATTTAAATAATTAGTAATTGAAGCACTGTCGCGATTGTTTTTGTTTAAGTATAATATCTTACGATTATTTAAATTTTCATTTTATGACAACAGGAGCAGTTCATATGTCTATCTATTTTTCACCGTTGAAACAAACGCAGTTTTAACGAACTCACTGTGTAGATATGTTTTACCATACAGTACATGGACTGCTAATAGTAATTGCAACCCAAATATGCATCATCAAGCACAAGGACATCGCCTGGGTATGTGAGTTTTTAGGTAAACGAGTCTGCTCGAAGTTGTCCGATGAGACACGTTTTGGGACTGTCAACCTTTAAATTAATGAACGTCAATTAAAGATTCGCTTAGAAATGCCAAAATAGCAAACCTATTCTTATTTGTGGACGCATAGAAGATAAAGAAGAGTATTTAAAGCTTCCTGTACTACTCGATTGCTATGGAAGCTGCTCTTTACGCGATCCGAGTGGTGTTTACAAGATTTTGGTTTACCCCGTGGTTTACTTTGAGATTCACATACCCACGAGTGTGAAAAGCAATCCATCTAAAGTAGATATATTTTCAACGCACTCTGTATACTTTCACTGCACATAACCTGTCACTTTCATAACAATAACATAACCTCAAAGATGTGGCGCAATTCTCTCAAATTACTTGTAAACAGCATTAAAACCCAAGAAAAATAGTAATGCTACTTAAAAAAAAATCAAACTGAACATGAATCTTTTAGTGTCCCACCACTTGCCCTCCAAGGCTTCTCCAAACACATTCACCGATCGTCGCCGCTCGCCATGTTCGTACAAACTCAAGAGACACCGAATCCCAACAGTCTAAAGTTCTTACCGGGCGTTAAAGTCTTAGAATCAGGTCAGACGATGGACTTTCCTACCGGCCAGTCGGCATTCTGCTCGCCCCTCGGCAAGTTACTGTTCCGAATCGAAGGCGTTAAAGGCGTATTTCTCGGCCCCGACTTTATTACCGTAACGAAGAGTGACGACGACGTCGAGTGGAAGCTAATCAAACCGGAGATTTTCGCGACGATTATGGACTTTTTCGCGAGCGGTCTACCCGTCTTGCAGGAGGGGGTTCCGAATTCAGATACGCGTACGTCTGTTTAACTCAAGGCTCTTAATGACAGCGTGATTTGTAGAGGTCAACGAAGACGATAGCGAAATCGTGCAGATGATTAAAGAACTTTTGGATACCAGAATTAGGCCCACCGTGCAGGAGGATGGAGGTATTTGACGATTTGTGATACATTGACCTAACGACGTTAAGATTTGTAGGTGATCTTCTTTTTATGGGATACGATGATGGTGTTGTTAAGTTAAAAATGCAAGGCTCATGTTCGAGTTGCCCTAGTTCGATTGTGACGCTAAAAAATGGCGTGCAAAATATGTTGCAATTTTATATACCTGAAGTGGTGGCTGTCGAGCAAGTAGATGAGCCTTCTGATAAAGTTAGTGAAAAAGAATTTAAACAATTTGAAATGAAGTTAAAGCAACTTGAAAAAGAATAAATTATACGTAATTTGTCTATGTAATAAACTAATTCTTACACATTTGAGGCAGTATATTCAATTTTGTGTTTTTTAGGAACCGGTAGTACGAGTAAAACCACCGAATTAGTGGTGTGGATTAACTTCTTGCATAATTTTATATGACAAACTGTGAAAGCATATTCAGAAATACCTAAAACGGTTCAGAACTGAAAAAAGGTTTCTGTGTTCTGCTTTCCTTGACTGTTCTTTATTTTGTTATTGTTGTAATAAAACTTGTATTTACTTTGGTATTTATTTGAGCATGTAAACATTTAATGAACAATCTGTCTGTGTCTTGTGATTGTGCGAAGTAGTTACAAGTATCTTGGAGCGATTGGGTTGTCCTGACAACACTTCCTAAACATGTTTAGTTAAAAACGTCATCAATTTGGGGGTGGGGGAGGATCAATCCAAGATCAACTGCATTACCACATTGGACATCCTACTTATAAAAGTACTCTGGAGTTCGCAATGGAACAAAACTATTCATGAATTCTTTTACCAAATATTCCGGAATTTCCTATTTGGATAGTCAGGGGGAAAGGTGTTGCTTGTAACACTGTAACGCTTATGTGCTCGATTTTCCTTGGTAATTACGCACCTTTTGGATTCTACAGGCCACAGTCTATAAGAAAATTTTTTTTCCGGGTCGATCCGAGACAATTTTTTTCTTGGGAAAACACTTTTTCTTATTAATTTTGGGGCGTAGAATCCAAAACAATTCGTACTTTTTCGATTAGACTTCTCAATCAAAAGTTATAGACTAGAAACGAATTTCGATAGAAAATTCAAAGGGCTGTAACTTTTGAACTAGTATCCCAATCTTGGAACTGTTTGAAATTATGGATTCTACAGGTCACAGTCTATAAGAAAATTTTTTTTCTGGGTCGATCTGAGACAATTTTTTGTTCTGGCCAAAAAAAAGGCAGTGTTTAACCTTCCTTTTTTACCAAAAGCGACTACACCAAAATTTCTCGGGAAAACACTTTTTCTTATTAATTTTGGGGTGTAGAATCCAAAACTATTCGTACTTTTTCGATTAGACTTCTCAATCAAAAGTTATAGACTAGAAACCAATTTCGAAAGAAAATTCAAAGGGCTGTAACTTTTGAACTAGTAGCCCAATTCAAAAATAACGTCTTCCAATAAAGGGGCGACATCTCACAGCAAGATATTCAGCTATCACTTGGAAATGATCTAGGAAAGTCTAACGTTTACCAAAGAGATGGCGCATGTGTACCAAATGAATAAACAAAATACAAACAAATACTGGATAATTGAAGTACAATTGCTCTACAGATCCTACAAGAGATTGCACATTTTCAACTACCCTTTAAGGAAAATTGGGTGGGACGTGGGCGCCGTGGCTATTAAGTGAATAAATTGAAATGTTCTTTAGAAGATAGTTATGTACGTGGCGGCATCTCATTGGAACTTGTTCAACTATTACACGAAAATAATTTGGAAAAGTGTAGCGATTATCAAAGAGATGGCGCACGTGTACCAATTGCTTAAACAAATGCTCTGCAGATCCTACAAGAGATTGCACATTTTAAACTGCCCTTTAATAAAAATTGAGTGGGACGTGGGCGCCGTGGCAAAAGCAAAGGGTCTCTTGTCTATAAAATCGAGTAACTAAGAAATTGTCTAAATTCAACTGAACAAAAAAACACTTATTATGTTCTGTTAATACAATTTTCTCTGTTATGAATTTTTACACCAAAGGGTCGCAGAACCCAAATGGTAACTGATTTTTTAAAAAGCCTCATGCTGAGTCGTGCTTTATAGTCTCCTATCATCAATTCCTTTTGGAAAATTATTGTACGAAGGCTGCAAGAAAACGTAAAATTCAGAGTTTTTGCATCAATAGAGTACAGAAACATATCGAGAGGGTGTAAAATGAGACTTTTGATTGACACACATTTCAGAACCCCAGGGGCTGTAATTAAACAAGTTGTAAATCAGCATATGCATGATTAAAGCGCATTTTTGGTAAGGCAGGTCAGTAGGTATTTAATTAGCGAAGTTTAAAATTATCGATCTCACGAGTAATTTTGGCTGCGTTAAATAATTAATTTTATTTAATTTCAATTCATGGTCTTTATTTTGAAAAACAAATCACAAAGTAAATAATTAAGTTTTTATACTGGTAGCGCTATCTAACGGTAAAATTATAGCACCTCCGAAAACCATATCGAAATTATTTTCTTCAATTATCGATCTCACAAATAATCTAACTAAAAATAGACTGGTGCCTGCACATCTACACTATAGCAGAAAGCTTTTAGTGAAAATTTGAAGTCTCTAGCTATTGTAGTTCCCGAGATCTCACGCGGACAGCCGGCCGGCCAGCCATAACGAATATAATAGCGTATTTTTTTCAAAAATGCGCTAAAAATTAAAAACTCAGTATATTTGGGAAACTTTTTTGGTCCCAATTTTTTTTTACGTATGTATTTATTGTTGCAAATTGTTTTTACATCTTAATCAATTGAGCTTAATTAATTTAATAATTATTTTCACTGGTTATACTTACTTAATTATAGGTTATCATTTATCTTTCAAGAAAAACTCTCTTTAATTAGGTATATTAAACTTTCTGGTTCTTTTCTTTTTATACTTTAGATATGTTATTTTCTTTGCAGAATTTGTTTTTTTTGTTTTTCAATTGATCTCATTGTACAGTTGCTGTTAAGTTTAACCCTACTACATACTTATAATTATTGTTTTATGGTTTTGTCTTATTTTTGGATTGTTCTGTTGGTGCAATAAATATAGTCCATAAAGGCAAAATGTCGCACTTTCAGTTTGCTACAAAAATATATCTTTTTTGGTCCTTTCTACTCCTCATTCAATTTTGCTTGACGTACCTACGTCGTACCACAGATAACATATACTACGTACTACACATTGTACAAATATTACACTTGGTCTCAGATAAAACCTTAGACTATGAAAGAAAGGATAAAACGAACTACGCACAAGGTATACGCTTCGCTTGGATCAAGTGGTCAAGTGGTCCGAATTTCTTTGTTTTACGAGCTCATATTCCAAAAAAGAACTTCGATTTTTATTCATATAATTTTGTTTAATCAATTAGCTCTTATAAAAGTGGCAATTCTGACCGCAAGAGCGCGCCAAAAAAAAACTGAACCGAGGGGATCTTTTAATGTCGCATTTCCGCAGAAAATGTGTCGTGACGGCTAAGAATTGGTCGTCAATCATGAACCTAATCGTTAATTAACAACTAGCGACTGTGTCGCATTAGATTAGAATGCGGTTTTCCAACACACGTGTCTATCGTCACGAATTTCATTTATGCGCCTTTTTCTTTTATCAAACTACGTAGTACTACAAGGATTCATGTTATCGAGAAATAAAAAATTGCATTGATTTTCCAAAACAAAATGGATAAGTGTAAACACTTTCTCGCTCCCGTCCGTCCGTCCGTCCTCATAATCGAGGAGAAGTCGTTTCGAAAGATTGTAAAACGTCTCATTCATTGATGCGGCGAGAAAAGGAAAAGAAAAACGCCTTGCATATTATTGTAGCGCACGTTGACATTGATTTCAATGATGCCGATAAAAATTTGGTTTGCTAAGTGTTACGCAAGGTTTCATTAAACCTGAATTTATTACATATTTTGCATAAAAGTTCAGTCTCTTTGACAAACATGCGTAGGAAATGCTAATGAAACGAGAAAATATTCCAGGTTTTCCTCGACCTTTGAAGGCATTACAATAATACCTATTGACGTGACACTGAATTTGTTGTTGTTTATTGCTTTTGCTTTAAATCAATCATCGTTATTTACAGTGCATTGAGTTGCTAATTATTGTACCTATTCATTTCAAGAAAGCCTTAGTAGGTACGTCACTTCCAGGCCTGTGGCCGAAAATGGAGTCGTTTTTGTTTTTGCTATTTCTTCATATCCATCTTTTTTTTGCATTGGATCTGCGCCACAATTTGGTTTAAACTAGTGGGAATGGGAACATCTATCTCATAGAAAGGTTATCTGATCAAAAAAGCACTCCCAGCAAATTTTGTAATTTGGATGACCACCCGATTTGAATGATGTAAAACGCGTAAAAAATTACATAAGAAAGTGTCGAAGACGTAAGCAAGTTTGCATCATGCATAATGTAACGTTTCCAAAAAAAAACAAACCCATTACTTATCAAAATTACATTATTATCCGGTTTTTTTAAACGTTTATCAATTGTTTCAAAACAACAAGCACTCGAGAGTAGTGCCCACATGATATAAAGTCATTGTACTATTGCAAAATTTCGTTTAGATTGTGTTCTCCCCAAACAAGCTTATGTGATCAAGGTGACGTTATCATCAAAATAAATGCTTAATCTGTCGTTGAGCTTGTGGCCTTTTTTTAATCTTCGGTAAAAGTTGCTAATGAAAAATATGGGCGCAGCCTAAAGAACCATTTTCTGCAGAAGTTACTGGAAAATTGAGGCTAAGGGTTGTTCTGCTGCCTTTACTCGTAGTTTTGGCCGATAGACTGCTCTGAGGTTTAGTTCTCCTATCTCGTGCGGTTTCAGCTTGTTCTCGCCAAGGCCATTTAGCCTTTGCCCGACAGCATCCTCGAATTCGCATAGAATGTGTTCAGCCTGTCCGCAAAGTCTGCATGTGGCCTCCACCGCTGCGCCATTTTTATGTAGATGGTAAGTATTTAGGCGGTGAACAGTCTTGTAATGGCCTTCCTGATGTTAAGGGCGGAAGCTTCCTTTGTTTTTTGTAATGTGGCCTTAATGAATAATTTGGCCTCTCATTGTCCTGGTACCCTCCGTAAGTGATGGATCCTATTCATCTCTTCTCACTGGTTTAGGGTTTCTTTAATGTGACTTTTGTGCAGTCCACAGTAGGGTTCCGGCCCTATTGGCTTCCGCCTGGCTTGGCCAGTTCATCCGCCTTTATGTTGCCTGCAATGTCCGAATGTCCTGGTACCTACTCACCAGGCCCGTAACCAGAATGAAGTAGCAGGGGTGGCCAGTATTTTTCTAGGTGGGGCTTAAGAAGTTTTTGATAAAGACTTCCTCTTACATAACGATTTTTTATAAATAATATAATGTGTTCCACGTTAACCTCTGGTCAAAGATCACTCTCAGGCATCTGATTTCTTTACTAAGTTTGATGCTGGTGCCCCCCTCCCCCATATAGTGGTGCCATTATGTTGCGCTTCATTTTTCTGGTAATAGGCCTCTGTGCGATGTTCAGAACCTTTTGAAATTGCTCAGGTACCACTGTATTGCGTTTACCACCGATTACTATGGCAAGGTCGCTTGTATATCATTGCAAATACTGCAGGGATCCGAACCGGACCGAAGAAGAACCGAAAATCGGACCGAAACCGGTATTTTTTCAGGACTGCAAACCGAACCGAAACCGTTATTCCTTCAGAAATGGAAACTTATTGAGAACCGGGACCTTTATTATTTTTTTCAGTTCTTTTCGGTTTTTTACGGTTTTTAACAGGTTATTTGAAATTGAAGGACGCGCCGGCACGTCGAGAAAGATGATAAAATGTTACTCTATGATTGCCATCGGTGGATTATAAATTTTTAATAAGATGTCGTAATTGAAGTCAGTACTGGTGGCGGTGGCGGTAATTCAAAGGGGCAAGGTTTTAGAAAATAATAAAAAAACAATACTCCATACATAATTTTTTGACATAAGTTTTGTGTATTATTTTGTTTTTTATTAATAAATTAAGAACAGAACCGGAACCGATATTTCATTTGGGTCCGGGCCCTGGCATATATAGTAACCTTTTTGTGTTAGTAGGTCATCAACCACAGGTGACCATAGCAAGAGCGAGTCCTTGATCCCGTTTTGGTCACCATTGTGATTGACTCTTCACCTAGCCTTGCCTTTATCCTCCTGCTCCTCAACATGGACTTTATCCAGCCTATTGTTGTGGAGGTGAGGCCCTTGTTTCCAGCGACCTCTTCGATGGTTTCAAGGGAGGTGTTATCGAAAGCACCCTTTATATCCGCCAACGCGGTTAGAGCCACCCCTTTTGACATGAGCACCTCTTCAAGTACTATGTACGGACGTGATTGTCGATTGTTCTTGTTCTTATTCGCATGGTTGGGGGTGAAGCGGATGTTTTGTTAGAACCTCGCATTTTTCTGGAATTGGTCTGAGACTGTTTCCATCCCCTTCAACAGGATCGAACTGAGGCTGATGGCGCCCTGACCGTTTTGGTATGAACATCACATTCACCTCCTGCCACTTTCTGGGTATGTAAGCAAAACAGAAGCTGAGTCTGGAGCTTACATATAGTTTGCAATATGAGCCCAACAACCTTCTGCAAGAGTGCTGAAAAAAACTCCACCAGGCGCCTTAAAGGGCCCATTCTACCCTAAACTGTGTGAAGATTTTTGAGGCTTCGCTTTTAACTTTGGAGTGAGACCTTACCTGGCCTTCTGTCTCTTTGCCGAAGAAAAACCTTTACTTTTTGCGAGTCTGGAAACCAGGGATCTGGACCTATTGAATATAACGGTTTCGGTTTTGACACTTTTATCGAAAAAATATTTATAACGTTTCCGGTCCAGGTTTCGGTTCTAGAAATAGTTGCGGTTCCGGTAAGTTTTCGTTTAATGTGGGGTCGTGCAAGTATAGTCCTCAGAAAAAAAGCCACCGCAGCTTCATATTATGCTAAGGAACACTGCCTGGGGGTATTCCATACTCCCCAGACCTCCGGGTACTGCTATTTCCCTGAAAATTATCATGAGAGTCCTGAGAACTGAACGTTTTGTGTGAGTACCGGAGGGTATTTTCATAGAGTAAATAATATACTATGGTATTTTTTATTTTTTATTCCATACCCCCAGAGACTTGCTATAAGTCTCTGCAGATCCCCGGCACACGAAGATTCGGTTGCCTTCCTCCAAAGGCTACCGTGCCAGCGCAAGGGTCGAGGCAAGGTTAATAGGGAAAAAAATTAGTAACTCCTCTTTTAATGTGGGATCGTACAAGTATAGACCTCGGAAAAAGACAATCGAATCTTCACATTATGCTGAGGAATATTGCTTGGGGGTATTCCCCACTCCCCAGACTCCCGGTTACTGCTATTTCTCTAAAAATTATCACGAGAGTCCTGAGGACTGAACGTTTTGGGTGAGCGCTGGGGGTATGGAATGCGGATCTTCATAACCTGAGGAATATTGGCTGGGGTATTCCATGCCCCCGAGCCCCCCCCCCCCGTATTGTTTCTTCCCCAAAAATTATCACGAGGGTCCTAAGGACTGAACGTTTTGGGTGAGCACCAGGGGTCTGGGGGGTAGCACACGAAGATTCTTCTGAAGGCTACCGTGACCGTGCAAGGCTAATAGGGAAAAAGTTGGTAAAATGGTAAGTCCTCAATTAATGTAGGGTATTAAGGCGAATCTTCATATGTTGAGGGATATTATTGGCTGGAGGGTATTTCCGAAGGTATTCCATATCCCCCCCCTCGTACTACTTCTCCCCCAAAAATTACCGTGAAAGAAGTAATGTCCAATAGAAAGTTCCTCGGAAAGCTTCTTAGTCTCCCAGAAAGTTCAGATGGTAAATTCGATTGGGGTAACGGGTCTCCATGCTTGCCCCTTCAGAAATTGTTTATGTGAAGGCAAATTATCGCGGGCGATCAAAAATGAGTTGCTCTCGAGTTGCCTTTGGAAGTTCAAGTTCCCCTGTAAACAAAAATTTCAAAGGTGATTCAACAGCAACTCATTTATGATCGCATGGTAGCCACCCCATCCAAATGCAGAATGGTAATTTCTGTTCGCACCCTAAAGGGGGATATACACCTGACAAAACTCGCTCTACCTAAACTCCTACTGTTACTTTAAACGTGGCTGCAGTCCGCAAGTGCAATTTATCACCTTATTTTGGTCTAAATGGGGAGGAAGCGAGCTAGGAGGTATTGCTTGGGATGCGGAGATATTTTTTGGATCGCGGGGCGTTCTGTGTGGATTATGGGCTAAATGTGGCGATTCCTACTAATGCGGCCGCCTCTTCCATCTGCCCTGCTTTTCGTCAGAGCAAAGGTGTCACATCCAACCGCTCTAACAGTTTCGCCACATAACAGTCCCAGTCAGTGATTCCAAAACCAACAGGGCCCGCAGTTAGAAAATAATGTGCTTGTGGTCCGAAAACGACGGCTCATCAGACAACTCTCTGGCTCGTGATCAGGTGAGCTAATGAAAAGATCGATAACCTCCGGCTTCCACGCCGTGACGAAGGTAGGGGCTGCTCTCTGACATAGAGTAACTAATATATACTCTATGTCTCTGATTTAAAACATTCAAATCAGTTGTTGGTAAGTACTCCAGAAGGTGGTTACCCCTCGACTGTGCGTCGGTGCTGCCCCACGCCACATGGTGTACTTTCGCAGCACAACCATAACCCCCAAGAGGGGGTCCACCCTATCAACGCAGCTAGATCCCTGGTAGGTTTTTGTATGAGGCATACGCCTGTCTGCACGCAGTTCAGAACCACTCAATTCTAGTGACTGTTCTAGGGGGATTTTCATCTAGAGAGATTTAGAATCGGCCGTACACTACCATCGACAAGAACCCTCAGGCACAAACCGACTTACTTTAGCTCGGACGCAAACCTCCGATACTTTATCTTGAGCACAAACCTCGACCCCTTGACCTTGACGTTAGCACAGGCGCAAACCTCGCTACCACAGTTCAGAACCACTCAATTCTAGTGACTTTTCTAGGGATTTTCATCTAGTGAGATTTAGGAGCGGCCATATATTACCACTATCACTCAACACGTTTTTAAAGGCGTTCTGAAGGGTCCTCAATAACTCTTAGAGATCAGTTGAATCCTCTAAAGGTCACTAAAGCGTTTGTGAATTCAAAACCTTTGGAACGCTTTGAATAAATCACTTTAGAAAACTTTAGAAGAGTCTTGACCACCCCTAAGGGCCAATAAAAGCTCTTGGGGACTCTCTAAATTTGCATATCGTGCAAAACGAAAGTGTGCGAAACCCCTTCCAATGAAAACGCAAATTTTGATGACCACTTCGAGTGTCAGCATCGCCTGAGGACAAGGTCAAGAACGACTTGACGAAATGTAACGCATAATTATTCCCCAATTAAAAACCGGAGCGCATTTCCTAGCATAAACATATTCCGCGTCAACAAATAATCGGCGCGCCACTTCAAAATTAATATGCTCCGACGCGTCTCCGTCCATATAATGATCGCTGCCTTCATGATAGCGTTTAATGGACTAGAGGGGAAGGGAATGGGGATTTTATCCGCGACGCACATTGCCGCTATATCTTGAACGGCGAGGCGCGATTTTAATCAGTGTTCTCACTCAACTCGCGCGAACGTTCGTTACACCACCCCCCCACTCATTTGCGAAAATTCTGTGATAATTTTTTTAACGAAAAGTCTGTGATTGTGGTAGGTAATGTCGAGGCCAACATCCGAAATTAAGGCAATTCCCAGAAGAATTGTAATATCAGATCCTTCTGATATTAGTGGCTCGTATTCCTCGACTCCCGGAGGTACCCTCTTTTCCACGACGCCCGGAGGTAAGTCACGTCCGAAAAACCGTTCGCCATCGAAGCGGAGCTAATCAAATTAGGCACGCCGATAAACTGTGTGACCATCAGTCGCTGGTTAATTAAACTGAATTAATTAACCTTGGCATTGGCAATGAAGGATAATTCGTGCTCAATTTCAGGCACGAAAATTGTATACGAGCGAGCCTTCCTCATGAACTTACGCAACTCTCCGATCTCCAAGACGCCCCCAAATTGGGAAATTCCAAACTCGATCGCCCTCAACGGCAATCGCAACGAGAAAAAGACCCTCCCAACGAAGAAGTCCAAGCCGATCAAGCAGATCACCAGAAGCACAAACGGCTTCCGGGACGACCACGAGCAGTTCCAATTGGAGATGTAACCGCCAAATTGTTCCACGGGGAAACGTAGTATTGCCACTTACAAAAAGCACCAAAAAAATGAGGGCTGTGTGGACGTAAATGTACCAATTTACCAAAATTTGGATGCGAATTTTATATTATCGCAATTGTGATGTGAGAGTGTTTCAGTTTTATGAAATTTTGAGCTTGCTGGATTATTTTTATATAATCTGCACCAATATACGCTTTTTACACGAGATGTGTGCGTTATTTTTAACTTGCCCTAAATTCTTTCTACAGTCTGAGGACTTTTCGTGTTTTTTGCGACGAATTTAAAAATACAATACGCGTAGGCGCGCCATTTATTTTTCCTCTCATCATAATAAACAAATTTGAATGTTTGCTCTCAATACTTCTCTTGCTAGATTGAGTCTAGTTTCCACCAAGATGATCCTCCTAGCCGATGTTATCCTGATCGCAACCCTTAACTCCCGGCCCGTTGCTTCTATAGTAGCAGAAGAAGCAAAATCTTTTGTCTCCTGAACGAATATCAAAATTCCCTGAGCCCAAAGGCCAGAAGTAGTATCTATTGTACATATATAACAGTTTATCATCTATCTATAGAATATAGATACTAAGTATAAATAAAGATAATAGATAATTACTGTTTACGCATACGCATATAATAACATCCGGTATATTTGCTTTAAAATATAAGTACCTAATAAAAGTTGGTACTTCAAAAGTGAAAGGAGCGGTATTTGTGTGCACATCTCATAAACGTAATCATTCAAAAGTCTACAACCCGCTAAATTAAAATGAAAATTAAAATTACGGCAGAGTTTTGTTAAAAATTTCCTAAATGCATAATCGAGAGGGGTGGAATCTGTATGCACAATCAGGGGCAACCTTAATCAAGAAAAAAAAACTGTAAGCTCCAAAAGTTGTACAACCCTCCACCAATGGTGGTTTGTTGAGCATCATCGGGCCACTTAGCATATAGGTACATATACAAAAATTGCGGCGAGGAAGAAGGTGAGTCATTCTTTGGGCCTCTACTATAGCGTTTCGAGTATTTTACTCGGGATACGTTTGGTTTACAACACACTACATAACTGTAGGTACGTCAAAATTTGCACGCAGGCCACCGATGTAGTACCAGTGCTCTGTCTACATTTAAAAGTACCTACTTCACTCGCTAGCTTTGGACACTAACTTCAGTATAAGAGTAGTAGTTAGATGAGGTCGATCAGATCGACCCGGAAAAAAAATTTTCATATAGAATGTGGCCTGTAGAATCCATAATTTCAAACAGTTCCAAGATTGGGCTACTAGATCAAAAGTTACAGCCCTTTGAATTTTTTGTCGAAATTGGTTTTTTGCCCTGAGGTTAGGTTAGCGTGCTAGTTAGGTTAGCTCAGAAATCTGGTATCAGGAGAATATAATGTGCGAGGAGATCGAATGTTACAATAAAATTTAAGTGAGGTTAGGTTAGCATGCTAGTTAGGTTAGCTCAGAAATCTGGTATCAGGAGAATATAATGTGCGAGGAGATCGAATGTTACAATAAAATTTTTAAGTGAGGTTAGGTTAGCATGCTAGTTAGGTTAGCTCAGAAATCTGGTATCAGGAGAATATAATGTGCGAGGAGATCGAATGTTACAATAAAATTTAAGTGAGGTTAGGTTAGCGTGCTAGTTAGGTTAGCTCAGAAATCTGGTATCAGGAGAATATAATGTGCGAGGAGATCGAATGTTAAAATAAAATTTTAGTGAGGTTAGGTTAGCGTGCTAGTTAGGTTAGCTCAGAAATCTGGTATCAGGAGAATATAATGTGCGAGGAGATCGAATGTTAAAATAAAATTTTAGTGAGGTTAGGTTAGCGTGCTAGTTAGGTTAGCTCAGAAATCTGGTATCAGGAGAATATAATGTGCGAGGAGATCGAAGGTTAAAATAAAATTTAAGTGAGGTTAGGTTAGCGTGCTAGTTAGGTTAGCTCAGAAATCTGGTATCAGGAGAATATAATGTGCGAGGAGATCGAATGTTGCAATAAAATTTTTGTGAGGTTAGGTTACCGTGCTAGTTAGGTTAGCTCAGAAATCTGGCATCAGGAGAATATAATGTGCGAGGAGATCGAATGTTACAATAAAATTTTAGTAAGGCCCCTACTCTCGTACTTTGCACGTAATTACTCAGAGGGTTGTTCATTTTGCCACCCATCCAAAATTGCAGTTGCTCCAATTGATCATGATTAAAAAGTCCATTAGTAGTTCTATTTACAGTAACAGAAAAATTCATCCCTTAGCCGTTTAAATTACGTATTTTGCAAGGAGAATTCACGTATTCACCAAAAGAGTATCTATTTTGCAACGTATTTGCAGTAAGAGGGAAGTTTCTCCCCTAGCCGTTTTGAAATTACGTATTTGTCAAGGAAGATTCTCTTTTTGTAGGTATTGGTTGAACGTCTATTTTGGAACGCGTAAGCAATTTTTAACTCTTAATTTGGTTAAATTTTTGTTTCTCCGATTTGATTGTGATTAAATAGTCTCCTAGCAGCCCTATTTATAGTAACATAAACTTCATCCCCAGCTGATTTCATAATATGCACGTTTCAAGGAAAATTCCGTCTTTTGCACGTATTCGCTGGAAGCCTGTTTATTTTGCGACCGACGCATCAGAATCGTTATTCCCTCCATTTATTACGTTAAAAATCCCTTGACAGCCCTACCTACAGTAACAGCAAAATTTATCCCCTAGCCTATTCAAATTAGGGAAGTTTTCTCTTTAAATTGTTATTCTAGTCTTTTTGTATACACTTTGGCCTTGTTGCCTTTCCAATTTCTCTTGTCGCAATTTTTCACGGCATCTGTATATTCTTGTGTTTTCTGTTAAACCGTGGTTTAGGTACATATTTGACCCTTTTAGTTTTGACTTTCAAGTTGGGTTTTTACTTCAATTTGTTTTCGTATGTTGGTTTTCAAATCTCCCCATTGCAGTGCTATATGTTCCAATTTTTGTTCTTCTGTTTGGTACTCCTGTTCCCTTGCCTTTAGTTCTATTTTATTTCTTAGAGTGCCTTGTTAGTTTTTCTAACTTTGCTTTTAATTTGTTATTTTGGGGGTAACACAAATTATATTCCTCTCTTACTTCTTCAGGTGTAACGAGAACATTTTTATTTTTATTTTTTTGCATTTTTTCCCCGGTGAATTATGCAGAAGTAAATATTTTTAAGTTGTAAAAGAGTCAAGATTCTGGAAACATTCCTCCAAACAAATATTGTTCATATTAGCTCCAAGTTTTTATTTTGTCGATTGAAATAAAAGTGACCGTTCGTCATCTTCCCACATTTATCAGTGGGGCAACTGTTCTAAATCGTAGTTGTCGCATTATTGTCTATGGTCTATGGTTTTGAATTACAAGTTTCAAATTATCCGTGTTTTGTTTCTTCTGCAACTCAGCTAATGCAATGCAATGGAAATTTATTAAAAATCGCCGCTGGACGTAAAAAAATTACTGAGTAATTCCGAGAATAGTATATTAAAGTACAAGTGTCATTTGACGAAGATTGTCGCACGAGGTAGTTTGCCGCATAAGCCGAGTGCGACAAGTAGACAAATGACACGTGTGCTTTATACTATTTTTTCTATTTCGACTTTTATTTTAAATAATAAATTATACAAATTATAAATATTGCCTTTAGGCGTTGTTAGGTAATTTTAAACTATCATTCAGTGTATGTTGGTAATAGACACAATTCATTTATTTTCACGTTGGCTAACCTGATTCCTGTATTTTCAAACTTCAAACTTTTAATTATTTGGTCATAATTCCATTTTGCGGCAGTTATGATGAATACGGATGACAAACACGTCTCTTGTACCCCACCAGAGATCCAAGAGATTGCCAATGAAGCGACGTTAAATTTACTGCCTGTAAAATCGAAAGTAAAGTACGAGGAGTACAAAATTTTTGAAAACTGGCTGGCCGAGAAGGGAGTTCAAAAAGTAAGCAAGAATGTACTGCTGGCATATTTTACTACGCTAAGTAAAAATAAAAAAAGTTCTACCCTTTGGAGTATATATTCAAAATTAATCGGAATTAATACAATCGGTCAAGTTCCTCGTACGTTATTTACACTTTACAGGTTATGTTTAGTTTTGATTTGACGGATACCGTTGACAGTAAAAAAGCGAGGGGTACCAATCCAACAAAATAAAAAAAATAATGCGTTTCTATTTCTTTCAGCATCATTTCTGTCTAGAAACGCACGCAAACTGGGTCAATCAAGTACGGTTTTGGTATTGTTTCCACATCGAAATAGAAAAAGGATTATTTCGCACGGAATTAATGCATTAGTGGCCTGGTAGTCGAGCTAGAAAGAGGTTTAAATGGGTTCGCGTTTTGGTAGTCGAACTGGCCAGGAGTAAGGTCCATAGGGAATTCACGCTTGTCATTTCAAGCTGGTAAAAAGTACGGTCCATAGAAGATTCGTGTTTGGTGAACGCGATTAAAGTCTAAAAAGCTTTATCATCGAGTTGTTAAAAAAGCGGACAGTTTAGTAAGGAAAGTAGGAATGACTACCATCAAACTTAATAAAAACCCTGATAAAAACATTGTGTTAGGATGTGCTACTATGGCCAGAAAAAACTGGTGCCGCTGACGATTATTCATTGTACCTTTTTATTATACCATGATTGTACCTATACCATGACTGTACCCATTGTACCACATGATTTTATAAACACGGAGTATTCAGATGATGGTCCTGCTGCAACAGCCAAAGTTCCCTTTTTTGTAATGCTTTCTTAGTATCATGTTTTATCGTCTTTGACCTATCCTTCTTTCGAGTTCGTCCTTCACCTTTTGTCTTCTGAAAAAGCGTTTCCTTAAAGATGTGACCCAGCGATAAATTTCTATACTCTTCTGACAGTTTTCAACGTGTCTGGCTGTCTGCTACCTAGATTCATCAATCATCATATAGGGTTATGAAAGGCTTTATATTATGCAGAAGTTTATTTATTCGCGTAGGTTATCAAAGAACAGTACAAGATAGGAACATTTTTATTTTTGCTCGCTTACTTTCCAAGTTTCGGACAACAAACAAATCCCTTCACAAAGCAAATCGATCTGCGGAGAGCATAATTAAATTTGTATACGCACAACGTAAACTTACATTGGCTCCTCGTTTTCCTCACATCGATCCACACACGTTCGACATTTACTCGTTTGCATCTCAGAGTAAGAAATAAAGATAGAGATGC